CTATAACCGGTATAGTATCGTATAGGGTATATGTGACCCCTGAATACAAAAAAAAAAAAATTCTTCACTAAACGTTTCGTAAGTATAATAATTTACGGTAAATTAATATTATGTTTTCGTATGTACAAGCGTATCTTTTGTTGGGGGAAAAAATATAGGTTTTTGTAGTCGAGTTGCGACATTTCGATGCCTACCCATACATATATACCTACCTACGTATATATATATATTTTTAGATTAACATATTTTATTTTATAATAATAATATTAGGTGTATTTTTTTTTAGCGATAATGTACGTATAATACCTGCCTAGTATCTATATATACTGTATGGTAGTGTATTGTAATCCAAGAGAAATGTAAATTACTTTTACTCTAACATTTTTATACTACAATATATTATACTGCAACGCCGTATTGTGTAAATATGAAATTTCTTGCTTGCTTGTGTGTGTGTGTGTGTGTGTGTGTGAGGAGTCCACAAGTTCCCTCTCCTCGGGGCGGACCGCAGTTTGCATATTATACCCTCTACACTAATAATATAGTGTAATAGATTTATACAAACGTAATGATTATCGCTTATATTTATTTATTATTATTTTTTTGTACATGGCTCAAACAAGTGTGTAAACAAGAATGTTAACTAGCATTGTGTGTATGCATATTATAGCTACCTATCCATTCTAAATACAATCAAATTATATTTACCCATCTAAACGCGTGAGTAGGTTAAGGTTAGGTTATATTTTGATCAGCTTTTCTTTATATAAGTGAAAAAAAACATTTCCAACTTACCCACCGAGTAAGTTGGACAAATTATACCTTTAATTTATTTTTAAAATTTAATCCGCTGCATGAAGAGGGGTAGGGGGAGAAGCTGCATTAGCATTACTTTTCCCCAAATTAATAATTTCGATAATACGAATAAGGAAATAAATTTCAACCTCGTTAAAAATATCACTCACGTTTTATTTGAATTTAATTTTTGTTACGTACATTTTATTATACATTTCGTGTGTAATATATAATATTTTAATAATATATTAGATAGTTAATTACTATAATACTCATGTAATATAAATTCTAATAAATTGTCTATTTTGTATAATATATTATTGTAATTACAAACTGTAAGTGTAATATTGTTATATAGCTGCAATAGACATTTATCCTTGAATAAGTTTCAGCAATGTAATATGTTTGTAATGAATAAATAGCCTAATATGAATTTTGCATTCTGTGATATATAGTCTTCATTAAAAAATAGTTTTGTTGGTTAGAGGAGAAAAGCTATATCAGCTATACTTGTATTATATTCTAATAAAAAAAGTATATTTACCACCTATACCTATTTTATCATCTAAAAAAAAACAACTTGAAGGTATTAATGGTAAAAACGAAGAAATCGACAAATTGTTTACTCGTTCAGGCAGAAATAAAATTGTTTTAGACTCGTTCATATAATCGGTCATCACATCTGCTGCAGTATATATAATAATAATAATTATGTATTAAAGCCTTAAGGGGAGATTTATTTTAGTTTTTTTTTTTATTTAATAAAAAAATAAAATTAGCGGTGTGACTATTACAGTGTGTAATCGGCGTCGTTACGTCAGTTGCGTAATCCGTTAACGTAAAATTATGAAAATCACATCTTTCTTGCAACATTATTACTTTTATAATAACACATAGGTATAAAATAGGATATAAAATTACCCCAATCAAAATACTATGTTGATGTACAAAACCAGCAGAAATCTTTGTCCAATCTTCGAACGCAATGCTTATTGCTGTGTAAGTAATTTACAAACACCTACCTAATTATTATACTTTGCGATATTTTATAAATCCATCGTTCGTATTATAGGTACGGGGGTATAATAATAATTTCGAATGGCACCAATTTGTTCGCAGTATTTTTAGATATCCCGGCCAATGTCTACACTTAAAACTTCATTTTTAAGTTAAACAGAACGTGATTTATATTACCTATATATTCTATTTTTTTTTTTAATGTATTTTTAGATATACGCGTATATAACTGCAAGCATATTGAATACTCGGAAAATATCATTGCGATGTCTACGAAAAACGGGTGTTCGTTTTTATTTATTATTATTAGCACTTTTTTTTTTGCTTCCAAATGTGTTATGTGAAAATGTTTAGTATTTTATATGTATTTATCCGCTGCTTTTGTTTTTTTTAACAATAATCAACGTATATAGATTAGGATTCTAGTTTTTCAGACGTCGATCATAATATTATAATATGTGTGTACGTGAACTCAGAGTTGTTTACTTTAAAATCCATTTCCGTTCAAATAGCTGCAGTTATCTAAAATAAATAATATCAAACTTTTCCATTTGTTTAAATTGAAATATTTTAATTATTTAAAATGGGGTCATTTCATTCAGGAAATTTAATTTTATCAATTTATACAATTATACAAACGAATTTTTGTTTACTAATACAAAATATATTTTAGATCCAGCTATATCATGACGAAATAAATAAATAAAAAAATAAAAACCTGTTGTTGGTTTAAAGATAGATAATCAAAATTTCAATCAGTTTGTAATATTCCGTGTTTATAGCGTTTCTCTGAAAGTATTATGAACATGTATAATATCATAAACAATTCGGTAGTAAAACAGATTTTAAAAAATCCGGATGTTCCTACTTCTTTGCACCATACATAGACCACCGTATAGTTGATAGGAAGTTTGAAAGGTATACATTAGATATAAATAGGGTGGTTTAATTTATATACACCGAAGCAATGATGTAAATCAACGCAATAAACGAAAAAAGCTGGTTTAGCATAATGGGGACGGGTGCAGCCACGGTTGTAGATGGGAAGTTGGAAAGGTAGGATAAAGAAGGGAATTGAATGTATACTTGTAAGCAACGAAAAACTATTGCCAATATAAAAACGATTTTGAGCAGAGTTTAGTTGATAGTTGATGCTTTGTGAACAATATGTATGTCATATTATGGTAAAATTATTAAATAGGCATATGTTTTCTTTGATAATATTTGTTTAATATTAATCCGATTTTCTCGTTTTTCCTAGTTTTCCCCATTTGTTGAGAAAACTTCCGGGGAAATCAATAATTGACCTTCCTAAAGTACGTTCCCAATCAAATTCCCTTTCAAAAAAAGTGCTATTATTGTAAATTGATCGTAGAAAAGTTGTTCACAAGAATAAAAAAGGCCGTAATATTTTACCAAACATTCGTATACATTTTCTCGTTTTTTATCGGTTTTTTTGAATATATTGAGAAAACTCCTGAGAAAATCGAAAAATAACCTTCTTAAAGTTTCACCCTACACCGATTTTCTATCAAGAAAAATGCTACACTTGCAATATTTCTAGTAGAAAAGTTTTTCTCAGATAAAAAAATATAAAAAAATTAAACATCATTATAAAACCATAAGGTTTTTCGCTCCACTCAGAATCTAAAACTTTGAATGGAGTAGTATATTAGTACTGTTAATAGTTTTTTTCCCATTGCAGACAAGGTATCATCAAAAATAAAATCAACGTAGCGACATTTGTTGTCGGTTTTTTTTAAATTGTACAGGAATAGGTGAATACCAAGGATCTAGAATTTTTTTTTCGTCAAATAAAATACGCGTGTACCGTCTGTCAAAAAAACTTACATTCGTTCAAGATATGGTGTGAAAACATCGACAAAATTTTAAAAATCCAACAACTGTTTTTTGGGAGAAGAGGGGGGGGGGAAATAACATACAATTTAGTAAAACTACTTTGGTAAAAGTTTCTTCGCTCCACTACTACAGAATCGTATACTTCTTAGAGTACAATAAATTAATAATTTCGAATATGTACTCGAATTAGTATAATAATTTATATAATATATAAGTTCAATAATTTCATAATTTGGGCACACATGCTTAGATACCCATTGTCGTTAAATTACACAATCGTATGGATAAGAATAAATTATTTTAAATTTTTTAAATATTTGTATATCTAATATCTAATATCAATATCTAATGAGACAAAAAAATATAAATATTTAAAAATATGAAATATGTAATAGCAATATAATATAAAATGATCGATTATATAGGTACTTATAATAATTAGTATTGTCACCCGACATAAGTCGACGTGGAAGATGTAAAAAAAAGTAATACGTAAAGCACGGGAAAAGTGCTGAGTTAATCGGCGAAATTTTCCAGAGAAGCATGAACCTCAAATGATAATATTGCTTACGAATCGAAGAGACTCGTGTAAAAGAGCAATTGAAAGTGTTGCAGTGATAAGACTTAAGAGATTGGTAGTGGTTTTCCGAAATGCCTTCAGTTTTATGTAATTTAGAAATAATTAATTACCTTTTAACGGCCACCTTAACATTGAGACTCCCGTTAATCTATACTGCCCGATACTCGTTTCAGGGTAAGGAGTGTGGCCGTTATTACGGGCGTACATTCCGCGTTTCAGACCGATAATCCGAAGTAAAAATTCACCCTGTTTTAATTTTGAATACATTAACACGTATTTGAATTCTTCGATTTCCCGGCTTTGTGTCCGTAAGAAACGTAAGAACGGGTGGTGGTCCCCGGAACTCTCAATACAAAAACGAAAACCTATTGAATTTTTTGTTGAAAACCGTCGGGACTTTTTCAATCGGCAAACAGTGTGTTGTCGTGATCATTGTTAACGGTTCGTGACGAATAAAAACCACGAGCCGGACCCTTTAAACAGTAAGTCTATAACGGATATAATAGATAGATAGGTATATATATATATATATATCTACATAAATATAATAAACCACGATGGGTGTAATTATAAATTGTAATTTTTCATTGCGGAATTAATTTTCTTAAGAAAAAAAAAACGCTCGGTACGTATACTATACATATTATTGTGTTATAAAGTATACTCGCGTTCCGGTAGAGCGCAGATTTGTATACGGATCCCGGCGGTTTCGATGCGTGTGTGCGCCCGTAGGAGTTCATAGCGAGCCGAGCGAACGCGCGCGTCACACGTGTTGTACGTTGCGTTTTACGACCGGTGTTCGGTTATTTTTTTTTTTTTCAAATATATTTATCATTTGCCGACGATCGCCTCGGCCTATCCTGACTACCATCGTCACTGTCCACACACATATCAAACGGAAAACGAGTAAGTAAACGCTATTGTAAATATGATAATGTTGCGGAGTTTTAATTTTTCGATTTATATCGACTTATCGCGATTGTATAGTATCATTGTGTTTTCAGAGTAGAAAAAAAAATGATAGCTTAATAATAATTTACAATTCTTTATAATAATCCTATAAAGAAGCTTTTCCGCTTCTGTATAATTCAGCAAAAAAAATTAATATTATTATATCTCTTACCGATCGTTATCTATAGATTCGATAAATCGTTCGATATCGCGCGAGTGTAGATGTAATGAGCCGCAGAGGATTATTAAATTTTCGTTTTTATATAAACGTAATATTATAAATTACGAGTGTATTGCATTACGTTATTATAATATTTTCTCGTAATGCACAAACTGCAACATAATAATATAAGAGTGCATCGATAATATAATATTGTTTTCGATTAATTGTCGTCCCGTTGACGTAAAAACGGTCGAGTTTTACTAATGTTATTTTTATATACATAATAATAATTTAATATAATATATTTATTACATATTATATACGATACGCGTAGAAAACTATAATCCGTCGGGAAATTTATTGGAGTTTTAAAAAAGTCAAAATACTATAACAGCTATTATCATTACCTATATCATTGGTCCCGTGTCGATTGTTCCCATTAAAAAAAAAAAAAAACAACGTTATGCCGTTTGTTTTTATTCAGTTTTTAGACCAAAAATAAGAGCATGCATATTCTGGCGCGTGTTTTATACCATGAAAATTAAAATACCATATGTCACTATGTATGATACGTACTATTTGTTTGACGAAAAAGGCGCAAGCCGTATGATTAAGCCGTCTAGAACGTCATTAATTAGGTTAGTCTATTTAGCGATTCGTTCGACATTTAATTTGCTTGTTTTTGAAAATTGCACAAAATCGACCGAGCTCTTCCCCGGGACCGTAGAATCAAAAACGTAATATTATGAGGTTTTTCGAATCGAGTAAAATAACAAAATTTGAATTCCAACGTTTTATAAAATAAACACGTAATACCTTTTATAATTTGTATATATACCTACTTTACATTATTGTTAAGAAGACAATTTGGATGCACTAATAATTTAAATAACAACGTACTTCCACGACAGTGTAATATATAATATAAACTGCATATGCATTAAAACAACTCTTGAATTATAATATATTATACATATACATATTATAAGGCGAATTATGTTTTTATTGTGTTTTAATCCATTGTCAATTTACTTACTGCACTCGCATAATTTATATTATACACAGAAAAAACGAAAAACGATTCTGAGCTGAAAGTTCGGTTAAACATTTTTTTTTTTTTAATACCCTGTGATTTTTACGATTTTCATAAAAATTCCAATATTTGAAACGTTCATCATACATTACACTTAATTTTTTATCTGTCCGCTAATTACAACTTGACGGTCTTTGTATTAATTTTGCAAATATTTTTGTCTGGCCAAAATAATTTTATATTTTTATCCATATACAATCAAATATAAGTAAGGGAGATAATTTGACTATTTAAAATAGTTAAAAATAGCTCAGAAATCGTCAAAATGTAACCATTTTACCTGGTCTGCAGAGGGCCATTATACGTATTTGGTAAAAATTGAAGGCGTCTACGATTGATTTAACTGAATTACAAAAAAATAATAAAAAGCAAAACTAACAGAAACCGATATTGCGTACATTTTTCTTTTCTCTTTCGTCCATACATTTGTATTCCGATTATTAAGAAAAACTCAAAAATCGAAATATCAAAAAGACATAATTGGCTAAAATAAGCTCTATAGTCATTTTGAGATCGGAACGAGATTTCTGGTAAACGAGTTTTTTACAGACAGAAAAAAAACTGCGCATCATAGTAAGACCAATACACTATTCGTTACACTCGGAATAAAAACACCAATAATATTTAATTTCTACCGTTTATAATGTTATATAATATTAGACTGTTATAGTTCAGAGTTCTATCTGAATTCTAATTATCAAGGAAACTAGATTTATATTGACAAAAGTTGTGGAATTATTTTTATTGACGTATTCCATTAAAATATATTATATGTTTATAAAAGTATTGTCCCGACGCTCTGTTTCTTTTTTAGTATTGCCTTATTCGAGATAATGCCTACAAATGTTTGTCCTAGATAAAACGTTTCGAGAAAACTTTTATTATAAATATGTTATAGTCTATAAGTGGCGTAACTAAGAGGGATCTGAGGGTGTGGGCGTACCCGGGCTCATTATTTTTCCTTTAATAATATACGATGATTCAAAGTTATAAATTATACAGGGTGATTTTTTCATCATGAACCAGCAATTGTCTCTGAGGAATTTAATTGAATTTGATTTCTAGTTTTTTTTTTTATTATAATTGTGAAATCGGTTAAGCTTTGTTTTGAAACTATTTTTAATTCTTACCCTTACTCCATATATCGACCTTAAATAGGTATATACTTTTGTTTTTCCTTTTGTTCACAGATTCGATTAGAGAATATTTGTCTATGTCTAAAACATAAAAGTTCTAACATTTTTTTTTTTCTAAATGTACAAATGATTTTATGTGAACACTACGTCAATTTATACTTGTTGGTTTCAACCACGACCTATATGCATCTAACAAAGTTATACCCATAATCTGTACGATTTTTGTTGTTTTTCAATCGAGTTTCAATAATTTTTTTTCATTTACGGTGCACGGGTATATTACATTTTTTCTGTATAGGTAGGTACTATATTTATTATATTTTTATATCCTATACTTTTTTTCAAGGGATAAAATTTTTTTTTTCGTTATTATAATATTATATTTCTAACTAAATATAAGTTACTCATACGTACATGATATTATGCGGTGATTTTAAAAAATAAAAACAAATAATAAGACAATACTTGTATTTTGTTTCTAATTCGGTCGTATTAAGGAATTTAGTTGATATTTTTAGTTGATAATTTAGTTAACCAATTTATATATTTTAGATTTTGAGTGAAGCGAGCAAACATAAATGCTTGACAATTTAACAAAGGTTCATTATAAGTCGTACTTTTTGGTAAAAAAAAAATTGAGTGTAATATAAAATTCTTTTTAATTAGAATTTTACTATCAAATTTTGACGAAAATTGTAAATATTACGGCCTTTCAAAACGTTTTTTCGTTAACAAAGTTTGATCGTTGCGTAAAGATATACATTAAATTCCCCTTTGTATCCTTCCTTCCTAACTCCTTATCTACAACAATCTACAACAACTCACCTATCGTTAGAAGAATGTCCGTCTTTTTTTTTTGTTGTTTTTTATATTCTTACACATTATTTTTTGGTAATTATATATTTTCATGATTTAAATATTTCATGTAATACATGATAGAGGTACACATTATCTACGGTTGAAAATAGGTTATTAATAAATTAGGTTACATAGATTAATATTATTTATTATTATTTATAAATGGAATGCATATAACGTAAACAAATAAATAAAGAATTATAATATATATATATATATATTTTTTTTTTTAATCGCGACAAATTAAATTAGATACTTCAGTAATTGCTTAATTAAAATTGCATTAAAAGGTTAATTTAACCAAACATTTTTTTTTTGTCATTATTCCAATTGTAAATAGAAAACAATAATTTATTTTTATATGTAAATGTACAATATTATGAGCGTTTTATCGCGAGCTAGCCATTTTTTCGAAAGATTTTAAGGGCCATCTACACCAACACAAACGTTGATTTTTATACGACATTTATAAGATAACCGACGAATCGTGATCGGTTATCAGCCATAAACTCAGTTTAAAAATCAGATAAACAAAAGTATTTATGATTGTGAGGACAGGCCCTAAGAGAATTTGATTTCTGTTTTTGCAATCATTTTGGGACCGTTTAAGCTTTATTTTAACAATCTTCCCTACTCTTCCGGTATAAATTGTAAACTATTATTACTCGTAAATGGTAAATCCGTTATACATGTCATAATGTAAAAATATAATATATACTGTTCGAATCTGTCTGTAAAAGGGGGTTCCTATTTGATAATCAACGGTATATAAGAAGTAGTAGTGAAAAATTAAAAACAGTTTTAAAATAAAGCTTAAACAATTCTATAATGGTTGAAAAAAACAACAGAAATTAAATTGATCTAAAATCTCCCGAGAATTTTGCTGATACGTTAAAAGTGGATCACTCTGTATATGTTTATGGGAGGTTACGTCTATAACAAAAATTTAAAGTGGACATTATACTATGTGAACATTTCATATTATGTAAATATATGGGTATTGGTATACCTACTTATAAGTATATAGTACGGGCACTTGAGCTAAAATAATTAACCGAAAATGAGTCACTAATTTAATTTATTAATAATTATAGTAATGTTGTATAAATATATTTTTAATAGATTATTGGCAATATTCACATGTAGGTATACCTAGTTATCTGAATTAATTACTTTAGAATAATATTGTATTGTTGTAGATATTTTGTATTTAGATAATAATACACTAATACTAAATAGTTGAACACAATATATCGCGTGTTTTCGAAAATTTTTCATTTTTAAAATACGATACCATTCCAGAGTTAGGGAGACAAGCAATTTTATCATTTCAAATTTGATTTTTATCTTTATATTACGTGCCTACCTGTATTTCATTCGTAAGTATTTTATTATTTTGAATAAGTAATTGTTATACTATATAAAAATATATGAAGGGTACAGGGAAAAAATCAGAAAAGTTACTTTTTTTTCAAAATAGCGATATCGGTATCAAATAATTTGTATTGACGTGCCGTATCTTTTGTGCAATTGAAATGGCGAAAAAACCAGATTATTCGAAAGTAATGAATGCCAGAAGTTTAAGCCTAAAGGAAAAAAAACAGATAATCAATTTATAGCCAGTTAATTGTTGGGTTAATATACTGATATAGCCTTGAATAATAATAAAATATGAAATTTTTATGTTGTGATTACTAAATTTCAAAGTTTAAAATTAAACTTAATCCGAACTTTTTACATTGTAAAAAAAAAATTTCAGTTTGAAAAAAAGTGACTTTTTCTTCTCTGTACCCTTCTCATATATCCATTTTACACGTTTTGTTCAATCACGTTAACCAATGTGTTTTTTCGTATTACCTATTATTATTAATTTGGGCAGGACGTGTGATTAAATTTGCTATCCAAACTTACATTATATTCCATATATACGTGTTTGTTTCATATGTACCGTAATATATTATGTTCTGTCCGAAACCAATCGATACATTTGCTCTTCCTGTTCATTGTTGTTTGTTTCGTTTTGCCATTAACGCGATACCTTTTTTTTTTCCATTCTATACACTATATTATGACGTATTTTATGCAGGTAAAATATTTTTGCATTAGTCTCTTTGTAATCGTTTTTATTGTTCGTTAGAATAATGTTTATGTATCTTATAATATAGTTACTGCGCTGCTGCAGTATTAAACACCTATTATCATCGTAAATGATTCATGTGATAGATGTGGCTAATAGATTGAAAAAGTGATTAGGAGTGATAAATTATAAGCGAAATAGAATGTTTCGCTTGAGGAATTCCTCTCCCTCGTCACATCATCAAGTAATCGTGACTTATTATTTCCTCAAGTATAGGTAGTTAGTTAGGTACTGTGTACCAGGTACAATCTACATACGGAGACATATATCGAATAAAATAACAATATAATTGTACAAATGAAATAAATTAAACATCGTAAGGTGAAATTTAAATTCCTGCAAACAATATTGGTTTATTTTAATAATAAGTTTATTCAAATAGAATGTCAAGTATGCATGCACTTACGTAAAACATAAATCTTAGCAAAAAATGATCTTATACGATAATGTCTAGAAATCCAAAGTTGCAAATTAATTAATTTTTAATTTAAAACAGTTATTATTGTTCATGTTAAGTATTATGTAACTGACTGTATTTTTATTTGACATCATAACATAATGTATTCAAAACATATACTATTAAAATATTCTATATTTATTTAAAAATTGATATGTGTATCTATATCTGATCAACCCACTTATGGTCTGAAGTGAACATGTTTTAAAAAAAATATTTTACTTACAGATTTTGAACTTAAACTGTGTAAAAACAATATTATTTTCTCGATTTCGAGTCGGTAAAATAACATCGAAATTAAAATTTTCCCTAATTTTTTTACCACGTTTTGTAGTACCATACATAATGTATGTAATATGTTTGTAGTTTAACGTGATGTTAATCAACTTTAAGTGCATAACGTTTATCAGCTTTAAATCGTATTACGTTAACATAATATCATCATACGCATGAGTATCTACTTTCAATTACATAATTGTATATTTATAATTATTGTTAACCATGTTTGAAAATTATTTTACTTGAGTATTGGCTGGTTAAACAGGACTTACACGAGTAATTTATTTATCTCGCGTTTTGAACTTACTGGTCAATTTAATAATTAGAAAGTGATGTTAAATGCAATGTATCGCCTAAGAACAAGAAATATGAACTAATATTGTTATTTTTTATTATTATTCCCATAAATATACCGTGAAAGCTATCACATATTTGGAGTCTTTAATTCGCACACGTGAACATATACAGGTATAGGTTGTGGATACTGTATAATATAAACTACATATTTACGTTCAGTATTACTACATTATTGATTGATTTTTTTTCCCCTCCCAATTTTATTCAGGTTATTCGAATCTAATTAGTCGTGTAAATATAATATGTACCTAACTTTAATATAATATACTAGTGCTGTAGGTACTGCGTAAAGGTGTAAATTATATAATAATAATTGCATAATAACGTACCTAATACCTATATAATATAGCGGCGAGATATTATACTTTTATAGCGGTTTTTATTGTAATATGTTTTTCAGGATCGATTTACAGCAGCTAGCGTAGGTATATTGAATTTCTGTGCGCAATCGGTAATGCCCATATAACGTTACCATTATCGCGATACATTTATTTATTTCCTGTGTACATTTCATTTTAATACTCGGAATATTAATAATCTGTGTATATAAAATCCAAATACCGTTGACTCAATGATTGCTGTATCCCAAAAACTACTCAACGTACGCACTTGAAATTTGGAATTATGGTTCCTCTAATACTTTCACCGTGCAATAGGAAAGGATTTTTTGAAAATTCAACCCTTAAGTGGATAAAATAGGGGTTTTTAGGTATATTAGGCACGAACATCTAATTGTTTATTTATTTATTTATTTTTGTTTGTTGAAAGGTTACCTTGGTGTTACGGAAAAGAAAACTATTGTAATAATTATTATTATTAATACTTGTATTTGCACTATTAAATTTCATAATAAAACACATTTAGTCCGTCGAAGATGGACACATTCCACATATTTGTTTTCATTCAATTCTGACACGGCCAAAACCAAAACTTAATATAGGTAAAATAATAATAATAAAAATTGGCACGGGCAACGCTGGGCGCGGGACAACTAGTATTTCTACATTATTTTCATCGAATTAATTCAAATTAAATACAACTTGACATCAGCTCTTGTATTGATGTATAGGTGCTTATAATATGTATATAATGTTCTTAAGATTTTAGTGAAAAAAATTATACCAAATATAATATAATCATGAAAGTCGAAAATAAAAATAATTAATATGGAGGAATATTACGAATAATACCGTCCGAAATTCTTGACTTATGGTGAACTGCAAAATAATACGTCTGCTTGATGCTCATCATCTTGGGGAATTATTGTTTTACATTATCTATACTGCAGACTACTTCTATATGCCCATTATTATAATATATACTATGTGTTAAACAGACCGTAATTAATTGACGCTAAAAAAGAAAATAGATAAAGCGTATATGAATTATAATGTGCATATATATGATGCATTAACATTGTTTTTAATGTCGAAGAGAAATCCTAGTAAATTGTCGATTATTACCCTCATAGTGTTAATTAAAATCATCAAATTATCAACAGGTACTTTTAGGTGTACGATGAGTTTATACAATTTTTACCGGCAAAATTATTGTATCGATTTGAAAATTTAAAAAGGCTGATTTGTGGTGTCACTGTTTCAGGAGGTAAGTTGGCAAGGAGGATATTGTATAGAGCAATTTAGTTTATATCTGTATACGCAACAGTAAATCATTTCTAACGATCAACTATTCTGAGTACAATATTATTACCTAGTTGTCCTTGTCGCCAAAATAATTCAGAAATCAACAAAAAATTATCAAACAAATTGACAGTTCCCGTTTATTGAAAAAATTAAAAGGTAAATCAAAAAAGGTGCGTTTCCTCAACGCACCACCTAGATATAAAAACGATACGAGAAAATTCCTATACAAAAAAAAAAACCACAACATCGTAAAACCAATACATTCATAGCTTTGCGCAGAATTAAAGTTATTTGATATTAAGGCAAAAATAATTAGTTCGCAGCAGTTTTTCGTCAGTTACTCGGTTTTCGGCAATAATTCGATTATTATTATTTGTATCGTGCGGGTCTCATATTTGTTTTAACCATCAAAATTCGATTAAGAGCTCTCTTTATAATATATTATATTACGGTCTATGGACAAAGAGAAATAATAATATGCTATAGGGGAGTGACATCTAAATTAATGTTTCCTATTACACTTATATATATATATGTATAGGTGTATGTGCGGAGGAAATAAAATACTGAGCTGTATATAATTGGTGTCAAGAGCCTAAAAATATATAAGCGATGTAGCTTTATTGAAGTTTTGTTCCGTAGTCCATAATTTATATAATTAATAATTGTTGCGGAGTACCATTAAAACATAATTATTATGACATTTTGGAGGCACTGTGGAAAAATATTTTTACCGATTATCCGCGTAAACGATAACACAATATAGAGGAATATTCACGTTGTATGGGTGCAGCAGTTCACTGCAACAATAAATAAAAATGATTCCAATTTTGTGTATTTGAGGTTTGCTGCTGGTCTTTTCTATTGTGTTATTTATTTATTTTTTGTTCTTTGAATAACGATTGTCACTTGTCAACACTTTTCGATGTCTATTTTAATAGTATGGACGTAATATTGGTTAAACATTTGATTGATTATAATTATTTAGGTGTAATAAAATGTATATTACATTATAATATGAATGCGTATCAGAATATTATAATGTAGTCTGTACAATTTGTTTCGTATATGTAACGACGTTATTACATTTTATGTTTAGTCATATCATTTTTAATAATAATATACAATACACTAATTGAAGGTCCATTAATCATATTATAATTATATATTTATTTTGTTTGCAGTATACACATAAAATTATGTTGCCGGACATTGATAAAAAACCGAAAAAACCGCTGTTGATTAAAATGGCTGGTTACTTGGAAAGAAAGGATAGAATGGTTAGTATTATATGCATCATTTAATGTTTACGTCAATATAATATTATCGTAAATGCGTATTTTATGACATTAAAGTATATAATATATCGCATGGCTTTAGTGTAGCAACACCTATTATCTTACTATAGCCGGATATAAATGCAAATAAAAATATTCATGGCAATTTAGCAAAAATAATTAAAAAAATAATTGTATAAAATAAAATAAATAATAATAATAGTTAAAACAATTGGTACTTAGTTATATAGTTTAAGAAATTGAATATTTTTGTCAATAGTAGTTATAATATAATAACAAGCAGATCCACCATCCACTTTATCGCTTTTTTTTTTTCACTTGATAGATATCATGTATAATACCGGTTAATGCTCACAGTGGGTATTCATTAATGATGTGGCTATAAGTCATTTGCGATTCGTGTACACTGTAAAGTCCCATTTTGCCGAATCCAACTTCGCCGAAAAAAAAACCAGTTTTATACGGTTCGATAAAAATCCCATTTGGCTGAATCCTATTTTGTCGAATTTCGTTTTTCCGAAAAAGCCCATGTTTTTACTTTATATACGTATTATTAACGGATAAATTATTATTAAGTTCCGTAATCGTATCGCTGATAAAGTAACAGTAATAATAAAAACATACGAGTACTCAGTACTTATACAAATCTACAAATTGATTTATACGCACTGTCATACTCTTTAGTCTGCAGTCACCCAGGCCGTACAAGCAACCTAACCGTACAATTTTAAAATAGAATAGGTATGTCTCGGTATAAAATTAATTCAAAATCATGACCAAAAGATATTAGTACTAGATAGTTATATACACATGATAGATAAATGTAATAGACGTAATGATTATTAAAATATATCAATAATAATGTATAATAATATCAAAAAGTCATAATTCGTAATCATCCGACGCGTGGAGTTGAAATGGCATGACGTGAATTTCGAGATACTCTAAAGGTAAAAGAAATCTTCTATTTTTTTATACTACAGTTTATTTACAGTTATATTTTATTAAAATATTAATATACATTTTTAAATATATGTACCTGTAATAAAGTTCGAAATCAGATAACGTACGTTAATTTTTTTTTCTGGGAATATAGTATGTATAATATTTTTTTTTTCAAAATATTGACATTTTTTTAAAATTGTTGGTATTATTTTCCATCACTCAAGAGTTCAGCTAGTAGGTAGTTATAGGTATTAAATTATTTTCAAAGTACCTAGGTAAAATTTAGTATAGTAAAAACTATAGTAGGTATTTAATGTGATTCGGTGAAATAGGATTCGGCGAGACGGGTTTCGGTGATATAGGCCTAAATCGTGTACAGAGAATTACACGCGTTTCAGAATCATGCAGTCCCCGCATTCAACAACATCATGTGATCCACCTGATATTTGAATCAAGGGATTTCTTAAAATTATTCCAGTTTGCTTGTCTGAAAATTCCATCCCGGTTTTGAGATGGTATTCACAATAATAATTAGTAATTGGATTCTAATATTTATGAATATTAATCTATGCTGACTCTTAGGAAAATTATTTAGAACTGTTCTTTGAGCTTGTAGTGCAGACTCCTACATACTCCTACTTTTGATTTTTGTAGTTTATGACTGATTTTTAATTATTTACTTTTTACAACTTTACATCTATCTAGTGTAGGAGTTAACACTATGTCAATGTAGGAGATTACCTACTTTTGTAGGAGTTTGCCATCCCCCAATATAAGTTCAGCACAATAAATAATCTCTATTGTAGGGGATAATTCGAAAAAAGAATTGTTGCAATAATTACATATTATCTAGTTTACAAATATGATATGATTACATTATTCCGTTTTTTTAGAAATTAGTGGGTATACGTCGTTGGATAAAAAGATGGTGTGTGCTCGAGGGAAAACTATTGCTGTATTTTAAAACTCAATCGGAATATTCTCATAATTTATCGCCTTGCAGAGGTTCAGTCAACATGGGACTCGTATTATCTATAAAACAACGAGATCCGTGTCAACTACAAATCGTCACCAGATCTCAAGTCATTATCTTCGTGAGTATAAAATATAATATCTTTAGTTCCAGGGAAAAAGAGCTTGTACATTTTTGGCCTATTATATTGTGAGCGAAGCTAGTTATTGGTTTTACAATTTTTAAATATTTATATTTTTTTTTTATATTGTGTACAAAAATTCAACCAGAAAACTTGATCCAATTTTCAACTGTAACACCTTTTCTAAAAAAAACTTTTTTCTGAGGTGGTACTTAGTAAAAACCTAGAAAAAACGTAGGAAAACGGGATAATTTATGTATTTTCGTAATTGAGCAAAACAAAAAATAAATAGAAAGAACGGGAAAATTTACGAATAAAATTATTTTAATATTTTCAATTTTGTTTTTGTTGTCAAACATTCAGTTCAAAATGTTTATAGGGATTTGAAATTTGGATAGAAGACTTATATTTGCTTTTTATAGACGCGATACAATTTTAAAAACATTTGAGCCATTTTTGAGCTATTTATAGACATTTAAATTTTGCTAGTTTTTTATGTAATATTTATTTGGTAGGTATTCTGTAGGTAGAATTATTAGACCAAACAGAAATGCTTGAAAATTAACCAGGAAGTTCATTATAAATTGTACTCAATGGTCAATAAGAAAAAGTTAGTTTAATGTAGTATTTTGTTTAATAACAATTAATTAATACAACTAATTTTAATATCAAATTTTGACGAAAATCGTTTGAGTAAAAAAATATGTGAAACAAATCTAGCTACTGGTCCATACAAATTTTTCAATATTTTTTGTTTTAATAATATGTATAATACCTATTACCGATTTAAGAACGATTGTGCAATCAGAATTGATCAGACTGATTAAGTTTCGAAGTCATAGCTTAAATAATAATAAATAAATACAAATAATTTCGGCAAACGGTACTCTTCTCAGACCTCCCTATAAATGCCTGAATGAGGGGGCCGTCTGTTGAAAATTTCGCTCCCAGGCCCAAATTTTAAAGTTACGCTACTAGCAGTCTAAAATATCTTCTTTTTTTTAATAATATTTATTCATAAAGATTTGATATGTGTATATTTTACAAACACTAAAACGTCTAAAATATAAAAGTTCTAACATTTTTTTTTCTAAATGTACAAATAATTTTATGTGAACACTACGTCAATTTATACTTGTTGGTTTCAACCACGACCTATATGCATCTAACAAAGTTATACCCATAATCTGTATAATTTTTGTAGTTTTTCAATCGAGTTTCAATAATTTTTTTTCATTTACGGTGCACGGGTATATTACACTTTTTCTGTATAGATAGGTACTATATTTACTATATTTTTATATCCTATACTTTTTTTTCAAGGGATAACATTTTTTTTTTCGTTATTATAATATTATATTTCAAACTAAATATAAGTTACTCATACGTACATGATATTATGCGGGGATTTTTTAAAAAAAAAAACGAATAATAAGTCAATACTTGTATTTTGTTTCTAACTCGGTCGTATTATGGAATTTAGTAGATATTGCCAATGTATACATTTTAGATTCTAAGCAGAGCGAAACTTTATACTTTTTGGTAAAAACGAAAAATTGAGTGAAATGTAGAATTATTTTTTAAATTAGAATTTTAGTATAAAATGTTGACGAAAATAAGAGCATTAAGAACCAATGTAAATTTTTTGAGAATGTTTATTCTGATTTAATGTATTCTTTGATAACACTGATGGCCATGGTGACATGGGTATGTTTTTGTAAATAAATGCATACTCCATACATATTGATGCAAATAAGATATAAATTGAGGGTAAAATTCCCCTCAAACTAAGTCTTTATATAGTAACTAATAGGTTATATATTTATGTATCCCTCTACATATAATATGTTTATTATTTAGTCATTGTTTTTTCTCAAAAAAATGGGTTGTTCATATCCCTAATAGTAAGTATAAAATGTTGTAATATAGATGTTAGTATTGATATAAAAATATATTAGTGACGAATAAGTTAGCGAGTGGTTTTTCTCAGTTTTATTATGGGCCGGTCAAAAATTTTGCCCCCTCTCTTAAAAAATTTAATTAAGCCGCTGTAAAGGAGGGGTATTGACTTCATAAAATGTTTGCTAAAAACTAAAATGGTGCTTCTGAGGAGATGGAAATCATACAGTAGTTGAAATTATAATGTAATAAATAATATAAATTTAAAATTCCATTAGAAACAAACGTAGGTACTAAACATACCCAAAGACAAAATTATTTCACTGAGTTTATTTAATTATAAAATTTAAAAGAAGAAAAAAAGTTAATTTATGATACAATAGTATGGCACCAATGCAAAACAAATCATTATGCATAGTATTTTGTGATTATGTAAAACTTATATTCTAATAATGCTCTTACCAGGTATAATCAAATAGGTACTTATTTCTGTATTTCATGTGGTTTTAGTAAATCATTAATAATAATAATAATAATAATAATAATAATAATAATAATGTATAAAACGCAGAATAAAAAAAAATATATATATTAGCTAGGAAATTGTAATGATGGAAGTTATTGTATAATAAAATATTATGGCGAAATGAACAGAAAAAAAAGGAAATTTTATTATGACGAGGTTATAATATTAAGACGGGATTCAATCGTAAAATCAAGTAGGTACATTCGGCCGTGTTCGACCTAACTATAAATAATAATAAAAAAAAAAAACATACGGACATACTTCGTTCAATGGCCACTGTAATAGGTAAGAAGTTGTAAAGTCAGAGGGGAAATTTAATTTATATCTGTACGCAACGATTAATCATTGCCTACGAAAAACGATTTTGAGCGAAGTACGATTATAAATGTTTTAAAGGGCCGTATTAATATTTACGATTTAAAAATATTACATATTATACATTTTCCTGTTTTTCTTATATTTCCCGATCTTTCTTATGTATTATAAAAATCCCCGGGAAAATCAAAAAATGACTTTCTTATACCACTCCAGAATAATTTCCTATCTAAAAAGGTGCTATACTTGAAAATCGAAGCAAGATTCCTGGTAAAAAAATTGTTCACAGAAAAAATAAAAATAAAAAAATACATATCATTGTAAAATCAATACATTCCTTTGTATTTTTTTAAAATATTTATTTCCTCTAGAAAATATAAAAATACAAAAAAATAAAAATAAAAAATACAAATTGAATTACCTATATGGATCTGTTTATAGCTCTTAAGAGTCCCACTCGAGATTTTTCACAATTCGCTTAACATTAATTATAATGTCTTAAAATTCTTAACAAATCCAGACAAAAAAATTCAATCGCTTCTAATTTTATATTAAAAGGGGACTGTGCAGTGTGCATAACTTTATTTTTCGATCAAAACATCATTTACAGCAGGCATGTCAAACTCAAAGTATAAAGCGAGCCAAATATATTGACTAGTAAAGTTTACTATACGGGTCGCGTATAAACATTTAACGAAAAAAAACATTTTATACAAATTTTTCAATTTTGTTTAAATTATTTGTAAGTATTTTTAATAATTTATTAACTTTTATTTGAATAATACAAAAAAAAAAAAATCATATTAATTATTGATGAGATAAAGGTTATTTAAATCACAAAATAAAACTATATTAATACAATTTTTTTTAACTATATTTGAACATTTCTTTTCTGCTATCAACTTTTTTATTTAGGGAGAAATTTTATTGGACGAAACCACTTTTAAGTTCAAATTTAGATGTGTGTTGGTTAATCTGGATCTAACGAGCGATTTATAGCTAATTTATGAATGAAAATAGTTATTCACATTAATAAGTATTACTAAATATATTTTTTTCAATCTTTCAACGAAACCTTTATTTTTCTTCGTCATCGAAGGAGCTCCATCTGTAGCAACAAATGGTAACTTTGCCAAAGGTAAATCATATTTTTTTCAAGAGTTCAAAAATAGAAACGATTATTTCTTCTTTTATAATAGTATAATGCATAAGTATAATTTCCAATAACTCTTCTAAAAACAATAAATTCCATAACGCAAGCACGAAAAACACAGCTAACTGAGCTGTAGCACTAATATCGGTACTTTCATCATAAGCAATTAAAAAATACTCGAAACTAGGTACTTTAATTATTTTAATCTGATTACTCAAATTTCATGCTAGTCCAGTTATTCTTTCAGCAACCGTATTTCATGTTAACGAAAAGTTTTGGAAATCTTTTAGATTATTTCCTGGGCAAATAATCTCAGCAGAAATAAACAAACATGTTTTTTTTTTTTATGTCGCGTACCGATAATATCAGTTATTAATCTATAATTTATAAATATATTACCATCAATAATTGTTATTTAATTACGGTTTATCAGAAGATAAGATAGTATAATAATGTATATCAAATATATCATTCTCTAAGATAGTTGTGCCACGAAATTAAAATTGTAATATTATTTTTTTATTTTGTCCATTAATATTGATAGCCGCAGCCACGAGCCACGAGCCGCATGTCAAACATGCCTGGTTTAAAGGATTAAATCACCTGTCTAAAATAGATATCCGATCTCAATACTTTTGTTTTTGTTGAAAAAAGGACCACTTTCTAGCTTTTTCATAGACTTTTGACTGTGCAACCAAAAATCACAAAAATAATAATAATAATAAAAAGTTAAAAAAAATAGTAAAAATTGGTCACATTAAAATTCTACACACAACCTTTAGAAATATAACTTTTAAATTCAAGTGCAATAATTCACCTTGTTAAAAGTCAATAATTCCAAAAAAAAAAAAAAATAATAATAAAAATGATTGAAATCGCGGATGAGGCAGAAGTGTTAACACTGTAAAGCACGTTTTTGAGCGAAAAACAAGCCGCCCGCAGTCCCCTTAATGGGTAAAATAGTTATAATTTTCACACACTTTATTTTATTATAATTATAATTATTACTTGTTCCGACAAAAGTCAATACAGGTGATTGTCGGGTGTAAAACTTATGTATATATGATATATGTTTAAAAAAAATCAATGTTAATTTCTAGAGAACAAAATCACAATCCGAACAAAACGAATGGTTGACCGCATTGCAGGACGCCAAAAATACCAATCAGTCAATTATCGACCCTAAGGACGTCTATTATAAAACGCACATCATGAACATGCACTGTCTGATGGGCAACAACCGAATACTCGTCGAGCCTATCAAGTCCGATGTCCGCAATACCGTCGCCGCGTACAATGGCAATTACCTGCAGTACGGGATGTCGCTGGACGACGTAATCGCCGAGAGGGGCATGCGCAATAATTATAATTATTATAACAACAATAATAACAATTATTATGTTCGGAACGCGAAAAAGAAATCGTCGGCTTTGCGGAAAGCCGAGTCCGACAACCGGATAAGTTTCTACAGAGAAATCCACGGCCTCGTCCGCACCGGAGCAATAGCCGCCGCCACGTCACCGCCGGTCAGCGAGAAGTGGTCGTGTCGCTCGAGAAGTCTGTCGTACGAGAGCATTTACTTCAAACCGCAAGAAAAGTGTGCGCCGACGATCGCCGAACCTGTGAAATCGCAGAGCTTCCGCGGGCTCGTCATGCCCGCGATGGCACACCACTCTGAAACATTCACGATTTACGCGAACACCGACAGTATATCTAAACGGCTGAGCAGATCCATGTCGTTTTTCCGAAGACATTGCGAGAATTACGATTCCGACGATTACGATTATATCGAGGAGGATCGCGTCTGCTTATCGGAGTACACAAAACGTGAGTTTAGTGCATCTATTTGGTAGATACCCAGCAGTTATACACTTATATTTGTATTACATAGTCTATATTTATAACACACAGAAGTATTTCCAATCGCAAATTTTTTTTTTAAGATTTTCCAAGTTTCCCCGTGATAAAGTTTCCTCAAAATACACCAGTAATCTATACCTACCCTGCTCCCTCGAGAGTTTATTATGCACTTGCGTTACTTGGTAATTCGCCTGTAACAGCTGACTGCATTCGAGTTGGACCCCCCGACTTTAGTGGTTTTAACAGGATTGGACAGTGATTGGGTTCCTAAAAAATTCGGTTAGTATACTATAGTTCGATCTCTGGATTACACCGGCTAAGTCCGAACTCTCAAAATCAATCAATACGTGACATTTCCCTTTCATTTTTACAAGCTTTAGAACTATTTATAATTTCTGGCTTTATAAAAACCACATCAGACATGATTTGAAATGTTATTTGTTTCGCCAGAATAATTTATATTTCGGTAAAAACTTGAATGACCTTCAAGTGTTCTATAGACGTAATAATAATATCATAGATAATAATCATTTTAATATAAAATATAAAGACGTTTTCACAGTCATCTGGAAAATTACCGGAGCTACGTCATAAAGTCTCGAATTTTTTTTAATGTTTCGACAAACATTTACATAATGACAGTGTTTTATTTCTATTTCTTTCATAATAATGCATCAAGAACGAGAGTATTATAAATTAACCCACGTGTGTTATTAACACACGTCTCAAGACGACTAAAGACATTCGGAAAAAATGGTGCGATGGAATTTCAAATAAGTACCTATACCTATAAATAATCATAAAACGATCAATGGTTATAGGTAAGGATAGGTGATTGTTCATAAGTATAACGTGATGCTTTTCTGTTGGGATAGGGGGGGAGGGATTTAGTGTTAAAAAAAATTGTTTACGTATATATACATACTTGTATAGGTGTCGTTGCCCTCCGCACTTCCTTAAAAGTATTAGGTTATTTAGGGACAAACGAAGGAGACGATTAAAAAAAAAAAAAAATTAATTAACTATTAATTTATAGCCATACAAAGATAGTGTTCGTTTAATCACTTTGATTATTTTATTGTAACAGATAAGCCGTAAAAACCCATTTTATATAATTATCTTGTATTTTTTTATACTTCACAGAACTCATTAAAAAAAAAAAAAAAAAAAAAAACGATCTTTACAACCGCTTAATTTATCTTTTTATCAACATATAATAAGCCTTTGTTATTATATTTTGTAAATTTTTAAACAAAAAGTATAACGAGAAAACCTTTTCCTATAGGGTCATTTTTTTTTATCAGGAATTTGTTTTTTAGGGAAGTGCCTTAGCATCTATGTAAGTGTCATATTTGGGACCGTACTAATAAGCTACCTAAATCAACTTGGAACCCAACTAGTGTGATCGGTGTAAAATTTATATCGCATGACCCAACTGCGCCGGCAGATAAAATTAAAATCGTTCTAAATAATTTTAATTTCAACGTCTTATATTTAATAATATTTTATTTAGTCTTAGTAGCGGACGTATTTGAAGCATCGCGCAGAATTCAGTTGATTGTTAACATAATATATTTACATATGTAAGCGAATGAAAGGAGGTGTGACAAGACCTCATAGTCAGTTTTTTAAAGTTCAATATCTATATAGTACGCGTGAGTTGTCACGTTTTAATATTGGACTTTGAATACGAAAATGTATTTATTTTTTTATCGAATTTTATAGTTTTATAGTCCTCACTTGGTTAAGTAAAGTTATGAATTTAATTTGCCATTCATTATTATTATTTACGTATTACATACCTATAGTTCGTTTTAATCGTAAGAACACTATATAGATACATGACTTTTTATTATGATAAATTGATAACAAATAACACGTTGTTTGCTGATTTCCACACGGAGTTGACTGACGACGTACCTGAATAATATGTGTTTGCTATCACTTTGAAAACAATCTGCAGCAGGTATATAATATTTTAACACACGTACGTATATAACGTGTAACAATTCACGTTATTATAATAAACATATATATAGTATATTAATAATAATAGGTAGACACGTCAACAAAATTATGTTTATGTTAGAAAATGCAATTGTTAAAATATTCAATATAAACTCCGGATAATTTGTAATGATAAATAAATAACTATGCATTATGTACAATGTAAATAAGTAGCTAATATTGTATTACGTTTATTTGTATGTATTCACGCGATAGGCGATTGCAGTCATGTGATTTTTATTAATTTATTAACCAGATAAATTAGTTACGATTCTATCCCAATTTTGAGAAGGAAAAAAATTTTAAATTCACAGGGTTCAATCCTTCCCTTTTATTTATCACTTTAATCAGTACGGAAAACGTTCGAATTTTAATGGTTATAATTGCAAAAATTGTCCATAACCTCTCCCATTAAAAATTTCCGGGCATGCTTCTGTTCAAATCCTTCTCTATTTTAGTAACTTATGCGTTAGTATAATTCATAATAAAATTATATAAAATTAAATATTGGTCAATAGGATACTAAAATAAAATATGAAGTAACGAAAATCCCGAGTGGAGCGATCAACCAATCACCCCCTCCTCAGATATACATCGCTAGTTAGTTAACTGAGTTCTATAAAACATGTAAAAAATAATACGTATAACAAAATACCACCGAATATTAGTTGCTAAATTATTCTAAATTCAACTACATTGTATTTATGTGAAAAAAATATATCGCGCTATGGAAGAATATGAGTAGTTGGTGATTATTTTTTAATTCGGTATACCGTATGTACTTGGATATAGATCGTATTACATACTTTCTAAAACAAAAAAAAAGTAGGAATGTATTTATTAATTAAACAATTAAGAATTATGTTTTAGCGGTCGTGCACGTCGAAAAACCGAAACAAAAACCAGACTTACCGCCTCCTCGTGTTTCAAAAAAAAACGAAGGAACTGCAGTAACAATGTCGACCGTTACATCCGAATCGGAAGACAAGTCGACGGGTGACGCGGCCGGAGCTGACTGCTATTACAATTACGGCCGACTGAAACGAACCAATGACGAAGAGGACACACATCGCCACTATCACCACTTTCCAGCGGTCACCCTAAGTATGTGATGATTGGATTCGTTTAAATAAATTCTAATTTTTATCGAAACACTATGTATTGAACGACAAATAATGTAAAAAAAAAAAACATAAAAACATGTTTTTCGTCATTCGCCGTTTCCATACCCTTCCCTGTTACTGCGGTTTAACTTTATCGCCCGTAAATATGTATTGTAAATGCACTTTCGTGTCCGTGAATATCTTTCCCGCTCAGCTTTTCCCGTGTTGGTACTGTACAATTTAAAGGTCCAATGGTTTCTGAGATTTGCCGTTGCCAAGACCACTCAATTTCACATTTTATACAGAATAGTTTATATCTTATCAACACCATTTCATTATTCGTAACCAATGGCTACCCTATAAATAAGTAAGGAAAAATATTCGATTTTCGCGAGCCAAAACGAAATGACTGCGTGAGCCGCTCTATAATAACCTCTCGGGGTTGAAAAACAAAGCTATTTTTACTATTTTAAGGTTATAAATGTATAATCGGTGGCGAACACGGACAAATTATATTTTTTAACTAAAATAATGTTTATGTTGAAAATAATTGATAAAATTTCACCAGTGATAAGTAAACTATAAAAATAAACTATCACGCCTTATCGGCTTTTGCTTAAATCCAATTCGATGGTATAACTTTGTTCGCGGTATTTGTTTCATCGTTGAACCGCAGGGTAACAGAAATACTATACAAAGTCTGGCCAAGATATTTCTCCAGATTTCATGCACCGGTTGCTATCTTTTCGATCACATTTCGACGATATAATATCACTCAACATCAAAACAATGAAAGAAATTGTAATCATTTTATCAACTGAAAATTCTCCTTTTATTAAATATTATATTAATTATAATTGCTATTTATTTTAAAGCGATCGCGCATGCCGAAAAATCGGAACGAAAACCAGAGTTACCACCTACTCGTATTCCAAAAAAAAACGAAGAAATTGGAGTGTCATTGTCGACCATTATATCCGAATCGGAAGAATTTCCAAATCAAGAAGCAAGTACAGATGTGATTTACGTGAATAATAATCGTAAAGTGAAAATGGTTACGAGCGAACCGGATATATTAGTATTAGAAAATGAAATCGAACAGATTGTTGAAGGAAAACAAGATAACGAGCCGCCTCTTTTGCCTATCAAAAAAAAACGCCAAGATATTATTGTGCCCGAAGAGGAAAGACGATATCGAATAACGGACGGTGTTTATGTGTTTGAAAAAGTAATTTTTCTTTTTTGTATTTATTATTATTGTAAAAAGTTATGTTTAATCCATATTTAATAATGTCATATTATGGAAAAATGATTGTAACAATGTGCGTTTCAATGATAACAATGATAGTTTAAAAAAGATTAAAACGATAAAAACGGTTACCAATGACAACTTTATTTTTAATCTTTGAATCTTTTTTTAACCTAAAGGAACAAGTTGTTCCACATTATCTCGAATATTAATGAAAATTTAAAAAAATGACTTTTGTAAAGTAGGTACCGACTAAAGCTGAAATGCAACAAAAAATATTTCTTGTCATGTTTTGATTGGATTAAGATTTCTAGGAGAAAAATATTTTATAGACAAGAAAAAAATACACATAGTAAAACCAATAGATCCCCTCGCTTCACTCAAAATCTAAAAATGTAATTGAAATCGACACTATAGATTTCCCGCGTTGTGACCGAAAGACGTGTTAAAAATCTTAATTTTATTTAAGTGCTATATACATATACCTAACATTTAAACGAAACGTCTATTAATGAAGAGTTTTTATTTCTGCTTATAGGGTGATGCTGAAGAAGTTATTTACGATGTTCCTATTCCTCACGGAAAACTCATCGAACACATCCGTCGATTAACCATTAGTTCGGTATCGCCAGTTAAACATCACGTAAATAATGTCGTTTATGAAGATTCACTGGAGCCATCTCTTTTCGAGTGAGTTTATAGAAGATTTAATTAAAAACTAATGTATAGTCTATATAATAATATATAAGTATATAAATTATTAAACACTACATTTATTATAATCGGTGTGTTATTCGTATGTAAGAACATTGCCCATGACACCCGATTCGCTGGAAGTTACCACGTTTCCCACGTACAAGAGATGGTCGAACGACTCTGGTTACCTGCACGAAGAACCCAATTCCTTTTCGAATGATCAGACCCATTTCGAAGACTCTTTGGAACCGGTCATAACCACGATAAACCACGATCGCAAAATATGGCAAAACATGCCTAACATCAACTCGACTGACTACTTCCGTTGACTATATATATGTAAGAATATTAGAAAATGTATACGTACGTGTTCTGTTTTTGTATATATTGAACTTTCTTTTAATATCATATTATTACCTACTGTTTGTCTGTGTTGTCGTCTATTTGTTATACTTATGTGTTTTATATATTTAGCGAATTATATTTTGTACGTTTTTTTTTTTTTAACTTACCTACATAGTTTTTGTTTTTAATGTTTATGTATAGAGACGTCCCAGTTATTAATATTTAAACGGACAAATTATGATAAGTAAAAAAACAAAATATTATATTTATGTGTAGACATTGGGAACGAACAGACAGCTCTCAGATACATAATATGAACTGATGAATTCATACTAAAGTCATAGAAATAATTATGTAGTAATAATATTAACACATAGAATGTATATTACTAGGTTCAATGTGCAGGCTGTTTTATGTAGAAATCTGTTATTCAATACTATTTAATTTCTACGTTTATTTTTTTATTAAATTACTAATATAATCTTATTTGTTTATCGTGTTATCTATAGACAATTTAAAAAATACACCAGAAAGATAGTATATATATATAAAAAAAATATATTTCTAATGTTTAATTATGCATTTCATCAGTCGAGGTTTTAGTTTAGCACCACCGCCCCCCCCCCATTTTAATATCCTGGATATGCCCCTGGTAATAGCGAGCTTGGTTTGCATGTTTTTCAACGACTTTCCCCTAAATACTTGAAATATGTATCACTCGTTAGCCACTCCAACCAACCACAGTCAGCCAAAACGGCCCTTATCAGAGCTAGACTTTGATGTCCTTTAACATAGAGGGACTTACACCACAAAAAGAAATTATCAGCACAGAAATGATAAGAGAGCAAGTGTGCAAAATACCTCTCTTACAAGAAACTCACAGAGGCCAAGATCAAAACAGACCTAAAATTAACGGTATGATCATAGAACGACCTCGTAACATATATATATATATACGTGGTGGATACTATGGAAAGGATTTTAAATGTAGATATTCGGTGTTTTTTTACAATTTTTCTACAATTATGAGATTCAAATGTGTGTATTCAATTTCTCTGAACAAAAATTATATTTGGTATACAATTATCAAATTATCAAGAAATTGTAAAAATTAAAGTGGTCAATATTAATATATATTTATCTTAGGGAAACCATATTAAAAAAAAGTCCACATTTCTTTTTTTACTTTCTATATTTTACTGTAATAATGAAGATCATTTATAAGTAGTTTATTATGATAAAACATTTGACTATTCAACTGTATTGTGAGTTTGAAAAATTTTCAAAGTATTCTTATTTTTATTGGGTAAGTGTCGAATGCTCATCATTTTTCATTAAAATTGTTTGTTATATTTTTTTATTTTATGAATTAATTGCATTTAATAGTTATTTTGGTAATGCATTAGAATCATAATTTCTTTGATATAGGTAGGTATAAAAAAAAAGTGATTTTTTCAACCGTCCATAACACATTGGAACACGTTGAAAATGTTTTGTCTACTGCATTAGTTCCAAACATAACTAGAGAATATTATGCCAAAAATTGTTGATAATTATAAATTTTTTATTTTTGAAATTGTATAGACATCACACCATCTTCATCTTTCGTTTTCTTTAGTATACAAACACAATTATTCAGTCATTCTTTTAATAATTGTTAATAATTTGTCATTTATTACGTCATTGATACAATTTTATATGATTTTACTCATCGTAAAGATTATCTTCATCCTAATTCCTGTCAATTTGTTTTTTTATTATTTTTCAAAACGAATGTTAAACTTTCTTGAATGTCATACCATATTATATTTTTTTCATATGCCGTTTTTTCATTTACATACATGTAATAATATGGAAATAACGGGATTAAAAAGAGACTATCTCCTAAAAATGGGACAAAAGACGTCCATTTTTTGAAATTCTCATTAATATTCGAGATAATGAGGAAAACCTGGTTCTTTTGGTTGAAAATGATTGAAAGATTAAAAATGAGATTGTCATTCGCAACCGTTTTTATTTATTTTGAGGACAACACCATAAACAAACATTTTTTTTTTAGCGACCCTCAGTTTGAGGTCTGGTCTACTCTTACAATATACATTTTCTTATAATAAATAGTTTATTTAGTATTGATTAATGCTACACAATAATAATAAACCATTGAATTAAGTATTGCTGTTTAACTACATATAATATATATTATATGCTTAATATTATATACTTAAATGAGTTCCATTAGTATTAAACATTTTTACATTCATGACTTCACTTAGATTAAAGTGAATTTGGTTTTGTAGTTTTACTTAAATAATATCCATATAACCTGGCATGTAGGAGAACTTTCCTTAAAACAAATTGTAATTATGTCAAATTCATATACACCCAACATAATTATTTAGTAACACTTCTTAATTTTATACCTATTAAATGTTTCTTTAATACTAATGTTCTGAAGTTCTTATATAGTGGTATACCGTATTCGTTCAAGATTGTTTTTTGATTTATTATTATAACGATTATTTGATATATAGGTACTATTAATATTTAAAATGATGGATTAACGATCTGTGATTATTGTATAGACTACATATGTTACAGTGTGTTTTGGTGAAGATGTTTTAATTTAAAAACTACTTGTAATTTGTTTCGGGGTTTTCCCAATTGTTTTGAAAACCTCTTAGAAAATCGATGGATAAAATTACCTTTCGAAAAAGGTGTTTCATTGATACTTGAACCTTACAAGCACAAAAAAAAAACCCACACATCATAGTAAAACCAATAGATCCCTCGCCACATTCTGAATCGAAAATAAGCACGCGTCATAGTATAACCAATACATTCCTCGATCCATTTAAAATCTAAAATACTGATTTATTTAAACTAATCCAATTACTAAATTATCACGTTGGAATTTTCATCAATAATTACCTCGAAAATTCCATATTATTTCTAAGCTATTGACCTATTGAAGGTATAGGGCCATGGAGGTATCTATCGAACCTCCGTGATAGAATGTCGTTATATTTGAGGTTTAGTCGCCCGAATGTACCGATTTATTATATTGCGCATGATTTTTAAATATCCCGGTAATATCCTACGACGACAATAACATTCTCGCCGATCCCGTTATATTATGTTAAGCGTATACGTAGAAGAACCAAAACGATCGAGCCGGATCGAATTCGGCGGTTTGTCGGGAAGCCGCAAATAAGAACGCACGTGCCACGACCTTAGAGACGACGGAAAACGGTCGGGAGCGGTCCCGGCGCACCGTGAACCGGTCCCTTTGAGCGCCGGAGCCGCGTACAAACGGTCCTTGACGGCGCAAACGTTCCGGAACCGCCGGCGTATACATAGGCCGCAGCCGCTCCGGCATATAATAATATTTGTTATAAATATCGTCGGATCGACGTCAGACCCGAACAGTACCGGACCGGATTCGGCGATGGACGACTACGGCTACTGCTACGACGACTGTTTTTCCGATTTTCCGGGACCGTGTTGGGAACCCGCGGGACCCGAAGACTTCTGCGGCGGGCAAGTGTTGAGCCGGAGTGCAGACGAGTCGGCGGACGTCTCGGCCGGAACCGACTGCTATTACAATCACGGCCGACTGCGACTAAACGACGACGACGAGCACGCGCATGGCCACGGCCACCACCTTCCGGCAGTCGCCATGATCGGTACGTGACAATTGGATTCACTTAGATAAATTTTGGAATTTTTATCGAAACAATACGTTCAACCGGATATTATCGCTCAGATTCGTGTTTCTGTAGTATGATTCATTTCAGACTGTCTGCCCCGCGCAGCTTTATCCGTAATGAACGAAAAAAAGCTGTCCTAGGATAATGGGGACGGTTGCAACCACTGTTGTAGGTGGGAAGTTGGAAAGGTAGGATACAGAAGGGAATTTAATATATATCTGTAAGCAACCATAAACCATTGCTAACGAAATAACTGATTCTGAGCGGAGTTGAGTTGAAAGTGTTGTTTTTTCAACAATATATGTATATATCATATTATGGTAAAATAATTAAATATGCCTTATATATTTTCTTTAATAATATTAATTGTTTAATATTTTACCGATTTTCTCGTTTGTCTACGTTTTCCTCGCGTTTTTTTAAATTTACTGGGAAAACTCTTGGGAAAATCAAAAAATGGTCGCCCTAAAGTACCTTCCTACTCAGATTCAGCAAAAGTGCTATCGTTGTAAGCCAAAGTAAAATTGCTAGTAGAAAAGTTTTCCACAGAAAAAGATCGTAATATTTTATTAATATACATCGTACATTTTTCCGTTTTTCCTCCATTTTTTCCGGTTTTTCACATTTGATGAAAAAACTCTTGAGAAAATCGAAAAATGATCTTACAGTACCACCACAAGAAAATTTCCTCTCAGAAAATCGTCTGTATCGTATACATCGGAGTAAGCTTTCTGGTAGAGAAAGTATTTACATAAAAATAAAATAAACATCTTTGTAAAACCAATACATTTTTCGCTACACTCAGAATCTAATATATAGATGAAATGTGAGATTAAATGAGTTATGGAGTTGATATTTTTGATTTACGTCAATCCGTTGATGAGATATTCCATTTTTATGTTTGGATCGGGGGAGATTAGTGAGGTATTAAATCCCTACCCAAATTTAAAAGTAAAATGTGTCATCAATACGTTGACGGCAATCAAAAATTTCAACACCGAAATTTATTTTAAAATGTTTAATATAGGTTGCAATTTGAAAATCACATGTACATAGTGATTCTGTCCTCAACAAAATAAGAGTAACAAAAAATAACATAAATTGTTTCTTAAAAATATTATAAAACAAATTCCGAAAAAAGTTAATACTTTTTCCGAAATATAGTGAGTGGAACGTACCAACCAATAAGAACTTCACTTTTATTAGAACCATTCAAACGTAGAATATTTTGTAGACTATGCTGAACAACAACTATCATTACTTTCCTATGATATAATATAACCATGTTTAAAGTACTTTAAGTGCTTATCACAAAATCAAAGTGAACCGTGATGGTATACTGTTAATAGACACACATATATAGCAGTTAGACTTCTTATGCTGACATGTTACCTACTGTGTTATAATCAGAAAGCTGAGTGTAATAATTAATAGTGTAAAATGCACGAATGTTTTGTACATTAGCAATAATTTTAGTGTACCGTTAAAATGCATGAACAGTTATATAATACCAGTCGTATGTAGTGTGACTGTATGAGTTGTGAGTAATGAGTATCAATAAAGGAACAATAACAATTTGTAAAAATGTCCTTTTTTTTTTATAAGATACATCTGATCACCCTATATATGAACATACTATTGTATTATAATCAGTGTGTTATGTTTTTTGTCACTAAATCGTGACTTTACGATCAATGCGTACAGAAAAAAAATAAAATAAAAAATAGTTGTTTTACTATTTTGAAATTTAATTTACATTGTATTGAAAAAATATCACTTTCGATAAAAGTTTAATGCAGTCATAACATCCGTATAGTCATTATAAATACGTCACGATAATGGATAAAAATTAGTACACATACAATATAGGAGTTTTGCAGGGACCTTCAATCTTAGGTCATTACACCCGATATGTCACTACAGCCGATGTCAAAAATCGGTATAAAATAATAAAAAAAAAAAATAATAAAAAAAGTAATACTGCAGATAGGTACGTCACACTTGTAAGTGAAGAAGGTTGGTAGGCAGAACACATATAAAGTTATTTAAATTTATATCTGTAAGTAACAATAAATCAACGAAAAACGAAAAACTTCGGACTTGTAATGAACCTGCTGTTAAATTTTAAAGCATTTCTCTTTAATCTAACAATTTTATCCGCCGAGGACCTACCAAATATAATGAATTATTTTTGGACATTTTTAACATTTTATTAATAGTTTTAGATATAATATTATAATCGATTGGCATCAGAAATGAAGTAAACAATTATTTGCGGGTCTGTTTTAGACGACGAACATGATGGCATAAGGTGTCGTAAATCTCGAACTGCGTTCACGAAACATCAATTGGGATGGCTTGAGGGAGAGTTTGAAAAGTGTAAATACTTGACCCGATTAAGACGGTACGAAGTGGCACTAATACTAGGTCTTACCGAACGACAAGTAATTATTAATATTATATATATTTTTATTATTTGAAATAATCTTTACGATGTTAAAAAATCATATTTTTTTTTATAATAATGGCTTAAACGTGGCCAACCAAGGACCGAGGACCGAAAACTGGAGTCCTAGGATTTTTGTGAGGAGGGAAGAGAAAAAAGGAGAATTTAAAAAAAAAAACACGTGTTTTCTTTTGGGGAAAATATAGAATTATTTTATTAATTTATCAATCAAAAGGTAAAAAATAAGTTAACGGCAACAGAAAAGCACAGGGGCATAAAAACTATCACTTGAGAAAGAATGGATAATAGGTACGATTCTGACATTAATATATATATATATAAGATTATCAACAAATATTTACAAACGATTTATATTTTAAATACATGTACATTAACTGGGGCGCCAACCAGTCTTAAAAGTGTTGTCCGGACACAGTTATTGACATGACGGGGAGCGTGCAGGCCGAGACTTATTAATATTTATTGATAAGGATGAATCCACATTCACGTGTGTGTGCTGACCGAGATGGGTATTGACCCAGACGGACCCCCACGTGGAACTTTCGTGAGCACCTTGTGTATTGGGGAGATCCCGGCAGAAATGTGCGGTTGCTAGGTGACACAAATTACCACCGGGAAGGGTAGCGGAAACGCTTTTTATTTCCTATTGACTGGTCCGTAGTTTCGGTGGCCTTACGAGTGAACCTGCGAGGTGCGTCCGAATATGGATCGCGAAATGGGGAAGATAAATCAATATATATATATATATTCCTTTTTTAAATGCTCACACACGTGGTTCCGAAACCTAAAACTTAGAGGAATAAAAAGTAAAAAAACAATATGCGGGGGGTTTGGCTTATCGCACATAGTATAATGAAACGGATACACGCATACACGCATCTAGCTGGTTGATCCCCATAAGTATATCGGAAGAATTTAATATACGAGAAAAAAAGAAACATTTTAGATATATGTATATAATATAATACGGGGTGAACCTTAACTGGATTATCTTAAAAACTAATTAACTAACTAACGCTCTATCGGCCAATTATTAAATCACATACATATTACCATTCGTTCAACCCGAAGATATCCGCCCAGCGAAGCAGATCGAGACTCACTTCATTAGTTCGTTTGAGGGACCATCATGAAACGTGCTATGGTATACGACTTTTTCTTGACGGCAAAATATGTGAATCCGTGTAAAACACGGGAGTGTTTTATTAAGAGAACTGTATCGAAAGACCGTCTGATGATAAAGTCTTGATACGAGGTCTATACACGAAAAAGGAAAGGAACGAACAAAAAAATGAAAACTAGGTAGCGGAGCGCGGAGACGTTCGTGGCACACGTCGCCGCGGGTCGACATTTTTCGCAATAAGGGGAAACGTGATATAATTGGCCGTTAACCCGTAGTCAGAAATATAATATTATTGTGAATTGCAAAAGATTGCGATCGCATAAACCTTTGCTCGGGGGGGAATTATTGTTCATGATGTCATAACATGTCCGTCGACGCGGGCATAATCTATTAGGTAATCGACCATATTGATTGTAGTAATGCTTGTCCTTTGATAATGGGAAATGATCGTTTTTGGACGTTACACAGTTGAAATTTCTTTTACCAAAATTCACAAAATGGTGTACACAAATATACGTCTTGAGCAGTTCATAATAGAAATACGTTGTAATACCATGATGCCAGTCATACTTAGTGAGGTAGCCAAGATTTTAGGGTTGAGAGGGAGGGGCAGCCTTCAATAAAAACTTGTATTTTGAAAAAATTGTCTAGCAACGCTTCAAAGGTTTTCGAGAAGTTATATTCGAAATTCGGTTATAGATAAAACTTACCAGTTATTAATTTGCTTGTATCATTGATAGAAAAAAAAAAAATCGTTTACAATTAATGTGAAATAAACAAATTACAATAATTATTCATTCAAACAGGAAAATAAAAAAGGTTATTTTGAAGAACCGATTGCCCCCTTACCTCTCCCCCCCCCCACAAATACGCCACTTCGACTATAGTTATGTAGCCGTGGCTCGATGAATCCTGTGGACCGTGTCATTTAAAACGAAAATTTCGAAAAATGTCAAATATTCATTCCAGTAGAATATAGTTTGTCGAAATTATACGATATTTTCAAAAGTTGGATCGACAGTAAGTGTTAACATTAATGTTTTTTTTCAGGTCAAAGTATGGTTTCAAAACAGGCGAATGAAGAAAAAAAGACTCAACGGAGAAACCGTTTACTGAAAAAAAAAAAAAAAAAAAACAAAAAACAACCGTTTTTGCACATTTGTACTTAAATCATCGACCCTATCTGCTAAATTAATAAATTATGTGAAAAATTTAAAAAGTCATTTTTTTTCCTGTACGTGACAAATGTCAACTAACATCAGTGAAAGGGTTATTTAAAGCTTTTTGCGGTGCAAGTGGTTTCAGTTCTTATACTATACACAACAGAAAGCAGTATCAACAGATTAATATTAAAAAATGTTATTCACAACTAACAAATTTATCGTATCTAAACTAAGAAATTTGTAATATATTTAGTTTTAAACTTGTAATTGAATATGCTTGATATAAATAAGTCTATACGTACATTACCTGTATATTATTGATTTATTATTTCTTTTTTTTATTTTAATTAAATAAACGCTTTATTTTAAATCTATAAAATAAGCGTAATAAGTAAATGTACTCGTAATTATAGATGACTTGATTGACTTGAGGTAGAGGGGGGACTCGTTCAGCAACAGTACCTCCTATTTCATTAATTTGGTGGGTTCATGTAGAAGAACCGTTTTTTTTTTTTTTTTTTTTTAACTAATTTCGATTAAAAATAATATTGCAATATATTCGTAAGTAGATTAAAAATCGAGCTCTTTACCTTCTTTTAAATTATCATTCCACCAAATTACGTCGTTTTGTATAGACTGTTAACCAAAATTTCTTTTCGTAATATACACAACATGTTTCACAAAGTTAAATTAATTGGAACCACTTTTTTATAGGTATCAGATATCAAGATATCAAGATATCTGATTCAATCAGGAAATTCGTATGATTTTTTTGGTAATATTTTCGATCTAGTTGATACATTTTTTCATGCTCCCTTATAATTTTCTTAATAAATGGAAAAAACTACTTGCAATTTGTTGTACAGTGTTTATCGATTTCTAAGTTACCCTATTTGGAAACAAGGAAGAAAATACAACTAATAAATTATAATACTCTACACAGCATCGTTTTTCACCAATTGTTAACAATGGTTTATCGTTGCGTAAAATATGTTGCCTATAGTCGGATCATTGAAGAGGTTAATTAATTTTTTTCGCTATACACTTATTCACTGTCCATTATTTAATAATATTTAATAACCACTTGGTATTTTTATCTAACGGAGATAACGAAACTAGCTCGAGCGTTTCGCCCCCTCTCCCCCAGGATTGACAAAACGGGACTATAAAAGCCATGTATTACTGCAAGAGTCTGGTAAAACTGTATATCTATGAGTATCTAAAATAGTGAGCCCCCCACGACATTTTAACAACCTGGCACCTTTGACCGCCGTGTCGACGACTTCGTGCCGTTTCTTCCGTGGTTTTTGGTCGTCATTTGCATACGGGACAGTATTTGAACTCGTACATAGACTGTGTCACACAATTTGGAAAACGATGTACAAACATTACTACGATTGAGAACGGTTGCAGGGGCTCAGGACTTTCCACGGGACCTAGATTTCGATTTTCCACTCTGACCGTAACATAATATAAACAGCTGGAACCCTCTTTGGTTAACAAGACGTAGCTAAAGAAATTTAATTTTTATGCCGAACTGAATTATATCGCCACTATCAGAACAATACTTTTTTTTTTAATATAGGTTGGTTTTCATTAAAAAACCAAAGTTGGTATCACCTCATGATACTCCTTGAGTGTTGCAAAAACCTAAGTGTTCGAAAATATCTGTTTTAACTACACTTAAAAATTATAAAAATCAGAATTTTAATATATGCAAAACTTAAACGGGGTGAGCATGCTTAGTGAATCACCTTAATGTTGTAACTAACAAATTTCGATTAATATTTTATACACCAATTGTACATAGAAAAAATTCTGTTCTTTACAGTTGAGACGTTCCGGTTCGGTCAGCCTTGTTGAGAGAACCGACCCGAGCGCCCAGCTAACTACCCGCCGAGGAGCAAGGTTGCCAACCTAGAACCGAGGTCCAAAGACCGGAGTCCTAGGATTTTTGTGAAGAGGGAAGGGAAAAAGGAAAATCTAAAAAAATAAACACGCGTTTTTTTTTGGGGAAAATATAGAATTATTTTATAAATTTATCAATCAAAAGGTAAAAAATAAGTTAACGGCAACAGAAAAGCACAGGGGCATAAAAACTGTCACTTGAGAAAGAATGGATAATAGGTACGATTCTGACATTAATATATATATATATAAGATTATCAACAAATATTTACAAACGATTTATATTTTAAATACATGTACATTAACTGGGGCGCCAACCAGTCTTAAAAGTGTTGTCCGGACGCAGTTATTGACATGACGGGGAGCGTGCAGGCCGAGACTTATTAATATTTATTGATAAGGATGAATCCACATTCACGTGTGTGTGCTGACCGACATGGGTATTGAGCCAGACGGATCCCCACGTGGAACTTTCGTGAGCACCTTGTGTATTGGGGAGATCCCGGCAGAAATGTGCGGTTGCCAGGTCACACAAATTACCATCGGGAAGGGTAGCGGAAACGCTTTTTATTCCATATTGACTGGTCCGTAGTTTCGGTGGCCTTACGAGTGAACCTGCGAGGTGCGTGTCCGAATATGGATCGCGAAATGGGGAAGATCGATCAATACATATATATATATATTCCTTTTTTAAATGCTCACACATGTGGTTGCGAAACCTAGAACTTAAAGGAATAAAAAAACAAAATGCGGGGGGGTTTGGCCTATCGCACATAGTATAATGAAACGGATACACGCATACACGCATCTAGTTGGTTGATTCCCATAAGTATATAGGAAGAATTTAATATACGAGAAAAAAAGAAACATTTTAGATATATGTATATAATATAATAACGGGGTGAACCTTAACTGAATTATCTTAAAAACTAACTAACGGGGTATCGGCTAATTATTAAATCAAATACATATTACCATTCGTTCCGCCCAGCAGACCAGATCGAGACTCACTTCATTAGTTCGTTTGAGGCACCATCATGAAACATACCAAGGTACACGACCTTTTCTTGACGGCAAAATATGTGAATCCGTGTAATACACGGGAGTGTTTTATTAAGAGAACTGTATCGAAAGACCGTCTGGTGACAAAGTCTTGAGACGAGGTCGACACGAAGTAGGAAAGAAACGAACAAAAAAACGAAAACTAGGCAGCGGAGCGCGGAGACGTTCGTGGCACACGTAGTCGCGGGCCGACGTTTTTGGCGATAAGGGAAAACGTGATCTGATTGGCCGTTAACCCGTAGTCAGAAATATAATATTATTGTGAATTGTAAAAGATGGCGATCGCATAAACCTTTGCTCGGGGGGGAATTATTGGTCATGATGACATAACATATCCGTCGACGCGGGCGTAATCTATTAGGTAGTCGATCATATTGATTGTAGTAATGCTTGTCCTTTGATAACGGGAAATGATCGTTTTTGGACGTTACACAGCGCATTAAATAAAACCAGTAAATATTGGAATTTTAAAGTTACCAAAAAAAAAAAACCCATTCGGAGGGAAGTTTGGCAAGACATATTTTTAATGTAGTAATTTGTACAATTTGATCTTTAACGTTTGTGAAAAAAAAAACTAATGCATTAAATTCTGACGACAGTATCCAAGAAGCAACAGTTGTACATTTTTTAATTTTTTCAATAGGCCTACAGCGTTTCCAATAGAATTATTTCAAGCCAGCAATAAATTTCGCGTTATTTCTGACAGAATGGACATTACCACGGAGACCTCAGGTCTTAGCCCCACTTTATAATAGATACTTATCAATTTTTATTACGTTATGTAGATACTATACAGTAACTATACATCAGTGTACACATTTGAAAATGATTAATTGTAAAAACCTCTCACTATTGCTTTTGATTGCATAATGCATAAAGATAGACAAAAAAAACTATATTTAGTGGTCAATCAAGATCCCAAACTACGAAGCCTGTTAGAAATTCATTTTTATCTTTCGTATGTATATCCACCACTAATTGTCTTAATAAGTATAGCAATTTTTACAATAAGTGGCCGATAGGTTCCATGTGTCCACATGATTGAAGATAATTTAAAAGGTATTAATATGGTCACGCACAGTGGCACAGTGAAATATTGTTTGCCTATGAGATTAACAAATTCTAGGACACCAACAACCTGCAAAAAAAAAATGGCCTTTTACTTTTTTTTAAATACTCCTTGGTTTTTTCAAAATGATGGTCTTCACAATGACCTCAGAATACCTACAATAAAAAGCTGTATAAGGGATCTATCGATAAACTTCTTTAGTCATCTGTGCAGAGCAAGCGGTCCGCAACAATATAGACTGATTGACCATCCTGACAACAGATCACTCAAGCGTGGTCGTCCCCACAATGTTTTAATTTAGACATTTTCAACTTAGTGTAATTATAATTGTAAAACAAAATAATAATAATAATAAAACAAATAAGTTAATATTGCTAATGAAGAGATATTTTCCTTAATTTTTACTTTAATCAGATAATATTTTATAATATAAGATATAGTTTATGATATTTTTATACAAATTGAAAAAAATATTTAACATACGTAAGTACCTAGTATATAATATAATAAAATACATTTTTTTTTTAAATATTAAAAAAAAATAAATGGATTTTTTAAACTTATGAATGAATATGATTCTTTACTTAATTTTTACTTAAATCAGACAAAATTTGACCTAACATATGACATGGTTTATCAAATTTAGTAGTTAGAGAATAGAAATACCTTTGAATAAATATCCAAACTATACACGATTGTGAAGGATATTCTAAGTTAAATAAATGGAATATCTTAAAACACACATCAATTGCATTTACAATTGAAAACACTTTATATTTTATGGTATGAAAACAAATTAGTATTTCTTTTGGATCAATTGGCGTACCAACTATTAATATACATGGCTGAATAGGATTTTTTTCTTTGCTGTGACATGTAATATAATCTTCTATTTCATCAACTGAATTTTTAAAAACTATAAAACTGTTCTGAGAGTCTTTGATTGAATATTTTACTAGACTTTTTTTCCCATTATCATCTTTTGTTACTTTTTTGGAAGTAGGAACAAATATTGCATGCAATAAATAGAATAACACTGTATTTTTTCCATCTGCAAATAAAAATATAAATATATTATAAATAAAGCATGATAATATAAGTAGGTAAATAAAAATTATTACTTTGATTTATGTTTGATGAATTCTTCAAACTCTCAAATAATATACGGCTTGTAATATCTTTTATTTTTTCATTTAGTAAATCCATAACTTTTTTTGATTTATCTTCAAAAGTGCTTAATAAGTTAGGGCAGTTAGGGTGCAATGTACAGAAATCAATATCAATCTAAACAAACATAGTGTACAATAACTGGTTATTTATGGAATAACAATGCACTTTTAATTTTTTTCTTGCAGTGTCATAAATTTCTTTCATGCACTATTGAATGTGGATAAGATAGTTTATTTTGCATTTTTTTGAAAAAAAATTAAGGGCATCATAGGGTTTCAAGTAACATTTTTGGATTCAAAATTTCAATTTTATATTTTATTTTAGGATTTTTACACACCAGCACGATGTTGATATAAATAAAAAAAATAACTATTACATAAAACTTGTAATATATAATATGAAACAATACAATATATAAGAACTATAAGAATTTACTGGCGAATAAACAGGTAATTTTTATTCTAAAATATGAAACAAACTGTTGTGATTGTAATAGTGCAGTGTACAGGTAAATAGATGGATTATCTAAATCTATTAAACAAATTAAAAAATGTATGGAATTAATTTTTTTTCCCAAATTAAAGAAGGCCAAGTTCAATGAATTTAATGTAAAACAGATTTATAATTTTTTTTTTTTTTTAAATAATTTATATCTAAATTGTCAAAAAGAAACACATTTTTAGTTCATTATATAGAATTTTTATAGCACATCATTTTTTTAAAGGCATTGTTTAGGATTTTATAAGGCATTACATTCCCAGCCCTACTTATGAGTTAGAACTTATTGTTGAAATATTTACAAGTCTGTATCCAAAAGGTAGTTTAAAGCTACTCCATTTATTTAATATTTCACTGATTGAGGTTGTGTTTTGAATTTCATTTAATCTATAGTTTGTCGTAGCTCTCCAGTTGCTTTTAAGATCAGAAAATGAACAACTTTTGTCATGCATGATTTGATCCAATATGTACTCTATTCCGGTTTCTGGTTCTGGAACAAAATTACAAATTTAAACAATAAATTAAATATAAATTACTTATAATATTTAAAAATCCTTACCAAAATGTACATGAATAAGTGATTTTCCAGGAACTTTAGCCTGATCATTGGAAGGTATAAGCCCACTGGTTTTTAGAGATCTTATTGAATTGTAGTATTTCGCATATAGTTTACCTTTAGGACTTTTATTTGTTTCATTTTTCATAAAATATGTGTCCTAAAATAAATTTAAAAAAGTTATAATTATTTAATATTATTTTACTTTAATTTAGTAGACAAATAGCGAGCACTGTTTTTAGAATAGAATATAATTAGTGTTATAAATAAAATAATAAAAGTATAATTTACTTTTACTTCAGACGGAAACATTTTAACTATTTGATTTCCAAAATAATTAGCCAAATTAACCGACATTGGTATTTTTTTAGTTATTATGTAATTAATAACAGTCTCCACTAATAATGACCTTATATTGTCATTAAATTTATTATTTGTTTTATAATAATCAATGATCATTGTGCCAGTTGAAGATGTGGTTAATATATCACTCAGATTAATATTAATATCAAACGCACTTTCTTCGTGGACAGATTTTGTGTTAATCTTATTTGATAATACATTTTGAGTATTTTGCCAATTTTCTAAGTAGTGATTAAATAATATTTTAATTCCTAATGGGAATTCATTGAGCAGCTCATTAACATGTTCAGATTTCATTATTGATAAAACTTTCATATCAATTAATTGATCTAAACAAATTTAAATTAAAATTAAAAATACAACTATTTAGTATGTTAGTGTATGACATAAAGGTATACTACCCAGTAATGTTTGATATAAAAATTCTAATCTCCAACTTGATAACAAATCATGTAATGGTTCCAAATCGTCAATAGGATATTCATAACCTTGTAATAATGGCATTTCAAGTATTGATGATTCCGGATTTAAATTCTATTTAATAAATAAAATACCTAGTATTGATTATATTAATATACAACATTTTATAACCTAATAGTTTTAATTTATTATTGTTGATCAATACAACTTGCATCATGCACATTTGCAATATCATTATCATTGCATAATATTTACAGGTATAGGTGCCTTAAAACTATGAAATACGATTAAGCAGTATTAAATTTACACGTTTAAAAAGTTTACATATAATTAAATTAAGACATTAAAAAAAATATTTTAAGCGGATTATTAACTACCCTGAAAAAGAAAGTGTGATATGTTGTACAATGTATATGCAATTTACAGTGATATACCCCAGATGATACCTTCTGCCTACTCAAACAAAAAACAGATAAAATATAGTAGATAATTGATTTCTTTTTTATTTAGCGTCATGTTTTTAAGCACATTTATATAGGTAACATTAAATTCTGATGTGAATTATTTGCAATATTTTTTATAATCCACTATCATATAATGTTTATTTTTAATTATTAAATAATAAAATTGAGCCATTGCTAAACATTTTTTAATCAACTAATTTAACCAATGTTGCTAAAAAAAATATTAGATAATTTAGAACTATTTTAAATTAGTGGAAAGCTGTAATAAATTAAAAATATAACTGATAATTGAAATGTAAATCCAAAGGGTTATTAATTTCAGTCATCAATGTAAATGAAATATGAAAAAACTATCTTATCCTTATACTGAAATATTTTTTCTTCCATAATTTTCCTGTATAACATTTGAAAACAAATTATTGTCATTTTTAAAACTCATAATATTATAAGCAATATGAAAATGTTTTCTATGTTCAAATAATTATTTAAATTGTAATTTGAATAGTAAAAATGGTTTCTTTCGTAAATTTTTCATGAAAACAAATTTCACTATCGTGGTTCATAGCACACATTTCATTATATATAGTAATCTGTTTTACATTTGACAACAATGCACTCTACTGATATTATTCAAGTGGTATTCTGTACTACAGTTGAAAAAATAAATTTAATATTAGACTTAAAATCTTGATGAACTTTGAAAGTAATACAGACTCTACAATTTCTTTTTTGACAATATAAGTTTTAAAATATTTACTGTTATACAAGGTTAAATGACAGACAACATCACTTTTATTAAAATTGTTATAATTATATGCAACAAATTGTGTGGTTGACCCGTATAATAATTTAACAGACTTTTCTAAGATAAAAATATTTTTAAGTTTAATAGTACATTCCTCCAAACTTAGAGTATTATGATTATTTTTATTTTCATTTGAATAATCTTTGTAAAACCTTTATTAAAATCATCGGTTTGTGTAATATTAGGTATCAGCAATGGGATTATAATCCATAATATGTTTTTTTGTTATATAGCTTATAAAAGATAACAAGTATTTTTTAAGCAAGTATATATACTATTAGGCTTTAATAAATAGATAATTCTACGACGAATGATCAAAGATCAATAATTCGACAAATATAACGAATTGTTTTTATTACCTTATTATTTCTTTGATTAAAATAAAACATGAATATAGTTTACACACTAAACACAATTATTGTTAACTTGATTAAAATAATAAAAAAGTAGTGAAATATAACAGACTTATAGAAGTCTAGAGAGCAATGAAACGCTAGCTAATACGTTAAACGACAAATAAACAAACCACAAGGCACTAACACAAAATGGTAATATTCAGCTGATGGCGCATCTCGTATCAATTTTTTATTATCACGCTGATAAAATTATTATCAATTTAATAATAATTTTTATAATATTGACCATAAAGTAACATCATATTGACAATAAATTCCCGTGTAGAGAATGGTATTTGTTCAAAAAATGATAAGAAATATGAAATATAATACTACCCGTTGTGGTTATACAAAAGTACTCGCGTCAATTAATGTTTCAACATCGGAGTCCAACGACATTCTACAAAGTTTAAGTTCTAAAAATGAAATAAAATATTTTCAGAATTTTAACTATATACGGGTCTATGAGTATTACATTAGTAATTTAAATGAATACGCCGGTAAATAATTATGATTTATCCATGTTGGCACATTTTTCTCCGTGTTGTATACGAATTCATATTTTTGTCGTATTCGATTTCAAAATACTGGCGCTGGGGTTGCTAACTTTCAAATTGTATGATATAAGGCAATTTTTTTCTCGTATTATTTTATTTTATTAGCAGTCTAATAAAAAATGTAATATCAGTGTTCAGTAGAATAGGTACCCAAGACTTTTAACAAATAATCTTCTAAATTTTATTTATAACGTTTTTTCTTATCTTCATTTACTCTTTTGACTTGGAGAATTCAATTGAAATTTTTTAGACATGCAAATTGTTAGTAAATTATAATTAAGTGTAGGTACATTTGTTGTTTAAAATATGTAAAAATTACAATGTGTAATAAAATTTTACCTTCATTCTATTAACTATTGGTTTTTCACACAATAATTATCAAATATAAGACATAAATAATATAGAATAGCCAATAGAATTAGAAACGTAGCTTTAGTAGTTTGATGCTTCGCGAGACGTTGTTTGTCGTGTGCGCAGTGTGATCCACAGCGCATTGCTAAATTAAATTTTCTTGTCCTAATCTATGGTAAGATAGTATTTTTATAGTATTATTAGTTAAAAAAAAAAAAAATCATATTTTTAATTATAAATAAATGAATAAAGCAAAAATCGTTAAAAAGTAATACTGAAGTTGTATATTTAGTTTAAGTTTAATATTTCATTCGCGGGAAATATCGAATAGGTACGACAGAATAATAACAGAATGACACTGATAACGAATTTTACCCGCGATTTTACTAATTGTAGCGGCGACAACGGTGTCAACATTGGTTTAGTAAATAAACGAGTGCGAGTAGCAAGTCCAACTCGGCCGAGATAATAGAACTGTTTTCAAGTAACTCGACTAAAATGTCTACTGAAACTAATACTGGGATCAGTACTAAATAATGTGTCCATATTTTAACGAGTAGATAAATTTAGCAACTTGCTTCAATGACTCGGCCAAGTACTAAACTCGTGTGAACCCGGCGTACTACCGAGCAGTGAGTATTGCCAAAAATAATTAATAAATTAATAATAATAGTCTATTTTGGGGAAAGTCCAAGGCTAAATTTCTTATCAGCACGAGCCACGAGTCACTTACTACCTCTTTTATGATTGTACCCGACACCGACGATTAAATACGACACGCACACGACTCCGCGAAGCTGTACGAATGACGAATATTCGTCGATTACATGAGTCGTGTGGGCTCTATGTCATTCTATCACTCTTGATCCGTTTGGACCGAAAACGCTTCCCAGTCCTCGGGGTAGTAAATGTTCGGTCTAGATGTATAAGTCTGCGTATCATAATGTACACTAGGGATGGACAACTCAAAGTTACTGGAGGGCAAATTGTTTGAACTTAGAAATCTAGCGGGCCAGAGCATTGAAAACCAAAAAGAAACCAATTCAAATTTCAAATTTTCAATTATTAACATTCATTTTGTACAGTTGTGGTAACCCTCGTTATAAAAAAAAATGTTTTGTTATTACAACTTTGGCGGTTGGTGTCATCGTGAATATGCGGGCTGCCACACAACCTTGTATAATATTAACATTATAATATCTATGATTGCAATATTGAACTTTCTGAACTGATGTTACCAACAATTAACGCATCGTCAAGTTAGTCTACGGCTGTTGTAAATCAGTGGCGTAAATTGGGTGGCGCAGATGTAACAGTTGCACCACCACATTTTAAATGCAAAATATACAAATATACGAAAACCTTCTTTTTTTTTTTTAAATACCCGTCACATTTTTTAATACCTTGTTCATGATTCAAAAAACACCCATGACATTCCCTCCAAAATATTGTTCCCTACACGTTTCGTAATAGATGCTTTTACTCTGAAATCAAAATTAAGCTTTAGTTATACTCGTTCTGGCGTAAGCAATGTTTTTCCGTATTACCCGGTAGTTGGACGGAGCCAGTGGATGCTCGTATAACGTCCTCTTAATCGCGTTGTGCAACCGTTCTATGTTTCTGTCAAGTAACTACAGAACACGACGATTGAAGATGTGCTACAGACTACAGAGACACAGAGTGGATACACCGCGGTCTTAGAATGTTGCACTTTACACATTGTAGTCGTTCTATTACGACACGCTGTACAGCCGTGATGATAACATTAATGATCGACATTTTTATACATTTTTACCATAGATAATAAATGTAAATATATAAATATTTAAGACGATGCACAAAGAACGCAACAATTAGATACTACGAATTTGTTGCCTTTTGTTTTTTCCGCGTTCGTCACACGGTATATTAGATAGTAGGTTACACACGGTATATTCTTATCTATGGTCCAGTCATTATTTATTAGTCATTTTGTTCCTTCCGTCAAATCGGTTTCCACATTTTGCGTAAAGAAAACTGTTGTTACAACATAATTTTATTTTGACATTTGTAATTTCAATTGATTTTTCATTAAAATCATCGTTGTCATGTCTATTTATCCTTCATTGGAAGATTTAAAACTGGACGAGGTTGTTAAAAACATGGTATGATTGTGTAAAAACTGTATCTATCAAAACTTGAATAATTTTTGTTCGTCTATATTAATTTATGCACCTAAGTGTTTGAATATTACTTCTTTTAAATATTTTAGACTCAAAATCAAACCATCCATAATAGTGAAAATCCGCCTCCGTATATGGCAATCTGCCCGCCGCACCCGTCAGGCATGGATCAACAGTCATTGGACGCCCTATATCCGGTACTCAATGATTATATGGGTCTAGAACTGAGTATAATAGCACAAAACAACACCATAGCCAATCCTATCCAAAATCATCAAGTTCAAGTTACAAACGGAGTTCGTAAGGTAAAACTAATACTTCTTAATTCACTTGCATTGGAATACCTACTTATAAAATTACCGAGTACTAATTTATGATAAATCATTTAGTTGGTTTTATGTAAGGATGGCAAGGGCCAAATAGGATTAAAATTATCCGCGTTGAACAATGGTGTATTTGTGAGTATTGTTGCGCAAGACAGTCCTGCTGCTAAAGCGGGTGTACGATTTGGTGATCAAATACTACAGATAAATGAAGATTTTGTTGCTGGAATGAGTGTTGATAAAGTATACAAAATTTTCAAGGAATGTTCAGTGAATAACATCAATGTTATTATCAGAGACCGGTAATGAAAATCAACTAAATCAGTGCTGTATGCTATCAACACATACAATATTATATACTTACTACCGATATAATAATGAATTGATTTCAGTCCCAAATTAAGAAATTGAAATTCTTCAATTTGGAAAATTATTTATCAGTACAAATTAAAATATTATTGTAGGTATTATCTTTCTTGTAATATACACAATTTCATTATCAAATATATTTTTATATTTTAAAACAAAGGCCATTCATTATATAAATCATAATGTAATTATTATATTGATACATTACATTTTCTATGTAAATAGCATATAGTACTGTTATCAAAATACAAACACAAATAACATAACTACATATTAATTACCTATTATAAAAATTATCTCAGCTTATATTATATTACAATATATAATACAATAGTAGAAACTCTCAGAAATATTTTAATGAATATTAGTAAAAAATAAAATCGGCAAAATCACTAACAGGATATTTAACGAAAAGATAAAAATTATTATTTTTTAACAACTTAATAACTTTTACCACTTTTGATATATATTCATAAATGGGAACCTAATTATTGTATTATTATTTTTCATATGTATACTTAGGCCTTTAGAACGAACAATTAATTTGTACAAGGACCGGGCAGGCCAAGTTGGTTTTCAATTTAAAAATGGCAAGATCAATAATATCGTCAAAAATTCATCAGCAGCTCGTAATGGAGTACTTACTGATCATCAGCTTTTGGAAGTAAATGGACAAAATATTGTTGGTATGAAAGACAAAGAAATAGTGGAAATTATTGCTAATGCCTCAGATATGATCACTATTACAATCATTCCCATGTCAATATATGAACAAATGATTAAAAAGTATGTATAATAGATAGTTTAATAAAATATACTTATAAAAAATAATTGATAATTGAATAATGTGATTATGTGATTATAATTACATTGTAAATTTAATATGATCAGTTTTAGCAAAACTCCACCATCAGAAAATATTAAAAAGAAGGATTATAAAATTAAAGAATTATAATTAAGTTATAATATACTACTAGATATTATTTTACTGAAACTATTTATGTCAATTTTATTGTTTTGAGGGTTGGTATTACAAGCATTGGTTACGTTTCCGGTTACGTGATGGTCTGTTAAAACATTAATGGACTGTTGAACTGATAGTATTACCATCCTCCATACATTTTTTTTATATAACTTACAAAATTCTCTAATTACAGTATATAGAGTATACTTTATGTTATAGTATAATTGTTAAATCGATAAAATTGATAAATGTGGAAAATTTTGTGAAATTGTGATTACTTTCTACTTTTCAGTATTTTAGGTTTTATTTTTATTTTTTTGAAAAAAATATCAATCGATAAATTAACAAAAATCTTATAGACTCTTTTTAGCCTTTCGGATGTTTGTAATACAGGGGCATTTCTTATGGAGTATTAAATTATAACCAAGACAAAACCAATGATTGTGATCTGATCCTTAATTTAGGTTTATTACGCTCAAGGTTTTCTCCTTGGATACTCTTTATATGATCTTGGTTATTGTATGTTTAAAAGATGGTCTTTTGCTTTGCAAATGTGCCTGGCATAAATCTTATTTTCTAGCTCTTGAGTATTGTTGAATAAGGTTGAATAATTTTCTGTTAGTTTTATTTCAGGTCTTCTTCATTTTTCATTGAACCGAAAGTGCTATGCACAATTTTCCTCTTAAATACTAGTATTTTCATTAGAATCAGTTATATACTTACTAGTTAGAGAGTTACTTTTTAAAAAAATTGAAACTTAATTAGTTGGTTTAAGTTTTGAATGATTTTCTAACTTGTTGCATTAGATGCTTGAAAATAGAAAAAAAAAAATACAAAGTAACTTTATTTTTTAGTTTCTAGTAAACATTTTTTTTTTTTATAAATCTTCATATTAAATAAAATAAATAAACATAATGAATACATATATAAATAAAAAATGTTTGTATACAAATAAAATAAATAACTGAATCAATGCATTGCCTAGAGTATTATAAAAAGTGTATTATTAAAGATATTATTTTTAAAATCGGTTTGAACTTTTAAAATATTTTTAAAATTATTTTTCTTTATGTCATTGTGTTTGTGTAATTTTTCTAAAACTGAATTAATGTAAATGTTATTTTAGGTATTTAATATTTCTGAGTCTGTATTAATATCAAAACTAATATTATGGTTATTTTCTAAAACATGTCTAGCAAAATTTGAATTAGGGGAAGCCTTTTTAATTTTATTTTAGAAATTTGATCATTTTTTAATTCATTATTCTTAAGTCTTGCATGTATTCCATTAAATAAACTTAATGATCAACACGAGCTCAATAGTATCTATAATAAGGCCCGTAGAAATAATATCAATTCAAACAGTTCATAAACGTATTAAAGAAAAAATATTACCCAAAACGCCAAATAATGTCGTTAACTATTGCAGTATGGAATATTAAAATAATATATCTAACGAATTCGTTAAAAGTCTGAAAATATAATACAAACAATGTAAACATCGCTTTTAAGACTAATAATAATTTAATCAAACATGTAAACAACAGAACTAAAAACTTAAAAAAAATCCCCCTTGTTTTTAAAATGCTGGTATATATTTACTTAAATATAACTGTAATACATTTTTTATAGGTAAGACAAATAGAAATTTTAAAATAAGATATAAAGAACATATTTCTGAAATAAGATTAAAAAAAGACTTTCCCTAATTCAAATTTCGCTATACGTGTTTTAGAAAATAAGCACAATATAAGTTTTGATATTAATACAGACTCAGAAATATTAAATACCCAAAATAACATTTACATTAATTCAGTTTTAGAAAAATTACGCAAAAACAATGACATAAAGAAAAATAATTTCAATAATATTTTAAATGTTCAAACCGATTTTGAAAATAATATCTTATATCAATACATTTTAGATAATAAATAATAACTAATTTTAAATAATCTCTCCTATTAAAATTAATCATTTCTAAATTCTATGTAAAACGACCAATTTGTATAATTGTTTTTTCTTTTCTATGAATTCCTTCATTTAATTTGTTTTATTCAATCTCATTTTACATTTTGACCATGATAAACGTGATGATGAATTTTTAATTCGAAACCTGTCGTATAATACACTTTTCATAACACTCTAGGCAACGCATTGATTCATTTATTTATTGTATTTTTATGTATAAATATTTTATTTATTTATTTACAAATTTATATTAATTATTTTATTATTTTATTGGTAAAGTTTGATTAAACTTTTTTATGAAAGTCGTATTTATTTGTTGATACTTTAAGGACATGAAATAGCGTATTTCTATATTTATTTCAACGACCTTCAGTTTTGGCAGCCCTATACATTTTATCTGTAAGTTCCACGGTTAACGAGTTATAACTTATTAGTGAAAACGGCGAAAAAGTCAAAAACACCCGTTCAGAGAGTTAAAGATCTAATAATAAAGGATGAGTTTCAGAACTTTTAGTTTGTTCATCAGTTAGGCACGGACTAATAAAATCGTGTAGTACCAGGCAATACATTGATTCATTTATTTATTTTATTTCTATAGATAAATGTATTCATATATTTATTTACAAGTATTAATCATTTTAATAATTTTGTTTTTACTTAATTATTTTATTAAATACATTTAAACATTTTTTAAATAGTATTTTATATGATAACATTAATATTATTAATTTTTTTTTGAATTTAGGATTGCACCATCTTTGATCAAAAACATTATGGACCATTCATCAATTTAAGAAAAACTATACGTATTTATTTTAAAGTTAATTGATCATATTTCACTATTTCAAATTGAATTATATTTTATAGAAAGGGCTATCTACTTTTTAGTCTACTTATTGAAAATTATTATCACATATATTTATACAAATTTTTAATAGTAAAGCTGAACAAAAATTCACTATTCTGCAATATATATTGGAGTGAAAATGTACTTATCTATTTTAGTAATATTATAACTATTATTCCTATTTTATTTTTTCATCACTTATTTATAGTTATTCAAATAGTACGGAGTAAATTAATGAAAATATATTTTATATTGTAGTTATTTATCATTATATTTTATACAAATATTAAATCTAGTATCATTTTAATCATATTTTGATTTTAAAATAGTATAAATATTGTTTTTATAATTGTTTATTTTAAATTTTGAAGTTTTATGTTTTTTTTTTTATTTATTTAATATTATATCAGTTAATCTTTTTTTATATTATTATATAAAGCTTTATTTTATTTAAATTTAAAAGATACATAAATTAAATGGAAAAAATTGTTTATTTTTTTTGTTAATATTGTTCTTAAGACAGATTATATATACATTTTTCATGAAACCGTAAATAGTTATCTTTAAATTATTTTAATTTATTGAGTTGGGCGACTAAAACTGTGAATTTTAGAAAATTAGATGACTTTTAAATGCATTTTCTGGTATTGTACTAAACATTTGATACTGCCCCCTCCTCTTCAGAGTGCTGCAAAGTCATCTCAACCTATGCACAGTTATTCCACAAACTTCCCAAGCCGGCAACGCTAGATTGTAAATGTTCAGCAGGTATAGTGTTAGAAGTTGGGTTTCGGGTAGGTATTTGAAAATCAAAAGTATCAACTTATTAAGATATGTGAAGTAAAGATAAAAATTAAAATTTAATATAAAACATTGTTTGAAAAACTAGACTTAGTGTGTATTTTAGTTTATATTTTCGTAACTACTCAATTTCAGTATGTTATCTTTAGTTTACTGAAACATTGTTTTTGGTTTAATTACATATTAATAAAAATATAAACATATACATTTAAATTTAAATAAATAAAAAACATAAAACAAAGATTAAACAATGTTATAATGATTGAAAAAGAAACAGAAATCTTAAAATCTTCTGGTTCATGATCAACCTCTATACACAGTTCACCTGACAGTTTATGTTGGTTAAATTATACTTATACAGATTATATCAAAGAAGATAAAATAATATGACATTTGTAATAATTTTTGTACTGTTCAATAATTTAAAACATTTTTTTTATAACCCTGCCCTAAAATTTCATTATTTTATGTATTTTTTAAAACTAGAAATTAAAATTAAAAAAAATAAAACTTTTTTTACAAAATTTTATATTGCCTTTATAATTGCATTTTGTAATGAACATTTTAGTAGAGTAGTTACTAATGATGAATTGTTAAGTTTCTATAATTTTTTGAAGTTTACAAAAATTGGTGGAACAATTGATACTATATTTATTAGTGGCAAGGACAAAAATTTAAATTATCATTCACTTCAAAAAATTATAGATTTATCATTAGTAAATATTTGTATCAACAAAATTTAGTCTTAAAATAGCTAAGATTATAAAATGACTAGGTATCTTGGATTTTTTAAAAAATTCAAATTTTTTATTTTTAATTAAAAAAAAAAAATAGAGAGTTAATACTAGGGATGAGTGCAGCCACTGTTGTAGCTAGTTGAGGGGAGACAGGATAAATAAAGTTGTTTAATTTATACCTGTAGCCAATGAAAACCATTTGGAACCAATTTCAGTTGTAAATGTTTTAAAAGTCCGTAATATTTACTACTCATTAAAATTTGATTTTAACACTTATAAAAAAAAATTGACATTGGATTTCTTTTTAGCAAGTTATAATGAACTTACTGTTAAATTTTAAATCATTTTTCTTTGGTCAAACAATTTTGTCCACAAACCTAAATTTAATAAAAATTACACGAAAACTCGTAAAATTAAAATGTCTAGAAATATTTCAAAAGTTCTTAAATATTTTTAAAATTTTACTTAGAAAAGGCAAACATAGATTTGTCATAATTTCAATTCTCTGTGAATATTTTTAACTGAATTAAATTAAAAATAATGTCCTAGGATAATGAAGAGGGATGCAGCCACTATTGTTTGTGGGAAGTTTGGAAGGTAAGATTAGGTATCCTAACGATTAATCATTGCTAACGAAAAAACGATTCTGAACAGAGTTCTGTTGATAGTGTTCCTTTGTTAACATTAGTTGGTTAAAGATCTTTATATACCAAATTGCCAGTATTGGTGTTATAATTAATAAATAGGTAACTAATTAATATAAATGTCATATTGTGGTAAAATAATTACATATGCGTTAAACATTTTCTTAGTAATAAATGTTAAATATCGACCTATTTTCTCTTTTTCCTCTCTAACGTACCTCCCAGTTAGATTTCTTTTTAGAAAAATTGTTGTCATTGTAAATTTGAGCAAAATAGTTGGTAGAAGTTGTTCAGATGAAAAAAAAAAAAACATGTTAAAACCAATACATTCCTCGAGAATATAGAAACAAAATTTAAAATATAAAATAATTCATTTTTGTAAATTTCCCGGTTCTTTCTAAAAAAAAAAAAAATGAAATCGTGTGCCGTAATTTGAAAAAAATCTGTATTTTTCATCTTTTTTGTACCACCTCAATTACGATGGAAATTACTTAAGATATCAAAAAATGACCTTCTCAGTGCATCAATTCGATAAAATTACCAATCAGTAAAGGTGCTACACTTAGTAGTTCGGAGAAAGATGTAAGGTAGATAACTTGCTCGGACAAAAAAAAAAAATTAAAAAAAAAAAATAGTAGAACCAATAGACCCCTCACTACCCACCGAATCTAAACATACAAAGTAAGGAAATCATAGCGAAAGGCTCTAGTAGTTAGGTACCTATCACAAGAAAAAAAAAAATTAAAATTATCGAACTGATCGAAACTTATTTCAGACGTCATACGATTATCTTCGTGTTACAGCCGGCTGTATTACGTATTATTTTATTACGATGGCAATCGTGAATCACGATGCGAACAGACTACATACAAAGGAAATAAAATCGAAAAATGAAATCAGAAATACCAATATTATTGGCATTTTGGCAGTTGACCCGGGGTTTAAACGAAACAATAAAGGATCTGGTGATGCGCCAGTCGCACCACTCGCACCACGGAGTGCATTCTTTACAGGCAGTGTCTTTGGACGGCCGGCGGGTGCCGAGTGGCGGCGACCGCCACAAAATGGAATCTCTGCGGCATGCGGCACGCGCGTCCCCTATCATAAACGACGCATAAACGACGTTGGTCACACTGGCCGCGCGCACAATTTATTGTCAAATATTTTCAATGAACGAGCCGCGTTCGGCGTTCATCCACAGTTCGTTAATTGTTGTGTTCTTCTTGAACATTTTATTTCACGACGTTGTTCATGTAGATACATGTAGCTAACGTCTCCGGCTTGCTGCTAATGTAACTTCATATTCGCTGCCGCTTTGTAATTGCCATTTCTTCACCGGCAAACACGTTTTCGTCGCCGAACCGGTAACAGTGAAGAACACCGGTTGCGTCCGTCGTTGGAATCGCAATAACTTTATCTCATATAACGACGCGGTATTTGACGTTTATTGTTCGCGAATATGGGCAATTATCTTCGTAAACCGGTGACAGTCAAGGATTCCCACGACATGGAAAACAGCACGTTGATGTGCGGCGTCAGTTCAATGCAGGGTTGGCGTGAAACTCAAGAGGTAATGTATAATGACACCACGTTTTGGCTACAGGTTTCCCATCAACATGCCGCGTTTGAACGTTTGGACCACGATTTTTCAATTTCGGTGCCACTATTGCTAACCTAGGCACGTATCTATCGATTATCCTGGCCATTCACCTGTTATTTCATACTTGGTTCAAATCGTATGATTTTTAAAAAAATAATGTACCTACATATAAAATATGTAATTGATTTCATGGTGATTCATTATATATTATATTCAACTGTACTGCAGCAATAGGCTTGATTTTTTAAAATTCGGTGGCTAAACGTCTAGATAGCCAAGTGACTTAACGAACTGTAAACCCGGGTTTTTGTTATTGTAGTCCACTGGACTAGTAATGAAACTATAGTTTAATGATTGATAGATCAGTTTTGGTTGATTACTTGAAAATATGTATGCATGTTAATTTTATTGACAACTGTAATAAAGTGCAATCTGATCTGGACAATATCTTTATCTCGTCTAATAATTTGGACCTTTAGTTGAATATTTCCAAGTGTGCTATATGCTAGTGTGTCACAATGACCTTTACGTGTTATCTAAAACCTATTAAATTCAGCTATACTATCCAAGGCTTTAATTTGCCCAGAGCTTCCAATGAAATTCGTGATCTCGATTATATTTTATGCCCTCCACTAAGTCCTAATCTCTATATCGAAAAAGCCTGTTGTAAAGCTCTGAAAATGTTGGGTCTCTTGAAGCATATTTCCTTTGAATTCAAATAATGCACTTCTTTCAAAGCCCTTTATTATATTATTGTGCCCTTGTTCAGCCAATTATTGAATATGGCTCCGTTTTCTGGGATCTCTATACTGCGGTCGCCTGCAGGTAATTAGAACGAGTACAGCGAATATTTCTTAAACATGCAGCTTGCTCAAAATTGATACCCTCCACATATTTATGACCCCATCCTCTATAAACTTGATTGAGTATGTTTAGACCGCAGACTTTCTGCCAGTAATAACTTCCCGCAGAAACTCCTTCAACAAAATTTGATTGTCCGTTCTTACTTTCTAATCTTAATTTTTATATTCTTTCTTGTATTCTAAATATGTAAAAATTGTCCACTTCCTTTCAGCTCTATTAATTACAAACTCAATGAACCAATTATCTGTCTTATGTCTACTACTAATTCCAACCCTTCCTACTTTTGTTCTTAATATTTTGAATACTTTTCTTCTCTTCGAACCAATATATAAATATTCATGCTTAACTTGTATTTTTTCTTGTAATTCAATGAATCTAAATAACTTGTAATTATGTTGATGTGTAGGCGCAGGCCTATTATTATAAATAAATAAAAATAAATCACATGGCATACTGCTGTCATAATAAACATACCTTCAATTATTTAAGTTATGCAAACTGAGTGTGAAATAGTTGTACTATTGTTAATTTGTTTTATGCAATACTCTTTAATCAAATTATCTTATTTCAGATTTTGTTATAGATTCAGATTTTAATATTTTTGTTTTTATTTAGGATGCACACAATTGTTTGATTGATTTTGATAAGGATGTTTCACTTTTTGCTGTATATGATGGACATGGAGGTGCCGAAATAGCACTTTATGCGGCTGATCAATTGCCACAATTTGTCCGAGATGAGCTGGCAAAAAAGAAATCCTATAAAGATGCTCTAATAAACTCTTATTTGAAATTTGACGACAGTTTAATCGATCCACCTGTGGTAGAAAAGTTGAATACACTCCGGGAAGAACTTTCTAAAGAAGAAAATAATTGTGGTATGATCATTTGTAAAATTTAAAAAAGTTTTTTGGTTAATTTAGGTATTTGTCTTATAAGCCAACCATTAAATATTTTTAAATTACTAGTTTTTCTAATAGGTAATTTATTTATTTAATATACCTATAATAGAATGTGGGAGCATTTTGAAATGTGTTTTTTAGTGAAGCAAAATCGTTATATTAATTTCTATTTCTCCTTAATCGCTCACCACATTGTAAATCCAAAATTGTAAAAAAAAGGTGTTGCTTCTTTTTCATAAATTGCTATTAACTCACTGTTTTATGATGCCTTCAGCACTTTATTTTCACAGGAGAAAATAAAAATACACTTTTCTTTAAGTGTAAAAATTGATTTATATGATTATATAAAAAAGTTTTTTAATGGCAAACCATGTTTTATGGGAAACCATAAAACTTTTCAAATAAAAAAATATTGTTAAATTAAATTTTCTACAAACTAAATAAAGAAGTTAGGTAAATTATGTTGAATTTATACTTTTATCATTGAAGTGAAATGTTTGGAATTTTTAGTATCTAAGTAGGTACTATTATTTTCAATAATGGTTTATAATAATTGTGTTTTAGGCGTGACTTCTATCGGTTGTAGTTGGGTTTTGCTCTTTATTTTTAAAGATTTACTATTAAATTCTTTAATTATCTTAACAGTATCAAAACATAACTTTATGAAGCCAACTGTCTCTTTTTGTTTTTTTTTTTTTTTAAATTTTTCATTTAGATTTTCCATAATATTGAATTAGTTATTATACCAAATCAATTCAAATGTAGCAATGATATTTTGATGTAATTTGTTCAGCGGGTAAATTTCAGTTTATGTACCTAATAAGGTATTTCTTAATTTTCACTGAACATTTTTGTTTATTTTTTTTTATCTTCGCTAAATAACATTTAAACACACCTCCGTTTTTCATTGTTCTAATTTAATATGATTATACAAATTTCATCCAAACAATATTCTTAGTTATTATTTTAATATTCTAAAAGTTTTTAAATAGGTACTAGGTGTTACTATGTTATGGTAATTGCATTTTTTTTCTAAATAATCATGATTAATGAGGTTTGAGATAATTTATACATTTTATACATATTTTATATTATACAATTTCACGATTTCATTATTTTATAAAAATATTAAAAAACGTTTTCTACCAGAAAAAATGATATAATCGATAAATCACTAGACAACCTTTTTTAAGGAATTTTAATTTTTGGGAGTTTTTTTTGTTATCCGATTATAAATACAGGTAGAGACTTGAAACTTAGTAATAATACTTATATTGTACTTATCTAGTGGTAAAATACGTTTTAATAAGCGTTTTGAAATCAAATTTAAATGAAAATGGCAAAAAAAATTATGATATTTCAAAGTATGTATTACCAAACTACTCAGAATTGTCTTTTGTCAAGCAATGGTTTATCGTTGCTTACAGATATAAATGAAATAACCTTATGTATTCTACCTTCCCAACTTCTCACCTACAACAGTGGTTGCTCCCGTCCCCAGTATCAGCTCCTTTTTTTTATATTAATATTGAAGTATTTTACTATCTTATACTCTTATTGTTTTGAAATAAATGTAAAACCATTAAGAATTGTTACGTTTTTAATTGTATGTGGTACGTGACAGATCTATAACACTTATAAATGGTATATCAAATAAAATTTTTTAGAATCTCAGCTCCTTAAAGTATTTACTAGTTACAGACCTAACTATTTTATTAATCAAATTGTGTTTTGTGATATCTATTCGATATTTATTTATTTAAATTCATAATAAAATCACTGGGTATGATTTAAATATTTGCAAACCGATAACTTATAATGTTTAGGACAGTCTCTAAATTAGGTCTTCTGTCTTTTAATGGTAAGAAAAAAAAACAATATATATTATATACATTTAAAAAATAATTATGAATCATAAATAAAACTGGCTTTAATAAATTATTTAGAAATAACTATATTTATGCTAATGAAAGACCATATTGAGTGTAAAACTCCAAATATTTTATTAGATACTCGCATAGATAACTTATTTATTATTTATAGTCATAATTAGGACTTGGTTGTCTATGTACTTAAAATGGCTTGAATATGTGTATGCACTAATGTACAAAAAAATTAAGTTGAAAATGTCTTAATATTGAATAAATATTTGTTTATATTTGATAAACCTCAATAATATTTTAAATAAAAATAGTGTAATTGAATTTTGTAGAATATTAAAGAAATTTGTATCTATATATAATATATACAAATTTTTATATTCAATTTTTTTTTTAGGCTTGAATAAATTAAATTAATATTTAAAAAAAAAACACCAATACCCTAGCCCTAATCATAAATTCTGTGATTTATATAAATATTATATGGTCAATATATATCAATAATTAATGTATATAGTAAAACTTCCGTATAATAGGGACCGGAAATAATAATCACTATTTAGAGGTGATCATTAGAGGTTTCCTATAAAGGCATAATACTTGACGGGATCAAAAAATAATAATCCTTACATAGAGGTGACCATTAACGAAAGTTTTACTGTATAATATTGTGTACACGAATAATAAACATTAATACATTTTTCTTATCAGTTTAGACACCATGTAACTACTTTGTTTTGTGTTAATTTAATAATTTTTCTCCTGAAACTACAGAATCTAGAGGGTGATGGTTGGTGACTTTTGATTATTTCTAATACCTTTATTATTAAACAACAATTTTTTTTTTATTGTACCTAAAATAGCGGTAAGTGTTAAAAGCCTGTGAAATTTTTTCAAATTTGTGTTCTTCGTATTTTCAAAATGATTCATGGGGTTTTATATCAATCAGCAAGATTTTTTGTTTAAAAAATTAACCTGTCCAAAAATATCAATATTGTACAGCAGTTTGTTTATAAGTTTTATTTTTTAATCAAAAAGTTTATTGTATTTACCATTTGTCTGTGGCGGTTCTAGCATACCAACAAAATAGACAGTTTTGGTAAAATGTTCAATGTTGTGTCATTCTTAAATTATCAGTCTTATAAGTAAATATTTGATTTTTTTATTATCTATTATTTTCGTCGTCTTGACATTAGATTCCTCTAATGTATACCATATTTTCTGAAATGGGAAATATTTTGTATTTTTGTTGTTATTCATTTAAAAATAATTGTTATTGAATTTTAAATAATAAAATAATAAACAAAAACAAAATTATTAAAATGGTTAATACTTGCAAATAAATATAAAAATAAAAAATGAATAAATGCGGCGTTGTTTGGAGTTGTATAATATATGTATTATAACGACTAGTTTTGAATTAAAAATTCATCATATCACAGTCAATATGTAAAATATCGCTAGAGTTAAATAAAAGAAGGGTGAAGGTTGATTGATTTGCCTATTAGAGGTGGGAGAGTAAGGGGTTTCCCAGGTTTGAATATTATATTTATGACTGGGAATTTCCAAAGTACTGGATATAAAAGATAAAAAAGTATGAAAGCTTGAGCATTAAGTTGAAGATGTGTGTGAGTGATAATATAGCTTTTTTAGATAGTTGGAAGGCGACCTCAGGAGTGATGATATCGTATCATGAAGTTTTATGTCTCTGATTTACGGATTATGAACTCGACTTCACTAGGTCTAATGTGTTTTTGGTGTAAGGGTAAGAGGTAGTGGACTAGATGGGATTTCTTCTATTTTGTTGTGAGGTATGATGCCATTATGTCGCTGAAATATTGAGTAAGTGATGACGAAATTAATTTGCTATTTCTAAGTCCTGATAATTCACGTACAGTCAGACTTTTTTAAAGGGGAAACAGAGGATTACATCATAAATATGTTAATTTTTTATAAATTAAATAAAAAATAAGTTGAGAATATCAATGTTTTATCTTATTTTCTTATTTTTATTTTTTTTGTTCAGGGGAAACAATTCCATTTATTATTATTTGGTATGTTTATTTTAATATACAAAATTATGAATTAGTTAAATTCTTATCCTTATATATACTAAAATTATTGTTAATTATTAAAGCATATACATTTTCTATTCATTTCTATAAAAGTTTTAGTTGTTGTACTTAATAAGTTTCTTTTCAAAATGTTTTATTGTCTACAACTGTTTTTATAATTAAATATTGATTATATAGTGTTGCATGTAAAATAATAGTTTACATTACAATTTTTTAATTTCCTATTTAATTTTTTGTGTTCTTTAGTTGACGCTGATGAAGATGAACCTCTTGATGAACTCTTCAACGAAGCTAAACTACCAATCGAAGACATAATCCTAAAATATAAAAAACAATTTCGCAATCTTCACAAAGAAAATAATACAGATCAACCAGGCTCTTCTAAAGAATCTTCAACCTCAAAAACTGGAGAAGAAAGTTCAAACTCCGATACTAGTAAGTTTGATTAAAATATTTAAAAAAACAAAAAATTATGAATGTATATTTTACAAGTAAATAATATTTAATGTATTTTTATAGTAGTTATTGACTTAGAAAAAGCATTAAATGATGCATGCAATTCCAAGGCAGCAGATACAAGTAAATTATAAATGTTAAATAATAATTATATAAGATTTATGTTAATATTATTATTATTTGTTTGTGTATAAAAATAAATATGAATAGAGAAAGATGAAACAGAAAATGGAGTCAATGAAATTAAATTCAAAGTTGACAATGAAGAAGCTGGAGGTTCTTCAAGTTCTAAAGTTAATGGTACAAATGACAAATTGACAAATGAAATTGAAAACGCTGTTCCTGGACCTAGTAAATCCGAGGGTAGTTCCAGCAGTCAAGAACAGAATGGTAGTGTAGAACCAAAACCAGAAGGGACTGCATACATGATTGGTAATGACGCCTCAGAAAATGACACATCTAGCGATAGCGAAGATGAATTGTTTGAACCAGAAATTCCATCTAGGTAATTAAAATATTGATTATTATGTATTTTTTTTTATAGTTATACAAATAAAAATACTCTTAAAATTAAATGTACCGAGGCGGTTTTAATATTATTTATTTTACTTATTCTACAGAAATGCCATCTATTATCTATTGTTGTTGGTCTTGAATAACGTATGTGGTATTGTTATGTACATTGCAATCTGGATTAAACATCTGAATTGAATGTTATAATATTAGTTATGACTTAAATTTGTCTTCAAGATATTTTAATTACGTATTTACTTATGCAATGATAATAAAATAGGCTATGTTCTGATATATATGATAATTGGTATATAGATTGTAAAGCCCTTTAGGATTTATATATGTATGTTAATAAAACTATGATTGTTTCTAAGTACATATTATGGTACACAATTTAATACATTATTGTACAATATAGGTTTAATAAACATTAAATTATATAGTTTTTATTATTCTTTAATATTCATAACTATAAGATTTAAGATTTTAAGATAAATTTTAGTATTATAATAATAATTAAATATATTGCTTACTTAATAATACGTTTCAAATGTTAAAAATTTTTAGTTCAGAAGAAGAATCTCTGGATGACTCTGGAAGTGAAACAGAATCCGAAGATGATGTTTGCTATTCTAATAGTTTACTTGCTAATATATGTGGTATGGACGACGACGACGAGGACGATTTGGTAATTATATAATATTGTTTACATTAAAATAAAAATTGTTTCTATACTCCGTCAAACTCTGTCCTTAGACTTCTTTCTATAATTTATAGAATTATATTGCTTTTTTTCAATAATATATATTTTTATAATGTACAATAGTCAATAAAGCCTTTTATAATTTGGTAATATTTGATAATTGATGACAAAATACAACCGGAATGTGTGTTAGTTATACGCATTTTAAATGCCCTTGTGTTTATCTATTTCACCATGGTTATGTTCACTTTAAATATCTACATTATTTTACTTAATAATAAAATAACATTTCTTTTGTTCATCTTCACAATATTTTACTGTCTTTATGTTTTTAAAGTACAATCTGTCTATGAACATTTTGATTGATTATTCAATCTCTTTTCCCTCTAGTTTTTAACTTACAAGATTGTCATCTATCCTCAAAACCACAACTGCAGCTTTTGTTAATTCTGATATTTATTTAATTTTTTAATTTTGTTGTTTGGCTTTAAAATGAATTAACCAATAACAATAACTGTTATGCTAATATTTATATATATTTATACTACAGTGAAAACTTTATAACAAAACTCTCAATGAAAAATTCTATTTTACCTAAAACTTACTTAATAATAGTTATATAATAATGATTGGTTTGCTTTATAACCCATGTATTAGTTCTCTTTAACCTTCTGTATTGTGAAAATTCTATAACAAATGAAATCTCTTTGTCCCTCCCTAAAGATTTATATATATATTATATATTTAAAATTTATTTATTGATTGAGGAATCCTTAGTAATTGTTTTAAAATGTTTGAATGTTTTTGCCTGTCATCATTTTAAATTATGTGCAGAACGAGGAATGTATTGAATTTACAATGCTTTTATTTTATTTTTTTTCTGTGGATAACTTTTCTACCAGCCATTTTGCTCAGATTTTCAATGATATCACTTTTTCTGAAAGAAAATCAGACCTGGGTGGTACATTAAGGGGCTCATTTTTAGATTTTCTCAGGAGTTCTCTCAATAAATAGGAAAAAATAAGAAAATAGATACAATATTAAACAAACATAATTAAAGAAAATATATAGTGCATATGTAATTATTTTTCCATAATACGACATTTATATTGTTGGAAAAGCAACAACACTATCAACTGAAATCTGCTTGATTGTTTTTTGTTAGCAATAGTTAAATTAAATTGTCCATAACTGTGGCTGCCTGCATCCCTCCCAATTATACTAGAACAGCCTTTTTTAAATGGTTTTATAAAATAAAATAATTTGTTTAATATATTTTTATCTAGTATTTAATTTACAATTTTTTTTTTCAGAGTATGAAATGTATTTTCTGTGATTAACAGGGTTTGGGTTTTATTGCATTTAAAATTTATTAAAAAGTACTTAAAAATGTCAAAAAATCCTTGAAAAAAAGCAAATATTTTAGACCAAATGGTAGAAGGGTTAAATGTCTTCAACTTTTATTAAATACAATTTTCTAATGTTGCACAAATTATTAATCTAAAGTTTTTTTTTATAATACATATAATTTTATTTAAACAAAATACATTGTTAATAATAATTTAAAGTGCTTTTTTTTTTTTTTGTGACTTAAGTGCAATAAGTATTGAACCCTAGTGATCAATATAGCATACAGACTGTCCCACAAAGATATACCTCTTGAATATCTCCAAAAATAATAAGGATAATCAAATTATGTTTTTTATATTACTCGTAGGAATAAGGACTACAAGTAATTATATTTGAATTCATTTTTTTATTTTTTTACAAACATAACTAATAGTAAAAGATTACTTTTATTATTTTTGGAAAATTTTAATGTATCACACATTTATATTGTGATAACATCAGTTTTCACATGGATTAGAATTTAAAACTGCTGTTACTTAAAAACTATTCATTGGGTATATATGTGTAATGCATTAAAATTTTCCGAAAAATAATAAAATAAAAGTTTTTTTTTTTTTAAAAAAAACAAAAAGTTTGATTCAAGTATAAATATTTGTATTCCTCATTCCTGTGAGTAATATATATATATGTATAACAAAACAGTATTTGATTATCTTTATTATCTTCGGAGATATTCAAGGGGTATATCTTTGTGGGACTGTCTGTATATTTTTTTATGAAATTAAAAATAAACATAAATTTAACAATATTTTATAACTATTGGTTTTCTTTTTTAAGGCTGGAAAAGACAGTGGTTGTACTGCTGTTATGGCCTTATTGGTTAAAGGTAAACTTTATGTGGCTAATGCTGGTGATTCAAGGTGTGTAGTTTCTATTGATGGTAAAGCATTTGATATGTCTAAAGATCATAAGCCTGAAGATGAAATTGAGCTCAATAGAATTACTGCAGCCGGTGGTAGAGTTTCTAGTGATGGACGAGTAAATGGAGGATTAAATTTGTCTAGAGCTCTAGGTAAAAAATTAATTTAAAAACTTAACTTAAGTTTTATATAATAAATTCAATATATATTTTAGGCGATCACAAGTACAAAAATAATGATAAACTTCCTAATACTGAACAAATGATAACTGCTCTGCCTGATGTTACTGATCTTGACATCAAACCCGAAAGTATTAATTTTATAGTATTAGCTTGTGATGGTATATGGAACTCATTATCCAGTCAGGAAGTGGTTGATTTTATATCTGAACGTATCAATAATCCAGATGTAAAATTGTCTTTAATCTGTGAAGAAGTATGAAAATAATTTAATTTATAATTCATTTTTAATTTATTTATTATATATGGTTAATCTTTTGCTTTAGCTATTTGATAAATGTTTGGCACCTGATACGTTGAGTGATGGAACTGGTTGTGACAATATGACTTGTATCATTGTCAAGTTCAAATTCAACAATCTGAAACGTTCTTACACTGAAACAGAAGATACTGAAGATTCTGTTGATGTCATTGAAATTAAAAAACTTAAAACAGATTCAGCTGAAAATTCCGATTGTATGGAATTAAATGAACCCGAAACAGATGCTGTTGAAAATTCTGATGGTGTGCAATTGATTAAACCCGAAACAGATGCTGTTGAAAATTCTGATGGTGTGCAATTGATTAAACTTGAAACAGATGTTGTGGAATTGATTAAATCCGAAATAGATTCAACTGAAAATTCCGAATGTATGGAATTAAATGAACCCGAAACAGATGCTGTTGAAAATTCTGATGGTGTGGAATTGATTAAACCCGAAACAGATGCCGTTGAAAATTCTGATGGTGTGGAATTGATTAAACTTGAAACAGATGCAGCTGTAATTTCTGATGGTGTGGAATTGATTAAATCCGAAACAGATGTTGTTGAAAATTCTGATGGTGTGGAATTGATTAAACTTGAAACAGATGCGGCTGTAATTTCTGATGGTGTGGAATTGAATAAATCCGAAACAGATGTTGTTGAAAATTCTGATGGTGTAGAATTGATTAAACTCGAAACAGATGCAGCTGTAATTTCTGATGGTGTGGAATTGATTAAACCCGAAACAGATGCAGCTGAAGAATCTGACGGTGTGGAATTAAATAAACCCGTAACAGATGCAGCAGAAAAATCTGATAGTGTTGCAGTTTTAAATGAACTCAAAACAGATTTAACTGAAAATTCAGATGTTGCGGGATTAAATAATACCAAAACAGATTCAGCTGAACCTGAACCTATGCAATAATGTTCCTTTACTCGCTGAAAATTACGATTACTGACTCACACATTCTTTGTATTTGTTGTAATAATCGTATAACAGTTATTTATGACTGATGTTTTGATCATAAATATTATTATTATTATTTTTTTTAAATTTAAGTTATTGAAAACAGATAATGTATTTATAATTTTGAATACTGAAAAGATGATAGTGTAAGTTTATTATTTTTTTAATATTTTAAATTTCATATGGTAATACAATTTTAATATTGTACAAAATCTTTATTTTGATTGAAAACCGAGTATTTTTATAACTACCTTTTATTAAATAATAAAAAAAATATAATTTGCATTATCCGTATTATATGTATATCTTTTAAATATTTCAACGCGAGTTAAATTACTCATGGTTATTCATAAATTACAGAGGGGAATAATAATTATACCATAGTATGTATAATTTTTGAAAAGATCAATAATTCAATGATTAATAGACCATTTGTGAGATTAGAGTGATTGAAGTAATGAAATATGTGAAAATCTCAGTGGTGGTTTAGACTGAAAGATATGGGTTGTAGTTAAGAAAAACTAGAGCCGAAATTGTGTGATGTCCTAGTGGTCGATTACCTAAAACGAAGAAGAAAGTATTATTGTTAGAAATTATATTATTAAAGGGCGATTCATTTATCGTTGAACATTCATTATTTTGTAAAGTATTGACTATTCAAAACAAATTTTATTAGCATTTAAAGAAAGAAAACAAACCTTTAAAATTTACATTACCATTTTTTTTTTTTTTTTTTTTTGTCACCCTTATTTTTGTTGGTGAAAGGACTGTCAACTTTTGATTTTCAAATGACAACCTTTGTTAACATTTCTAAAAAATAGATGATTTTAAGATGTTTAAGTTAAAATACATTTTGATGTTGACATTTTTTATTTTAATCAACCCATTCTTGCAATATTCCACATTTAAGTTTGGTTAGGGAGAAAATAGTGTTGCGACGGCGCACTACGTTTTATAATGCTCTACTACTCTCCCCCTGCCAAAGTTTAAAAGTGGAATATCTCATGACTAGGTTGATTGAAATGAAAAATGTATTTAAACTAATATTCTACCTACTTATGGAATTTTATTATAGGATAAAGTCGGTATTTTCTGAAATAATGAGTATTTAACGATAAAAAAAAAAAAAACATATATTACATAGGTGATTTATTAAGCATGCTCATTCTATTTTTTTTTTTTTTTGGATACATTTCGCATATATTCAAATTCTGATTTTTGGAAATGTCAAGTGCCGTTGATGTTGATATTTTCGAATACTTAGAATTTTCACAACATTTAAAGAGTAACCTGTGGCGTTACCGACTATGGTTCTTCAAATGAGAACCTATATTAAAAATTCCATAAGCAGATCGAGAGGAAAATTGTTGATTTCTGTTTCTTGATGAAAATCAAAAAAATGTTAACACAACTAAAACATTTATTTAAAGTAATACTCCGTATATTTATATGAATCACCCTGTATACACTTTCTAATATAATTGTGTATAATTATTATGTACAGCGACGTAATGAAGAGTGATTTTTGAATAGTTTTTCCGTTTGCAATGAATATTTTTTTTCTTGTTGATACTTACATATAGTTTATAAGTAATGAGAGGTAATGAGTTTATATTTAACGATAAAGCTCGTTGGTTTAAACTAAAACACTCTTTTCCCGAGTATAGTCTGTCTTGCTAATAATCGCTAAAATAATAAATGCTAAAAATAATTCTATTTTAATTAAATTTTTTTTGTCGTGCCTGTCAACAGTTTTTTTTTTAACCAGAAATCTCGTTCCAATTATCCACTCGAAGTTTGGTTTCTGGTGATATCCTAGGCACCTATATACTCGTACGTATACCTGTATGCTCTACAGTAAAAATCTGTACAGGCCAATATTAAGGAAGCGTAGGTAATTTTTTTTCGGTCATCACAATTTCAAATACAGTTATAACACTCGATATGATGAACGCACACAGATACTATATATTATTTTAATAATACAACAGAGGTAATATTCAAAGATTTTGAAAAATAACAATTATATATATATATATGTATATGTAATATAATAATGCAATGTATTGTTATTGTATATAAACAGGCTAAAAAAAAAAAAAAAAAATGTTACAATTTGCTCGGAATTATACAAAATATCATACCGAATTGTACACGCGAACGCGTTATCGTGATTTAGCTGGGTATCTTAATATTACGGTTTTCCGGTTAATAGACGAGTATATTATGTACGGTATTGAAACTCGTGTACGGCTAAATGAAAAAAAAAAAAATCAAATCAAATTCTACAGACCAAACGCGGGAAAATCGATAAACAATAATTTTATTTAATCAAAATGCAAGTACACGACATGGTAATTCATTTCGCTCAGTTATGTTTTTTTGTGAGAATTTTTTTACATTCGGATTGTACGACACGTTTGGAAATGAAAAATATTTACACGCAATTTTAAACGTTGAACAGGCGTACGTAACCGCAACGCAACGGTAGTCGGCGCGTCTAATGGCCGTGGCAATGCAACAATATGACAATTAACGACGCGCAATAGTTTTTACGATTTTCGACGGAACGGACGCGACTTCGGTCCATCGATTTGTGTAGTACACTCTCACGATTTCCGTTGCATTCGTTTTACGGAGCATTTGACTCTGATGACCGAACAACCTCCGAGTACTCCCCTTCGTATCAGTTATACGAGCTACGTTACTAGGAATAAGTTACATGGGCATAGGCCGTTTCAATGCGGTCGAACAAACGCGATACTTTTTGTTTCGTTCGAAACATTTTTTTTTTGCAACAATTAAAAATACATCGCTATAAGGTTGTTGTTGTTGTTTTTTTTTTTTCTGAAAGGAACGCAATTGTATATTGTAATTTATTGTTTGATACAAATCAAAAAAAAAAAAAAATGTCCGTTATACAAACACGGTTTTTCGAAAATTTCCGGAAACGAATAAATCTCTCGCACCGCCCGCCCTATATTTGTTTGCCTTTCAAAGGCTATCGGATTTGAAATTGTTCCGTATTAGTTAGCTGTTCGATGAAAGTCGGAACGGCATTATTACGGACCCCCCCTCCCCCCCCCCCGGAGGCCGGTGACTGTCCGGCGGACCGTCTGCGCCGTTTTTGTAATCCGGGACGACCGAATGTAACAAAAAAGCCATTGCGCCTGTCTGAGTATCCGACCATCCCTGGCCGGCAACCACCCCTACACGTGAACGCGACTCGTTCGCTTTTCAACGCGCAACACCCGGCTACCGTAATATTACGGTTTAGAATCCGAAATCGTAATTTCGGCGTAATCGTAAAAGGGCACCGTCGTCTCGTAGCGGATTGTCGTGATCGCGAATCGTGCGCCGCGCAACGGTCGCGTGCCTCTACGGCTTTTAAAAAACACAAATAATAACAGCAACACCTATTCAATCGCGTTCCGGGCACAACAACGGTATTCCGTGGACGCGGAACGCACGTCAGCCGCGAGGCGCGCCCACGGCTCCCCGTTTCGGGCCGTCCGTTCGGAATACTACCGGACTATTGAGAAAAAAAAAAAAAAAAACATCTCGCCGCTCTCAAGACGAACCTCGCCCCCTTTTTTTCAGCCAAAAGAGACGTCGATCGATTTCCACCACTGGCGGTTTTTTTTTAAATATCTATAATAATATAGACGGTGATTTTTAAGCATGCTTAGTGCTCAATACATTTTTATGGTTGACTCATGAATAAATTCAAATTCCGATACTTGGAATTTTTTAGTGTAGCGAAAGACGATAATTTCGAATCCTTAGATTTTTTACAACACTTAAGGAGCGTCCTGTGACAATATTAACTTTTGTTTATCTAATGAGAACCTACATGTTTTTAATGGAAATTGTCAATCGTGTGATTTTTTTCAAAAATGTTGAAGTATTTTAATCGAAATTGGAACGGAAAATGTCCGAGTTACTATTTTACTTTAAATAGGTACGAATCGATAATAACTTCACGAAGGAAAACGGGAAATTATCGATGAACATGAAACAGCTGGTATCCTACCCTTTTTAAACGACTATTATCCTTAGTATTTGAAGCAGAATAGCTCAGAAATATATCGTTTAAATATCGATTAAAATACGTCAATATTTTCAAAAGAAAAAAAAATTTACATCAAAAAATGTAGGTTTTTATTTGAAAAACAAAGTAATTAATGAATTAGTTATCGTCACAGGATACTACTTAAATGTCGTGGAAAATCTAAGTATGTAAAAATTGTACCGAAATAATGGTGTTAACCTTAACACACAAAATAAGGAAATAGCATTTAAACTTCGAAATGTGCAACAATACGCAACTTAAACCTACAGCTTCGTGATTTCCTGAAATAAATTTACAGCTCACATAAGCATCTCTAAGATCGCTCTAAACAAATACGCAAACGCTTGAAAGTTACGAGCCCTGCTAATTACCGTGCCCGCTAGATTTTTCACTATATGCAACAAACAAAGTATGGGCGATTTCATTAAACTTGTTCCTAATTTGCGCCCCCAGCCGGAGGGGACACGACGGGGGGAGTCCCCCCAGCTCGACTACGAAGATCAAAATTTATTTATTGTTTTTTTTTTTTTACGATTTTATATTTTTATATTGGAAAATTGGGAAAACACACGCGCGCGTCGTTCAAACACTTTTGATTTTCGACAGGGACCACCGGGGTTACACAATCCGCCCCTCTCCCGATCACGCCGCTCTGCACGCGGTATGAAAACGACCCGGTCGCCGTCGCGAAACGAGAAAGTTATTGTGTATATACAAACGGTACCCATCGATGAACGAATTAAGCAGCTAGTGCGCTGCCGTGCGTCGAGAATTTTCGTACCCGTGAAAGATTCGAACCGACGTCCGCATGGAATTTACGACTCGTCTATAACGGTTTGCACACGTTCAAAGTCGCCTCTGAAAACTTTCGATTCGGAAATCCGTTCCCAGTAAGTCTGAAGTTTATAGACGCACACAACAAATATACAGGGTTATACATTTAAAATTTACAAACACTTTTTCATCTCCAATACGTGTGGCGGCGTATGGTATACGCGATCGCACACGATTTCACGGTTGTGACCTGAAAAGGATAGCGAATAACAAAACGCGCGATTAATTGATAATAATAATTCGCGGTCAAAATTCACGAAATACGCGGGGAAATATACGTACACCTTTTGTCCTATAGGCAGGAAGGGTCCAAGTCAATTTTTGGGTATTTGTTTTTTTTTTTTTTTTAAATTATTTTATCCTATGCAATTTTGTCCCTTTATTTTTCCGGTCTAAACGGCATATGCGTATCATTAAATGTATATCCTAGCACACGTTATGCTGAAAAATGAAAACGAAAATATCGTCGTTCACACTACAATAGAATACGATCATGTAGCTACTTTCTGATTGTCGAAAATGACACGAGTTGTACAATTATTATACGAACCATTCCGGTTTGGCGGTTATGCCATTACGCCACTTGGAGATTCGCTCGTATCGAAAAAACTACAGAAAATTGACTTTGGCCCTTATTATTCGTTGGTCTACCGAAGACGTATGAATTATTATTGATTTCTCATTGGCTACACACTGTATAATATAATGTTGCAGTATAGTCGTAAACGAATCGTAACTGAAAACTAATTACGGGTGCGGGAGAGTGTGGCGGTTTTCAAATGTATTATTCAACCGATTCGATTGCGTTTCTTTTTTTTTTTTCTTTTCTATAAAATATCAAATTCAACAATATCGTTACGATGCTCGTCGTTGAATTCGTTTCTGTACTCTCGGGGGAAAAAAGACGAACGAAGAGAGGGGTCGGAACCCCGAACCCTCGGACTATAGTGACTGAATAATAATGTACAAGCGATGCGCTCTATCATACCGCTATAATGTACACATATACATAGGCGTCGTTTGAAGTAAAATCAAAGGGTGGCGAACGTCTTGAGTAATATTTTTAATATTAATCCTGGCCATAGAATTGTCCAGAAAATTATCAAACAAGTTTAGAAATATAATAGGTAAGTAGGTTGACTGATTTTTGTATACGTGTTCAAATTCGATGTGCTATAACAAGCCAATACGGTATTACCATTCGCGCGATTATATTAAGAAAAAAAGCGAGGAAGAAATTATACATCATTTTTTTTTTTTTTTTTTTTTTTTTTTTTCTAAATTACTCTTTGGGTAGCCTAGCTATCCCGATAAAAATGGCTGGGTACCACTCGCTACCCCTTAATAACACCCTCAATAACGCCTGTGTACATGCATACAGTTATATTGTCGTTGATATATTATTTTATAGTACTTACGCGGATATACATATATTATATTTATTTATAATATATACGTGTGTATTACGTATTATAATGTATCTACACCCTGTAAGTGGTAGTCGTATATTTTATTATTATTATTATTATTATTATTATTTTTTTTTTTTGTTGATATAATTTTTCGTCGATGATAATAACAATAATACTAATAGTAATAATAACATTGTTCGTTTGATAATAACTATTGTTTACGATATCGAACACGAGTTGCGTTTCGATTTGCTGCCGCCGCCGCCGCCGCCGCCGCCGTAGTCGTCTCTGCCGCCGCCGCTGGCCTTTTTCTGCAAATGCGCGAGTTGTGCCGGCGTGGGCACCATGGACGCCTGTCCCGACGGGCCGCCGCCGGACGGTAACGACTGTCTCCGGGCCGAGTTCCGCCGCAGGGACGGGCCCAGGTCGTATTTCATCTTGGCCTGGGTCAAAAGCTCCTTGAACACCTCGCCGACGTTTATGTTGTCCTTGGCGGACGTCTCCACGAAACCGTTCTCCCAGTCCACCTCCACCAGGCAAGACGTCTCCTCGTACGGCACCTGTTCCCCCGAAACAAGACACGACAGTATTAATACCTATACTTGTTACACTGGCGAGTTTATTATTGTAATTATCATATTCAGTGTTGAATCCAGGTACACTCCAGGGGGGACAAATGTCCCCTCTAGAATTTAATTCGACTCCCCCCTCCCCTGACAAACACAATAACTGTCAACAAAATGTCTTTATCGTATGTACAGTACTCGTTGATCCGGACACAGGGGCACACGCCCGAAACATTTAGAGGTTGTGGGGTTCTGCTACACGGGTACACAAAAAACGCCGTGAAACCAAAAGAAATGTTCTGGAATCGTACTTGGCAGAATTCGTGTGGAAAACATGCCTTAGAGAACGATGCTTTTTAAAAGACATTTTTGATTTCTGGCCTCCATCCTAATTTAAAATAATTTTTACTATCTCATACGATATAATTTTTGCTATTATAATAATATACAATTTGATTACGTATTCCGTAAATATCACACCGCGTACATCGTAGGTTGGCAATACTCAACAGCGTCCGACCGGATAAAATTACAAATAATCTCATGTATATAAATATCTATAGTTTAGTAAATTTCGACTTTTCAAAAGGTGTAAATTTACAAGACGCGGGTTTACACATTAACAGGTATATCTGCTATTACCTATACAGTATGTTGGCACGGTGTAACTTTACACGTCGCATATTATACGCACGCGATCAAGTTTAAACACGGCGGTACCGACCTCTGCTGCAGTCCCCGTGTATAGCGATAAAAAGTTACCCATTGGCGATACCCATTGAATAATATCGCGAATAAAAAAAACAAATAAGGAAGCGAAAACAGCGGTATTGCGTTTGGCGGTTTCGGTGCTGAATGCGCAAACGAAACGATTTGCATAAAAAGCGCGCGTGCAGCAGGCTATACGAGTGTATATAAGATTATGCTCGGTATAAATCCACAACGAAAGTTCACGTTGCCTCAAGCCGCGTGTACCCGTTATATATAGGGTACACGGTGATTATTTTTGGATACTATACGACAGTGACATGTATCAAAAAAAAAAAAATAAATAATTTTACTCACCCCTCGTAATATTGTTATACCTAACGATATAGTGTCGATAATAATGTATTCCTATTGTTAGTTGTACCGTAAAACTTCGAGCGGATTTTAATGTTTTATTAAAAATTATTCTCTGAGTAATGATTGCAAAATTATACAGAAAAAAAAATATAACAATACTAATGTACACCAGAAAATTAAGAATCCATAAAAAAGATCGCATTCAGATATCTACATTTCACATTGTCGCGCAGCATTACTATCTGTCATGTTATTTAAAAATACTCGATTACAACACAACATAATAATAATAATATTAATACCCGCCCTTCCATCATTAAGGTGTTGCTTGAGCGACACTTGGATCTTAGGTTACACGCCACTGCTATACGATCTAGCGATCACCTTCAGCGATAAAAAAAGAAAAAGAAAAAAAGACGTCCTAAGATAATAGGGGAAAAAACGATTCTGAGCGGAGTTCAGTTGATACTTTGTTAACAATATATGTGCCATACTAAAGTAAAATAATTAAATAGGGTTTATATATTTTCTTTAAAAATATTTGTTTAATGTTGTCCCGTTTTTTTTAATTAGGTTTTCCAAATTTGATGAGAAAACTCAGATAAAAAAAAAAAAAAACAACTTTGTAAAACCACATAAGCTTCTTTGCTCCAATTAGAATCTCAAATTGTTTACGTTTCAGTAAAAATTGCAAATTACACAAACGTTTACTTTTATATGGGCAGTTAAAATTTCAAAGTCCATTTCCCAACCATCACAAAATGTGACATTGGCCCTTCTTGCACCAAGCCACAGATATATACTGTGATTTTGATCAATATTGATTTTGGCGTTTTTCGTCATGACACTAATGGCGGACAATGCGAAAAGTACGCTCTCTGCAAAACTGTCAAAATAAAAGCTAAAAACAATAACTTTTTATTTTAGAAAAATTTGAAGACAGCCATTTTATAAAGTTTATTCTTCCGAACATTTTGAAGAATTAACTTTTTTTTTGTTTTAATTTGTGATTTTCAATCATTTTTTAAGGCTCGAAGAAAAATGTGTACAGTCAATTAGTCACAGTAATAATAATCAATTAGCGAACGTGATGAATAGCCTGCTGAATAATTATAAATATTTTTTCTGAACTTTAAAAAATGATTAAAAATCACAATTAAAATTTTCAGAAAAATAAACTTTAAAATTGTTAATATTAAATTTTTCGAAAATTAAAATAATAGTAAAATAATTAAGTTATATTTTTTTAGTTTTTTTTACCAAAACGTAAAAATTGAATTCAAACATAAATATTTGTAGTCCTTGTCCCTGCGAGTGATATAAAAAAACAGAATTGAATTATCTTTATTACCTCAGGAGATTTTGCAATGAGTATATTTTCGTGGGACACTTTTGTATATATTATTGTAGGGCGCAGAGGCAGAAGGATAGTAGTCCATTTATACCATTTTATAGGATAGTAACAACAATGTTCGTGATTCTCTCCCTCTCGTATGATAAAAAAATAAAAATCACATTAAGGGTTATTCTCATTGACAAATGTATTTATTTCAACGATCTATTCATATAGACGAGAAATTTTAGTGGCATTTGTTTAAAAAAAAAAAAAATACGGATAAAAATATTTTGTGCTTGGTGAATATTGGTTTCACATATATTCGGATTCATTTAATGGTATAGGTACCTTCAATATACAGGATGGATTTTTTTTTATCATGAACCAGCAATTTCCTCGAAGTGAATTTGATGTTTTTTTTTTTTTAACCATTATGGAATCGATTTAGCATCATTTTAAAACCATTTTTTATTTTTTACCCCTACACTATATATATACCTTAAATAACATATTTAGCGTTTATAGGTTATAACCGTTTAAGGTTTAGACTGGAGGAGTGGGGTAGAGTGCAATCATGTAATTTATTACCCTTCCCTACTCCTCCAGTCTAAACTTTAAACGGTTTTAATTCATAAACGGCGAATCTGATATTAGTGTTATGCATATCAAATTGTCTAGAAAAATATTCTCTGTTCAAATGTGTGCCCTAATTTCCTATTTGAAAAACAAAAGTACATACTTATTAGGTACATGGGGTAGGGGTAAACAATTAAAAATGGTTTTAAAATAAAGTTTAACCGATTCCATAATGGTCGAAAAAAACAGAAATCAAATTCACTTAAAATCCTTCTAGGAAATTGCTGGTTCATGATAAAAAAAAAATCACCCTGTTATTCGTCATCGCTGTTGACAGTATTTGATGCCTTTGCGTTTGTTGGATAGTATTTGTTACAATCAGGTTCTAACTCATGCAAACTAGCAATTTTTTATTTTTATGTATACAGGTGTCCCACGAGGATACCCATTTTACTATTTCCGGAAATAATAATAATAATTTAATTCTGTTTTTTTTTATATATATATATAAACTCACAGAGTTAAGGACTACGAATATGTATATTTTAATTTCATCTGTATGTTTTAGTAAAACAATTATAAAAATGACTTTTTGTTTTATTGTTTACGACAAATATGAAGATAGCCGTTTTATAGAGTCTGTTATAGTGTTTCGACTTGATGTTTTCATTGATACGTGATTCTTTGTACATTTTTGAAGTACAGAGAAAAAAACCGTTCGGTCAACATTAGCCATAGTAATAATAATAATTATTATGCTATACTAATTGTTGTTTCGCGATTACCTATAATTATGCAATAGGCTGTAATCGTATTTGCTAACTGAGTATTATTGTTGTTATTATGGGCAATTGACTGTACACTTTTTTTTTCTCGGAACTTTAAAAAAATATTAAAAAGCCCGAATTTAATAAAAAATAAAAAATTACGATGTCAAAATATTCGTATGAATAAACTCTGTAAAATGGCTACCTTCAAATTGCTCGAAAATAATAAAATAAAATGTTTATTTTTTTACCGAAACATACACATTTAATCAATGTCTAAATGTTTGTAGTCCTTATCCCTAAAAGTAGTATATATATATAAAAAAAAAAAAAAAACAAACACAATTTGATTATCTTTAATATCTCAGGATTCACTACAACGCATGTATATTTGTGAGATACCTTGTACATCTAGAGTGATCTATTCAAGTGGGTACACTTAACTGGAGATATTGGAAAGTATTTACTTTTTTCAATTTTATTTTTTACGAAAATTTAAGAAACAAACGGCTCTTAAATTTAAAATTTTACATTATTTTTCGTCACTCTGTTTTCTGGGGGTGAAACGACTGTCTACTTTTGACCTTGAGTATTAGTTAAAATAAATTTTGGTGTTGAAATTTTTGATTTCGTCGATCTGTCGATGAAATATTTTTATATTAAATTCATTTAAACACCAACATTAATTTTAACTAATACCCTATATCTATTTACAGAAATTTTAATATAGGTTGCTATTTGAAAATCAAAAGTAGGCAGTCGTTTCACCCACAAAAATTAGGGTGACGAAAAATAATGTAAACGTTAAATTTAAAAAAAAAAAAAATTGAAAAACTTAAATACTTTCCGTGATATCAGGTGTCCTATTTACTTAAGAGGACGTTATACCCGTATCTACTGTCTCAGCCCAACTATCGGGTAACATGCGAAAACAATGAATAAGTAAAACTAGCTTAATTTTTGATTTAAGAGTAAAAGTACCTGTTATGAAACGTATAGAGAACAATATTTCGGAGCAAATGTCATAGGCGTTTTTTGAATTATGAACTATTAAAAAAGTTACAGCTATTTAAAAAAGGAAAAATAAAGGGTTTTGTGTCTTTTGTGTCGAGGCGAATATATTTTTGAATAATACAAAAAATCCAATGACATTCTCTCCAAAATATCGTTCTCTATAAAATTCATAATAGGTACTTTTACTTTTATTTTAAAATCAACATTTTTCTAATTTAACTCATTCTGCGTAAGCACTTTTTTTTTTTGCATGTTTGTGCATGTTACGCGATAGTTGGATTGAGACAGCAGATGCGGATGTAACGTCCTGTTAAACGGATCCATCCGTACATGTATATTGTTCCGTTGTATACGGATTTACAGATCCGGAAAAACTAAACTTTGTAATTATAGTCAATATTGTAAACAGTAACTGTCGCGAGAAAATAATAATCATACATACTCTATGCGTATGGAAACACTATACAGGTAACATGATAATATTATATTAGGTTGCGATTTATTTTGCGGATCTGCGGATTTACATAATGATGCGTGTATGGCGCCGTATATGACGATGTACGGGCGTTCGCACAAACCAAGGGATGGAGCCGAGTCGAGCTGCCGAAAACGTATGTAGATTTCAATTCAATTTTACCGGACCCCGCGGCCGGAAAGCCGCGTACATTTCTCAGCGTCGTCCGCGAGTCGAGTCTGCGAGGACCACGGAGCCGAGTGTAAAACCATATTATGCGAGGCATGGGATTTTGTACCACATTTTAGTTTTATAAAAACGTTTTTTCACGTTCCGAGCGTGGCGGCGGTTTCATTTCGGCGCGGGGAGCTTTTGTTTTTCTGTTTCGTGGCTTTTCGACTTTTTCTCCGGTCGTCGACTTTAGTGGCGATTTCTGGTGTAGAAAATTATGCCCGGTCGGTACATTAGAAGGTCGTTTTTTATTAGTTCGATTTTCCTTGCGGTATTTCCTTCTGTGGGTAATTGGGAGAAAACGGCGTGCCAGCGACCCCGTGATGTTTGAACGGCCGCGACGGGGAGGGAGGAGGGTGAAATTTGAATTCTATCGTGTGCACAACAATTTTACCTCCTCCGCGATATATTCCTCGACAGCGGCGTAAAAAGCGTACAAAAAAGATCGAAACAAAACGAAATATATGTGTTATTATACCATGTAAATGATATAATATGATAATATTATATTGTGCTCACGGTCCTCAGCCCCGGAGGTGGTGCCATTGAAATGCTATAGAAAATGCAGTCATTTGGTTGATAGCGTACATTTTACCGAGTCCTCTAATGCGTTATCTATATAATTTCTATAGCGCATTCAAGGCAGTGAATCGCGACCGTTTCGAGTCGGGAGAGAAGCATAATAATATTATATTTTACTATTATTTTAGATTTCGAACGTAGCGAGGGAGCTATTGGTTTTACTAAGATGTTAATTTTTTTTTTCTAGTCTGTGGACACGTTGTTTCTTAGTAAAATTGCTCCGATTTTTACGTGTAGCAACTTTTATGAAAGCTCAAGTTGTCTAGATGGTACTTTGAAAAAGTAATTTTTTAATTATCGACGCCTTTTTTGAAATAAAAGCACTTAAGCGGGAAAAACGTAGGAAAACGTACAGTTTCACGATTTCATTATTTTATAAAAACACGGATGTCGTTTTCTGTCAGAAAAAATGATTTAAACGACAAATCACACGATACCTTTTTGATTTACTTTCTTACGGTATCATGGCCAAATATTTTGAGCCGGTTTTGAGGTTTTAAGGAATTTTAATTTTTGGTAGTTTTTTTATTGTAATTCGGTTATAAATACACGTAGAGATTTGAAACTTGGTTATAATACTTATATTGGACTTACCTAGACGTGGTGAAATTAACGTTATGAAATCAAATTTAAACGAAAATCGCAAAAAAAAGGTCCATACACTTCAAATTATGTATTACCGAACTGCGCTCGGAATCGTCTTTCGTCAAAAAATGGTTTATCGTTGCCTTCAGATAAAAATGTAGTAACATTATGTATCCTACCTTGTCAATTTTTCACCTACAACAGTGGCCACTCCCATCTCCAGTATTCATTTTTTTTTTCCCGTTTCGTCTTATTGATTCTCGTTTCAATCATTTTGGATTCACTTTTTAAGGGGTCGGATCTTTTTAATTTTACAAATTTCAAGCGTATAGCTATGGTTAGAAGCTATTAGATAAATTATTGTTTTTAAATTTTTGTTCGCGGGTATATTATTTGACCGAGATTTTTCAAAATACGCAATACAATCGTGTACTAATCCGTGAATGACGTTCGTATACCTATATATAATAGCTGCGAGGCCAGTAAAGGTATACATCATACCGTCACAATAACAATTATTATTTGTAAAACTTAGGGCGAACTTAAGGTTATTAAATCGTTAAATATCGAGAAAGGTGAAATTGTTATAAGACCGTGTAACGTCCGTAACACGGCGGCGCGGCGACGGTGTTATTAGTGATGTTTAAGGCGTTGTATGCGTGTGCTAACATCATCGATAAAAAAAAAAAAAAGACTGATAAAAAAACAGGTCGACGTTTGAAATCACGGCGATTTTACATACTCATTGACTGTAAGAGAGTTTCAAGGTAGGTGTGCTGTATACTATCTAATACAATAAATTGTATATACTATTATTGTAAATGCATATTCGTATTGTTGCCGTGTACGCATGTCCACAAAATATCATCGTCTCAAGTGTATACATCTCGAACGGTTTCATCATATTACGCGGAGTAAAAGTCGACCGAGTCGTCACGAGAAAGAACCGCCATAAATAATGTTAAATGTCTGCAAATAGTTCAAAAATCGTTTTTAAACGTTTTACCGCGTCTGGAAATGTCCAGTGTACGTATTCTGTGGCGATTTAAAGTTAATATTCAAAATTGGATAACAAAAAAAAAAAATGACCTTCTAAATGCGTCAACTAAAGATACGAAACGCTACGAAAATGGTCTCTTGGAGTTTTTCGGTCGGACCAATATTTATGATAGAATAATCGTTTACAGATTAAAAAAAAAACAATAATCTAAAATATTAACGCGTTATAATATTCAGGTTTTTTTTTATCCGAATGTCACGACTCGTAGCCGTATAATAATCATAATTAACGGAACGGTATAAAACGTCCGAAGTTGTCGTAAATATTGTAAAAAATGTTCACCCGTTTAATATAAAATTCGATTATTATAATATATTCTGTCTCTATTTGTAATGCGTTAAAAAAGCAATTGTAGATTAAGCTCGTAAAATGTATTGTATGTGTGTAAAAGTTAACGGAATAATAATATTCAAGTTTAAACGAGTAACGCGTTGCACCAAGCGTTATAATTTTTAATGCGATTATATAAAGTTAAAAGTTCACCCTAAAAACACAAGTTGACTTGTTAAAATCTTAAATTAAATTTTTAAAAATTAACGAGTGTTATAGAAAAAAAAAAAAAACAAGAGACGGACATAGTACGTACACGGGTGGGCCACTGTAGTATGTGAGAAGTTGGGAACGCAATAGAGGGGCAATTTAATGTATATCGTAAGCAACGATCAAACATTGCTAACGAAAAAACGATTCTGAGCGGAATTCATGGTTGATAATGTTGCTTTGTTTGCTAACAATATATATTTCATATTATGATAAAATATTTACATAGGCATTATATATTTTCTTTAATAATATTTGTACCTATATTTACGTTTTTCCCATTTATTTCCTATCAGAAAAAGTGATACATTTATAAATCGGATAGTTAAACAGTTTCTGGTAGTAAAGGTTGTCCACTCAAAAAAAAAAAAAAAAAAAAACAAACATCATTGTAAAACCATAAACTTCTTTGCTTCACTTACAATGTAAAAGGAAAATGAAAAACCATTGATTTTTTCCGCTGACAGATTTTTTTCACCGGCATTGAAAAATGTAATTTTCTGTTTGCATTCATAAAACTGTATATATCACAATTTATGCGCAATTAAAAAAATATAATAATAATAATAACCGCTTTTTTTGCCCCCGATCAATAAATAATTTTTTTTAAAATTGTTTAACTTTACAGTCGACACGACTGTTCTTTTTCTCCTAATAGTACCTGCATATAGTGGCTCTTTTGACAAATGTTCATACAGCGCGAATAAGGGCCAGGCAACAAAGACCCCCCCCCTCACCCTCACCCATCACCTCAAACCAAGTAAATACTTAGTGCATATGATCGATATTACGGAGACTTAAGTTTTCCCATCAAAATATTCCGGCTTTTTCACCTAAAAGTGGCACAAAAAAAGAGCCGAAAATGTCATATATTATACAGTTTGAATATAACCTATAAATAATTCCTTTTTTTTTTTTTTTGTATATAACTATTCTATAAATAATTGTATAAAATGCACTTTCTGTTTCGAGCTTCGTGGCGAAAATTGTACTATCGTATGGAGTAACTACGACCCGTAGAGTATTTTGACATAATTTTTTACTGGTAATGCATTAACTAAATAGACCAGTGAAATTGGGGAAAAGTTGTGAACTAATTTATCGAACATTTAATTTCGGTACACGATTTTATTAGTCCATGCCTAACTGATGAACAAACTAAAAGTCCTGAAACTCATCCTTTATTATTAGCTCTTTAACTCTCCGAACGGGTGTTTTTGACCTTTTTGCCGTTTTCACTAATAAGTTATAACTCGTTAACCGTGGGACTTACGGATAAAATGTATGGGGCTTCCAAAATTAAAGGTTGTTAAATTAGATATAGGAATACGCTATTTCGTGTCCTTAAAGTATCACCAGATAAATACGACTTTTATTAAAAAGTTTAATCAAACTTTACCAATAAAATAATAAAATAAAAACAAAATTATTAAAATAATTAATATAAATTCGTAAATAAATAAATACAATATGTATACATAAAAATACAATAAATAAATGAATCAATGCGTTGCCTAGAGTGTTATGAAAAGTGTTATTATACGACAGGTTTCGAATTAAAAATTCATCATCACGTTTATCATGGTCAAAATGTAAAATGTGATTGAATATAATAAATTAAATGAAGGAATTTATAGAAAAGAAAAGACAATTATACAAATTGGTCGTTTCACATAGAATTTAGAAATAATTTATTTTTATAGGAGAGATTATTTAAAATTAGTTATTATTTATTATCTAAAATGTATTGATATAAGATATTATTTTTAAAATCGGTTTGAACATTTAAAATATTATTGAAATTATTTTTCTTTATGTCATCGTGTTTGCGTAATTTTTCTAAAACTGAATTAATGTAAATGTTATTTTGGGTATTTAATATTTCTGAGTCTGTATTAATATCACAACTTATATTGTGGTTATTTTCTAAAACACGTACAGCGAAATTTGAATTAGGGAAAGTCTTTTTTTAATCTNTTTTTAGTTCTGTTGTTTACATGTTTGATTAAATTATTATTAGTCTTAAAAGCAATGTTTACATTGTTTGTATTATTTTTTCAGACTTTTAACGAATTCGTTAGATATATTATTTTGATATTCCATACTGCAATAGTTAACGACATTATTTGGCGTTTTGGGTAATATTTTTTCTTTAATACGTTTATGAACTGTTTTAATAGTATTTGAATTGATATTGTTTCTACGGGCCTTATTATAGATACTATTGAGCTCGTGTTGATAATTATGTTTATTTAATGAAATGCGTTCAAGCCTACAGAAAATTGAATTAAAATTGGTGACGCATTGATTCATTTATTTATTTTATTTTTATGTATAAATTGTTTATTTATATATTTATTTACTTTAAAAACTTTAACGTTTTTCACCAAAACTCCTCGTCGAACGCAACAGTTTTCCAATTATAAAAAACGTAAAAATAGCGACACTAATCAAAAAACTTTACGAAGTCGACATTTATTAAGGCGTCCGGTGCCAATGTTGTTTTGCCCACAAAAATACACTCTATACAGAAATAGTGATACTGTTCAGTAAAATCAATGAAATACAATTTTTTTTTTTTTTTAATTAATATAGGGAAACATTTCACAAACCGCATTGAACTTGGTTTTTTCAATATTTTATTCTCAACATTTATAATGAGTTTTAAAAAAAGTAAGTTTCAACCTTTTTTTTTATCATTTATTTTTTAAATTATTCGAAATCGGAGTTCAACGCGGCCTGTATAATGTTGTTTATCAATGAAAACAATTTTTTTTATGAAAACATTAAATTGACGGCGAGTTGTCGTACCATTTCCGTGAACTCATTTCGCCAGTAAAAACCTTCCCCCTAAACGGGTACCGGGCAATAGACCGGTCGGGAGATCTCATCTCCAAGGCGGCAATTGAAATGTTAAAAATAATTTTTAAATCGGAGAAAATTCGGAAAACCCGCCCCTCAAGTCATTGTCGCGCGTCATACTTTTCGATGTGTACATTGCACACATCGCGTCTGTTAATTTACACGCGACGCTTCAAACACCGGTACAGTATAATACCGACGACTGCAACCACCTAGTCATAACTAATTAGTATTGCAACGTTCGTTTTCGCGAAAGATATAATTGCGATTTGCGACCGACCGGCAACAATAATATTGTAATTACACAGCAGTCTTTGATGTGTGAAAACAAAATGAAACTGCAAAAGTATTTGCGCGTAAATGCGCGTACGCGCCGCCGCGGCGGGTATACCGTGAATTTCGAACCGAGCGTTGCCGCGGGACTTAAAACATCTCAATACTCGTACACGGGACGCCCCATAAATATTATAATACCTAGATGCCGAGACTATAATAATAATAATAATATAACATTACGTGCAGTAGTGAAATAAACTTCACCGTGTTTACGCACGTGCCAGACGGAAACAAACGCGGTGCGCGTCTAAGCGGTTGCGCCGCACAGTGATATTGTGCAGAGAGGCCGTTCCCCGTCTGTATGCCGGAGCGCGAATGGTTTCCGTTTTTTCAGGATACACGTTATACTTTTAGTCGAAAAAAAAAAAAACAATAAAAATAAATTGCGAAACATTTGATGCGCCGGTCACCTCTACTGAAATATGTCATCAGTGATTCCTACGTAATCCTCGAATGTAACGCATTGAAGTGTACGGACAACGCGCAGAAGCAAATGTTTTACAATAATTTTTTTTTTTCTCCAAAAAGTGCAACGGTACTGTAAAATAGAAACCGTTTGCGCTACTCTCCACCGACCCGATAATTATACGTGAAATATCTCGTCAACGGATTGGCGCAAATCGAAAATGTCAACAGCAAATTTTATTTCAACTAATACTCCGTATATTTAAGGAATTTTTAACGTAGCTCTTGCCGTCTAAAACATATTAAAAATAGGTTTACCCCCGAAAATAAGGAATACGGAAAATAATATAAATGCAAAATTGTACAGCTGCTTGTTTTTGTACATATATACTGGTGAGACTAATAGTTCCACTCAATATTGACTAGATAACATAGCGACTTAGACGAATTCAAAATTAAAATGCCTTCGATTCGTTTTCATACGTATCGTTTGGCTTGTTCTATTAAAATAATTGTTTAGTTTCGCTCGTGACTATTAGATACCGAAGTATTGTGACGCATTATTGAATAATGATCGTGATCAATGATAATATTAATAATGATTATTCGCATGTTCGTATACTAATAGTATAGCATAACATATACGACCGCAAGAGTTTGAAATGCCGGCGTTTCAAACCGAACCGAGAACAGATTTTATTTTGCACATCGGTGCATATTTTAAAGGTTTTACGGCTATTATTATTTCGGTATTAACGTATACGATTTGCATATTTCGTACGCTCTTCGTAAATTAATAAATTATTTCCAAATCTAAATACCTAATTGTACCTGTTAGGTACATTTTGGTATCGGACCGGCAGTTTATAATACAATATACCCGGAGGAACGATATTTTTTTTATGAATAATTCATTCAAAATCATCACGGAAAATTTTTAATAATATTTCTTAACTAAAGGAAAATAATTGTTTTTGTCTAACACAGTTCCGTTCAGAAATAATTACACGATTTTCATAACGGCTTACGACGGACTGCGTCACGGCTGTGGTTTTTGCATGTCTTTACGGAATACAATGCTTGTTACTTATTAGTAGTTATTCACGTTTCTTGATCGGTACAGTACGTGTAGGTATTATGTATATTTTTGATTTTCTTATTTATCCGTGATTTACTTTGATCAACTCGAGCTTTTATTTTATTACAGAGATAATTTCACAATACAACCAATACCTAAAACCTACACCTTATCACTTTTTTTTAAACGCGTTTTTTTGTGGTTTAGATTATATGATAAAAAAAAAAATCAAATCGAATTCCACTGAGAGAAGTTCCCATCTATCCAGAAGAAAAAGATCGAAATTACGGAATAATTTATTATCGTACCTGCACCGTCAGTGTTGTTATAGATAAATTACAATGTTTTATACTGTAAACGAGTTTGGGTGAGCTTCTGCGAGATTGGTCGTAAAAATATATCTGATTTTTATATAAAATACGAAGATGACATATAATAATAATAACAATATACGTATATTATAATATATTATACAGACTATAAAATATTTTAGTAGGCGATAAATGTACGCGTTTATGAAATAAAATAGCAATAAAACGAAATAAACATTCACTGAAACGAATAAAAACTACAGTGTTTTAAATATACTCGATTAATTCCCGTGCTATGAACATTACAGGGCCAACAATGGCGCGCGAAGAAAACTTGAATCACAAATTGGATTAATCGACGTACTTAACGAGTAACGAGGAAAATTAACGAGGACGGGGAAAAATTATAGCGAAAAATAACAAAGAAAATGGGGCAAGAGGAATTCATTTTTATAATAATTTTTAACATTAATAAAAGTTTCTTTGTAGGTACTTTGAAACACTATAACTATCTGGGCCATCGCGGGAGTAACTTGGACGGTGACTCAAGAGTGAGACTAATATCATAAGTTGCGCACAGCTTCTAACGCTAAAGATTGTTTGTAATGTTCATTTTGTACTTGGTGAGGCAAAATTCGAGGAGTTTGCAGGTTTATCTTGGGCATTTCGAAATTGATCAATAGACCATCTTAATTTATTTTTTCTACACTATTATGTACATGTGTACAGCATACACCCGATTTGCTACAAACTAAGCATTTCATCGTTAAAGAAAACGGGACACTTATACTAAGTGGGTACTTATACAGTATACTACTGGGACGCTTAAGAGGACGTTATACCCGCATCTACTGTCTCAGTCTGCCGGGTAATATGAAAAAACAATGCTTAAGGAGAATAGGTAAAACTAGATTAATTTTTGATTTTAGACTAAAAGTACCTATTATAAAATTTACAGATAATAATATTTTGGAGGGAATGTCATAGGTATTTTTGGAATTATAAACTATTAAAAAAATTACAGTTATTTAAAAAAAAAATAATAATAAGGTTTTGTATCTTTTTATCGATACAAAAATATATAAAGCTGTATATTTTGAAGAATAAAAAAAACTCTATGATATTCCCTCCAAAATATTGTTCTTTATAAATTTCATAATAGGTACATTTACTCTAAAATCAAATTTGGGCTAGATTTACTTTTGCGTAAGTATTGTTTTTACACGTTGCCTGGTAGTTGCACTGTGCCAGTAAATGCGGATGTTACGTCCTCTAAACATAAAATTGGTTTTGAAGTTATAAAATTTATTTTTGATTTTCCGATTATTATCCTAGCGACAATAATATCTATATATATAATTTAGAATCGTTTTGAAACATTTAAACTATTTTCAATTTAGGAATAAGACTAATTTGACATTTAAAACCATAAAATATTCTTCTCTTAATGTATTGAAATATATCCGCAGTATTTGTTTGTTCAAAAAAATCGTAATAATTACTAAACGAATCAGTAACGGCTAAAAACTCTTTTTTGCTAAATTTTAGCGACGAAAAACTTCGGAGGATTAGGAGTTAGGTCAAAAGATATACTTGTATACCTATAGAATACTTGAATGCCTATAATAGTATTACAGGTATAACACATATTATATTTGTTTACTATCAGTGACGTGGTAAACTTAACTTTTTTGAGAGGCAATTATTTTTGGAGGACCTCCACTTCTTTCACAACATTTTATTCAATGGCTAAAAGAAATACCACAGAATTTTGAAACTATAGAGAATGTAAAATTCTAATTTGATTTGTATTTTGTTTAGAGGATGATCCGTGGCCGATTTGGAATTATTACATTTATCATTGTTACTTTGGATTTCGATCATATTTACGTTTTTCACGGTCGACTGCCAGCAAGTGAAATGACTTGGAGGATGTGTCGCCGTACGCGTTTTTAACACAAAAACCTTGCGTTAAAAATTCGTTTTATCGCGAAATAAGTATGATTCAGCGTAAAACGCCATAGTACACGATGACTAGGTTGGTTGTTGTTATGGACATAGCACGAGTTTTTTTTTCATAACATGATTTTTCGGTTCTATGTGCTGACACGAAAAATATCCTCAAAATTGCATTGCTCTAACTCGATATTAACCCATGTCGGTATTGATTCACAGTTAAAACGAGAAAATGTCGATAAGTTGTAGTTATTGTTTTTCATGTTCATAAACAAATCCAAGTTCAGGTTTGTCAGGAACTTTATATTATGGTATGACAAACGACAATAAAACATTTTTGATATTTAATCATAATAATAATCATTACTCGTATCATTACATTAACATAAAAACGGAAGAAAAATCTTCTTTAACTCCTCCCCCCCCCCAAAAAAAAAAATAAAGCTTTTCAAGTTTCACTTCTTTTAGATTCATTACAAAATCGTCAATACGCGAAAAACACATTTTTACAAATACATCGGCTGTATCAAAACGAAGATGGTTATTGAAAATCTACACAAAATTGATGTGTGATTAGGAAAAGTCAAAAAAGCCAGTGATATTAATTCTGCTGTTCTAACGGTGTTTGGTCCCGGAACTTTTAGATCGTGCAGGTACGGTATTTCGTATAGGTAAGTTTTTATAGGTCGTATATTAACGTTGTGTTATTTAGTAAGACGATGGACTTTTCGGCTAAACATTTCGTTTAGTTGAAATCAGTCATCCATTTATAATGCATACGGGCAATTGCCCGGAGTCGGTCAAGAGCGTACCAATTAATGGTCACGTTAATAGTTCAACTGTTTGGACACAGACACTATTTTTTATAATACTTTATTATTTAATTTTCTAACGATATTCGAGCTGAGCGATAGATACGTTTCATAAATGTTTAATTTTTCAAAAATCCAACACAACTGTTTATGTAATATATAGGTAGGTACTTATGCTGACGATGTGGTTTTTAATTATTGTACATTTGTACCCGATTCCCGTATCGTGACTTATAATTATTGTATAAAATATATTTTTGTATACTTACTCGAGTAAAACGATAATATTTGTATAGGTAGGTGTAATTTAATACGTATACGGGTATATACGAGAATGCAATTATTTATTTGAAAAAATCAACTCGAGGTCATTATATTGGTGGGTGTGCGCAAGTGTGTTAAAATTATATAATTGTTAGGTGTATAACAATAATATTTAACAATTTATCATGACAAATGTTTGACACTTATTACACTGGGTCGCGTATTATTGGATTCCGAGAACAGCGAAAAAACTGAAAAAAAAAAAAACATAAAAAACATAAAAAAGGTTTTTTTTTTCAGTTACCTACCGACAGTTCTCCGATTTTTTCACGATGTACATATTACGTTTTGCAGATTTTCTGTCTAACGGTATTTTATTTGAAAAATGTTGCTAAAATTCCCAATGCTTTTTCAAAAAAAAAATAGTCCTAGGAAAATGTGGACGGGTGTAGCCACTGTTGTGGATAATTTAATATAGGTATATCTATGATAAACCATTGCTTACGAAAAAGCGATTCTGAGCGGAATTCAGTTGATAATTCTTCGTGAACAATATATTTCATTTTATAGGAAAATAATTAAATAGACTTTATATACTTTTTTTAATAATATTTGTTTAACGCTGTACCGATTTTCCCAGTTTTCCTACGTTTTTCCCGTTTTCCCTCTGTTTTTTTCGGTTTTCCAAATTTGATGAGAAAACTCTTGAGAAAATCGAAAAATTACCTCTTTAAAGTACCTCCCTAGCGAAATTTCCTTTTAGAAACATTGCTATTATTATAAGTTGGAGCAAATGGATAATGTATTGCTTTTTTACCAGATAGCATACTCCGATATATATGATATAGATCCTTTTATGAAAAGAAATTTTCTTGGGGTGGTACTTTAAAGAGGTCATTTTCCTCAAAAGTTTTCTCATCAAATGTGAAAAACTGTAGAAAAACGGGAAAATGTACGAAATATATTAGTAAAATATTACGATTTTTTTTTCTGCGGACAACTTTTCTACCAGCAAGTTTGCTTCGATTTACAAGGAAATTTTTTGATTTTCCCAGCAGTTTTCTCCACCTAGCGTTCACTGTGTTTACATTCACACGATGCGATATTTTTTCTTGAATTGGAAGGAAAATATATTAATGATAAAATATAATATTTTCATATAAAAATCGCAAGGGAAATTTGCCTAATCGGTATTTACATTGGATGTATAGTTTACAACATGTTTGTTACGGAAACATTCATTCCCGACGTACGGTTTTTTTTTTTTTAATATTTTATTTTGTAGATTATGCAATGCATTATTATGTGCTACACATACAAATCGATTCTACTCATTCGAATTATACATTGCAAAATTGTTAAGAGAAAAATAGTTCTGCTTCAGATTCTGCTATGTTAGTGTAGAGTAACGAATAATCACATATTTCAGGTATGAGCACGAGTATTATTTTTTTTATTTTCGAGCACGATATGCTTTTGTGGTATTTCCTACGTGTACCAGACGGTTGATACGCTTTTTTAGTGTATATCAAGACCGGATCAAGACATTTTGCGCTTCGGGGTATGTATTCTATACAATGGCCAAAATACTAATAAGCAGAAAAAAAAAAAATTATATTTTTGTACATTTTCACGTTTATTTTTCGCTCCTCGCTATTCCCGTCCTAAAATTCAAGACATATTTTTTATAAACATTAAATTCACAATAGACGTACGGCAATCAGTTTTAAAATTGTGCGCCTTTTAAACTCCGTGCGCCTCGGAGTACATACTATGCCTGTAGGCAATCTAACTAATTAAACGGAATAAAAAATAGAGCTTATATTGGGGACGGGTGTGTCACTGTTTCGAGCGGGAGGTTGGAAAGGTATAGGATACATTCAATTATTTAATTTGAATCTTATAAACAACGATAAACCATTGCTAACGAAAAAAGATTCTGAGTAAAGTTCGGTTAAGTTGTCAATTTTACGATGTTGGTGAAAAATAATCACACTTATGAAACAATATTGCTACTTTACTCATGTTCAATATTATTTTTTTGGACTACTAATTTATAACAAATTTCGAAATAAATGTTCAAGCATTTGTGTTTTATCTAGTCATTTTATCCACAGAATGCTTACAAAATAAAAATTACGTAAAAAGACTTTCAAATATAAAATGACTCAATAGCTAAATTTAAGCTAATGATAGCTTAAAAATCGACAGAATGTTTTGAAGCACGTATAACCCCACAAAAAAGTGAGTATTTTATCTTTAATATACTATTGATTGTGTCACAAGTGACACTATAAGTATGACAAACTGATCGCGTATTAAGAGCACGTAAGGTTTTTAGAACCATCGGTATAAATCCGGATTACGGGGTCGAGTGCAGGGTGACTAATTGGACAGTCGTTCAAAACGCCTTAATGTGTTCGTATACTTATTACATAATACGAGGACTCTTTGAAATATTTTATAATCGAAATTAAAAAATAAAATAAATTATAATTAAAAAATGAACTAAACGTGTTGTACACCGTGTGAATTAGGGAGTATGTATATTAAAAAAACAGTCGTATATAGTACGTGGATATTGTAGGCATTATAATACCTCAATAATATTACGGAAAATTAACAACGTGACAAATCTTTCTTACAAAAAAAAAAAAAAAAAAAAAAGTGCACGAAATAAAAAATTAAAACGTATAGACATTGAACCGGTCCGTAGAAAAACCACTGACGACGATGCGCGGTAGAACAAACGGGAAGAAAGAAATCTCAAAAAAAAAAAATAAATAAATAAATACAACGAACACCTTATTATAAGCGACCATAATATACCGAGAGAGATAAAAGTCTTAAGTTTTTACTGACCAAAAGTTGTTTAATGCCTATGCAGGGTGATTTTTTTTATCACGAATCAGAGGATTTTATCTCAGAAGATTTTAAGTGAATTTGATTTCTGTCGTTTCTAATCATAACGAGTAATAAATTACCTATCTATAACCCTTCCCTATTCCTCCAGTCTAAACTTTAAAATGTTGTAACTCATTCAACGGTAAATCTGATATTAGTATTATTGCTAATAATTATTCATATCTGTGTGTTCAAATAAACGATTCCATTTATGTTAGAAATAACAGAATCAAATTCACTTAAAAAAACTCCGAGATAATCGCTAGTTTATGATAAAAAAAATCACCCTGTATATGGATATTGGACTTCTTTAAATAGAATCAGGACAAAACAGGGTAAATGTAACCATCTTCTATAATACACACGGGGAATAATATATTCACCACATTATGAAATAGCAGTTTTATTTAGGTTTTTGGTCTATATACAATGTTTTTTTTTTCATCGACAGATCGGTAGTTGGATTTTCACACGTCATGATATATAGGACGATTCACTAAGTGTGCTCATCCCATTTTTTTGGGGTACATTTTGCGTATTATGTTCAAATTCTGATTTTCGGAATTTTTAAGTGTAATTATAACCAATATTTTCGAATATTTAGATTCTTCATAACATTACTATGGAGCATCCTGCGGCGATACCAACTTTGGTTTTTCATACGAGAACCAATATTAAAAATGTCATTAATAGACGGAGTATTATTTTAAATACATTTTGGTGTTAAAACTGTTATAATACAACTCACTAATAAAACGCCGTGCGCCGTGCCGCCACAAAAAATTATACTCCATTACTCCCCCCCCCTCACTATCTCGTCGAAGAGTTGACGGAAATCAAAAATTTTAATACCAAAATGCATTTAATGTAATACTCTGTCTATTTATGAAATATTTTTTAGTATAGGTTCTCGTTTGAAGAACCACAGTTAGTGGACCCGGATACTCCTTAAACGTTGTGGAAAATCTAAATATTCGAAAATATTGGCTTTGACTGCGCCTAAAAATTCCGTAAATCAGAATTTGAATATAACATGGAAAATTTAACCGAACAAATTTGGTGAGCGAACGCTTATGAATCATCCCGTATGTTTATTGATTATTATGTACGAGTAGCCGGCGGTTATGATATTCGTTAGCGAACAGGATATTACTCGATATAGTTTGACGAGAAACGTATACGCGCGCACGACGGTGATTATTATCCGGCGTATTTTAATTGCAGGATACCGCGGAATAACGCGCGGCAATTTATTTTTCGTTAAATTTTTTAACGCGATCGTTCTCGTGTTGTAATCATATTTTCAACGTCAATTTCCCGTCCGGACTGCCGTCTGGTTTTATTGTTTTTCGAATGAAACGACGTTTATTTATTGTTATTGTTATTTTTTTTTTTTTGCTACGGAATTCAACGGCCGTTTCATCGATTCCGGCGGTGCACACGCCCAACACCCCGTTGCGTTCGTAAAAACGGTATCCTATCCGTGCGCACATTTCGTCGCGCGTATCGTTACAAACGGTACACCATGCTACACCTGCACGATGACGGCTGCAACTTATACGAGGGTAGTATACTACGGCGGCGGCGGCGGCGGCGGCGGCGGCGGCGGCGGCGGCGGCGGCGCGATAACGAGACCGGCAGCGGGACCCGCGGCCGTTTATCGCCCGCACGCCGGCGGGGAAACTGCCGAAGTCGCGGGACGCGAGCGCACGTCCGCCGTCTTCCGAAATATAATTATCACCACGGTACAAATATTATCTGTAAATTGGACGCGGTGCCAGGCGACACTGTCCCGGACCGACGGCACGACACGATTTAACAATCGCAATAATAATAATATCGTGTTATAATTGTATACATCTATATAGATATATGTATACATGCACGGATCGATTCGTTATTTCACATGTGGCTACGCGACTGCGAGAGATCGTTTCGGAAGGTTTTTCTTTTTTAAGTATATGTTTGAGATAGTTTTTTTTCGCGAGCCCCCCCTCCCCCCCCCCGCGCCACTCATTTTCTCCGAACTTTACTTTTTGCACCCTTGTGCCACGCAGCATACAGCACTGTTTATATCGGTACCGAATCGCATATATATGTCTTGATATAAAAAAAAACGGGCAACTTCGCATTACGGGCAGGCCACTGTTGTGGGGCGGGTAGTTGGGACGGCAGGATATAGACGGAAATTTAATGTGCGTCAACGATCAACCGTTGCTAACGAAAAAACCATTCTGAGCGGAGTTCATTTGATAGTGTTGCTTTGTCAATAATGTATAATAATAAAGTAAATGATATTCACGTATCTATTAATCCAGTAGCAAGGAATCCACGCGCGATTGTGGTACTTTTTAAAATTATTTATTTCATTATTTTCCGAAAGCGTGTCAAGCTCAATGTATGTACCTACCTACTAACGTTTTCATTTATTGTATTTTTATTCAATTTCCATTTTATCGTATTATATACATTTTTCCATTATATTTTACTTTTTAGTTCGTTTTATAAGCGCGGTGTTTAATTTTTTTTCAAATTTTAATATTATTTATAGGTTAAGTAGACAGCTATTTTTCATCCCACCGGGAAAATGGAAAATCATTAATTAATCATCGGAACATCGAATTATTAATTGTGGAAGAAATACGGAATAAAAGTTGTTCGAAGCGTTCTTTGATATTTCAACATGTTTTCCCGAAAGTAAAAATAAATACACGAGGGGTTAAAACGGAATTGTACATCGTGCGATATAGAATGTATTCAGTGGTAAGTAGGTAAATACTTTATTTTAAACTTTTTGAACTTTGTATTGTCTATTGAAATCTGAGATCCGTTGAACTGTGGGGTCTGGGACGATAGCCCCGCTCGTTATACCCCAGGGACAACCATGCCTTGAAATACTGAAATCGATTTAAACTATAAAAACTCATAAAACAATTAGTTATCATATTTTAAATTATTAAAAACCAAAATTAATATTTTCGAAAACAAAAAAAATATCCAATAAAATAATAAAGTAAAAACAAAATTATTAAATGGTTAATACTCGTAAATACTCTAAAAAATATCCTTATAGGCCTACGAAGTTTTCCATGAATTTGTTTTAAATTTAAACTTTAAAGTGCCTAGCCCTCTAAATGGCTAGGTACAATATTTTACCTAGAAGATTTTTCCAACAAAAAAGTGTTACGCGTGTCAACTATCAGAGTTCTATTAAACAAAACGTTGCAGAAAATAACCTCTAACAGGGAAACTGTACATTTTATCAGAAGCTCGTAATATTAATACGATTTTAATTGATTTTTTTTCTTTCTAAAAGGTACGTCTGTAGGAAATGTTATTTTCATTATTCTCGTGTGGAGAGTCGTTAGGAACCGATGATCGGTATAGGCACGCGGTATTATTAGAGGATTATGACCGGAACATGATTTCGAATGAAATTTTTGTGTAATGCTGCAGGTTTCCGATTCATTACACGCAGCAATGGTTGGGATTTGTAAATCTTTTTATGTACGTTAACAATAAAGTAATACGCCGAACACACTGTGCTTCAAATAAGGTATTTGTCTGAAAGTCTTACACAAGAAATAGATCTTATATCGGGGGGGGGGGGGGAGGGGTTTTGCTCGGCCTTGAATTTGGTGGAATTGATGCTTTTTTTTTAACATTAGAATTAAAAAAAACTCTATATAATTACAGGCATTTATAATATAGTGAAAGAGCGCTATTTACTACTATAATAATATTAATGCAATCAGTCGAATTTTGAATACGTTTTCGGTAATTTAAAGTAAAACAAACAATACACCTTTACTTGGGTGCAATAATCATAAGAATTCGAGACGCACAGATGTGGCTTGTCGAGCTATAGCCACAGCTGGAGTTTTTTTTCATATCGTTATGTAAGTACCAAAAAAGCCTTTTTCCTCGGAAAAACGATACGTTTTATACTGATGAGTTTTTTTTTTTTTTTTTTTATATCGATTTTATCGAAAATATATTATTATATAGCATATTGTTGCCGGCCACGGTTAAAGATAATACTGGTAATAAACTGGTTGCCTATCGAGATGCGATAAGGCGATTCCCCATACTTACATTCTTTCGTAAAATAAATTTCAATTTTCTGTCTAAATATATAGTTTATTTATACATTTTTTTCGTATGCATAGTGTTTTTCGGACAATGTGAAGGGGTGGGTAGTCAAAATAACACCAGCCATATCAGCTGCTACAAACGCCTATGTATATAAATATAGTTTTCAATGGAAATCGGCGTCACCTCGTATTAGCATCTGCATGCAACAGTCAGACAAATCCAATCACATAATACAATAGCGCAGTGGTTCTTAACCGGTATTTCGCAGACTTAAAATAAGCCAACATTTTAAAATCGGCGGAAAAAATCGATAAAAATGAATATAAATAACATTTTTTTTTTTATTTTACGGCTGCGTTTCGCGAAAATCGTATAAAATGTGAAGTGTCCCGTTATTTGAAACCACCACAACAGCGTATAAATATGGACTCCAGCAAACAAATAACAAAATGTGGAGTTATCCGATATTGTTACTTTGAGGCATTCAATTAAATATAGATATACTGAAATAAAAAAAAAAAAAAAAACTTTAAATAGGAACGTGTAAATTTATAAACATTGATAAAAATCTATACCGGCTAAATGTTATAATGTTATACTTTCGAAGTTTTTTTGGTGGCCAATATTACATTGTTATTATTTCCGGAGTAAAAATAATCTGCATTTACGTTACGGTAAAAGTTGTTATATTTATATATTAACCTATTTTGTGTCGTTAATTTCAATATTAGATTATATTGGCTTATTATTAAACTTAAAGGTGAGAATATTGTTTGTGTTTTTACATTGATTTGTTTTCGATGTTTTAATTGTCAAGCGAGATGGGATGATTTTAAAATTGTAATATTTTATATATCCGTAACTCGCTTGAAAATAAAAATATCGAAAAAAAACTGACGTACAAACATAGACAATGTTCTTATCTTTAGGTTTAATAATAGACGAATACACCCTAATGTTAAAACTCATAGCGCACAATGGGTTTTCATACACAAAAAGTATAAATGTAACAACATTAACCGATTGTACATTTACCGTGACGCCTACATTGTACAAACAAATTCAGTAAGAAAATATTTTTAATATTTCTTTTGGTTCTAACACAGATAAGTATAATTTATTAATATTCGACCACATTAATGTTGTATTAGGTCAAAACCGTATATGCATACGAGATACGACCCCGTATTTATCTGAGAATAACTCACATAAAGGGACTTTTCCGCTGAACACATCCGGTAGGTCACATTCGGTAAGACTCCTGGGCGGCACGTGGTTTATATTAAACGCTTAGCAAAATGTAATTATATTTATTACTGCGCGCGGCGATTATAATATTATCCGTCGCACGGTTAAATTACATACAGCGTGGTTCAAGGCTCCGTTCGATTTCCAAAAATTCAAATTAATTTCAAAAAGAACCACTGGAGTGGGACGAAGTAAAAAAAAAACATTCCTAAAATCATCAAGTGTTAAGATGACGCGTAACGAATGTACAATATGACCATCATCGGCCGTCGGACACTCATCTAGGGATGTATACGGTCTTAACGTTTCTCGTCACGGCAGTGTCACAGTGTCCGCGATCCGGGGTAACTCCAAATCATTGGTCCCGCCAAACCGTCGCGAGAATTCGTTGTTTCAGGTTTCCGATTTCAAGTTTACCAGCACGACGGCGGTGTTTTCGCCTGGCAGTGAACTCGATTGGCCTCTTGGTCATTTTAACGACGGTAATTAATGGTAACGCCGTTTCTACGGTACCCAGGTAATCGGATGAGGACTTTTTAACCACGCCGTATATGATGTATGCTAATCAAAACGAAATAACATTGTGTGGGCATGTGTAACCATATTATAATCATTTCCAGCAAAATACATTTCATGGGAGTTCCGACGATCCGCAGATAATATTATTATGAGATCAGCGTCCATTATTACTATACGTCGACGTTATTCCGTATTATATCACAGTATATGAATAAAATATTTCGAGGGTTACCCGATTTGTATAGGAGGAATCCTACTTTACCTACGGCAGTTCCCCGCCGCCCTGCCCATACTATATAATATAATTACACGAACTCGACCGCGACAAATAAATCGGATTTTGGGTCCGCGATGGTCGTGGATTTTAACCGGATGTTCTATTTGAATACACTATACGGCCTGTCGTGGGGTTCAGGCGCGAATACGGAATCAATACCATATAAAATGTTATACGTAAGCGGCCAAACAGTTAAACATTATATGCACTAAATGCATTTCCAAAAATCGTGTAAATTTCTGTCAATATAATCAAACGACAGTTAAGGGATTAGGTTAGGTTAGATTAAGCGTTTTTAACGAAATGTTTGAACAAACTTAACACATTTTTATCGACTCGAAAATATTCGAATTGCTTTCGAGTAAAAGTATCAATATATTATTATCTCGTGTCATTATCTAATTGAGCATTTAGCGTGTATACCATATGAAAATTTGAAAAAAACGTCAATTTAAAATGTCTACTGAAAAACCGTTTTTGGTAACATCCATCAAGGTTATTGTACAATATACAGGACCGTAACGATAGAGGTGACTTATGTCATGGGTTAAATACCTGACGGAGGGGGGGAGGGGGTGAAAATTCCCTGAAAACACACAAATTTAATAAACGAAAAATTTGAAATACAGAAAATCCGATAGTGAGACACGAGTGATAATTAAAACATTAATTTGATTGTGGTAAAAATCGTTCTGCTCTGCGTTTTCATTTGTTCGATATCACACTAGCTACAAAACAAATTATTCGCGTCTGAAAACCATTAAATTATCGGATAATTAAAAGACAATAACTTTATTTGTATTAAATGTGATGCAAGTTTTCTTTTTTGAGAGAGGTGGTGGAGATTATAGTACGGTGGTTCTTGTACACGTGCAATTTTTTTTCTGTTATGTTAAACTATACTTGTTCGAGATGGAAGAATTATTATTGATGAGTCATTCTTGTAAGTATTACCTCTTTGCTGTACTCGTAGATTGTTAATAATAATATTATTATCGGAACGAAAATATTTGACAAGGAATTATGCGTGGCGCTTGTTATAGGTTATATATTTTATCATGATAAATATTTGTTCAATTCGTCTTGTAACCAAAAAAAAAAAAGAAAAAAGAAGCATATTTGTTTCTTGAAAATGGGTCAAGGCAATTCGATCACGTTAAAAAACAACACAAGAAGAATAAAATGGCTAGTATTATACGCTATTAGTAGAAGTGAATTTTTTTTTTTGAAAAATACATGTTGAGACTTGGGGTTCTTGTCGTTCGACACATGAAATTAACATGAGGAAATTCGCATGCAGGAGCGTAATGCAGCAGAAGACATTTTAGTTGGTGGGACAATCGAATGAACTTCATTTGGCTGACTGACAAAAAGGTCTCTTCTTTTTGCTCATGAAACAATTCCTGATTTTGTATTATTTTATTGTCTATGCTATTTGATTTTTTTCTATATCGATTAGACCGATTTCAATATTTTTAAAAAAAATGTCTATTTAACCGATTCGGGTAAGTTATTTTAAGGGAAATCTGTCTCTCCGGCGTGTGCTTTATTTCCCGGAAAAATTGAATCGGCTGCTAAACAATCAAAAAATAATTTTCGAATAGTGTGTACGTACTTTTAATAAACCTATTAAAATGTTTCGTTTTTCACACGCGCAATAGGTGGGAATTACATTATATTATTATAGGTAGGTATTATTTACGGCTATCAATTTATGTTCCGGTGAATATTATAATATGTGACAATATTATTACAGCGTATATTATAATATAATACCAGCCGACCCGGCAATGATTTGCTATTGCTGGATAATAATGTAAATAATAGTAGCAATAATAATAGTAATGATAGTTTTCTTGTCCGTGACAACCAAATTATCATCCGTATCCCCAAGGTAACCCACGAATAAACAAAAATAAATAAATATAAAAAATTAGATGTTCGTACAAAAAAAATCCTAAACACCCATATATTAACCCCTCAGGTGTTGAATTTAAAAAAAAATCCTTTTTAGCGGATGCCAACGTCATAATTGCTATCCGTGTGCTAAATTTCAGTTCCATCCGTCCAGTGGTTTGGGCTGTGCGATGATGTATCTGTCAGTCAGGTTATGTTATTATTTAGTGTGATGCTAATTAATATGATAGGTATAAAAATTAAAAATAATAAATTATTATACAATTTCTTTATTATCTAAACATTTTAAACGTTTATTTTGCAGAACTGACGGACATTTAGCCGAAACGGCTGGTTCGTTTAGACGTGTCAGAAAACAATTTGAGTCCGTACGATCTATACCGCCCATCAGCCTCTAAAAATAAAAATAACTACATTTATCAGCCAATAATCTGACGGCTATTCCTGACGAAATTGTTGATTGCCATTGTTTCTTGTCCCTTTAACTTCTAGGCTTGAGTGACAATTGCCTAACCTGTCCTCAAGCTTTTTATATTCTGTCAACTCTACACAATCTACACGAATTAAACTTGAGTGGCAACCAAATATCATTTATAATATATTTGGTAACATTGATAAAAATAAAAAAGGACGAACATACTTCGTACGTGGGTGTAGCTACTTTTTTAGGTGGGATACAGACGGGAATTTAATATATATCTGTAAGCAACGATAAACCATTGTTAACGAAAGACGATTCTGAGCGGAGTTCAGTTGATAGTGTTGCTTTGTCAACAATATATATGTCATATTATGATAAAATGATTGCAACAATGTATGTTTCCATGGCAGCAGCGTTTGTTTAAAAAATATTTAAAACAATAAAAACTTGATAATAACAAAAAATAAATAAAATCGGTTGCCAATTGCAATTTTATTCTTAATCTTTCAATCTTTTTCAACCTAAAGACCTAATCTTTATTTCTCATTATCTCGAATATTAATGAAAATTTCCAAAAAATGACTTTTCTAAAATACCACCCAGTGAATATTTTCTAACAGAAAAAATTCTATACTTGATAATCGAAGTATGCTTTCAGGTAGAAAAAATGTTAACATAAAAAAAAATAAATAAACATCTATGTTAAACCAATACATTCCTCGCTCCACTCAGAATCTAAAACATCTAGGGAGGGACCCATTTAAACACACACAAAAAATGTCATCAAAGTCAGTCCAGCTGTTTAGGAGGAATTCAGTGACATACACACGGACAGACGAAATATGTATAAAGATACATAATAACAAGTATAATACTAAAACAATATTATTATGCTGCACCGAAAACATCATTATGATAATACGTCTCCAATCTTTCGGAAACACAATAATGTCTGTTCGACGAGCGCGTGTCATAATCCTATCTATGCAACTGTTACCATAATATTATCACCTTATTGTCATAGATGGAAAATGGGAGAGGATTAGTCCCTCAAAGCATCCAAAGCCCCTCAAAAATGTTTGCATACTTTCCTTAGGTATTTTATAAATATATAAGACCTGATTATTTAAGAATAAGGATTATTTATTCTATAGCTCTTTTACCTACACGAGTCTCTTTATCCTGTGGCGGCTCTGATGGTTGTAAATTGTAATGTTAAAACCCGGTAACGCGCCTTTTTGACGTTTGCCACCGGCCACGTTCACGTACGCACGTGACGGTCACCCACAAATAATAAAGCACGGATAGTCCGTACGGTTCTAACCGATAAATACATCTTTACGTCTGGGTATCCTTTATTACATAAGCGATTACGTCGCCTTACCATAACAAATAATGTTAAAAAAAATTCGCCTAAATGAGAATAAAAACGTGTACAAGTCTTGTACAGGAATGACTTGCACATTGTTTTATTATTCATGCCGTCATTGCGGATCATAGATTATACCGTTTCCCGCACGCCGCAATGAAAACACGGAGTTTTTATGGCTTTGCGCAGGCTTATTACTTATCGTAATCTTCTTGTTTTCCATTTATACAAGAGTAATGAAGCTGAATTTTCGTTTTTTACCCCCAAAACTAATATTTGCTTTTATTTAATTTCGTTTGCATCACACATATTTACCCGTGTAACCTTCACGTTAAAAAAATCTTACGTGCTCCGACCTCCGGAATAATATTTATGGAAAACACTTTTCGCAGGGTACTGCCACTGCTGTAACTGGGAAACCACAATTTCACCATCAAAAAGAAGAACTGGCCCAGTTACACTGAGAAACGTTTGTTTCACTTTTTCGATATCGTGACTTCGAAAAAAATTATTCGAGTTTGAAAAACTTTATATTATCAGAATTCAGAACAAAATAATACGAATAATAGTAACTTTATTTGTATTTGTGTAGGTATGAAAAAAATAAAATAAATGTTGTCCGGTCAATAGTTCGAGTAGTTTTTGACCGCGAAAACACTTTTTCATAGTCACAGACGGTGTTCGTATATCAGCCGAATATTGCTAAATATGGAATTTTATTGAAAAACAGTATAATTACTATCGATTGAAGCCCGAACAGTTTTTTCGGAAAGTGACTTAATCAACGCATACAATACAGCTAGCGCATTAATTCGTTGTTCTACTTTGATTTTTTATATTTTAAGCGCCAAAGTATTGTTTTTAACAATTCAGACAAAATAATGGAAAACAATACGAGTATTCTTTTATAACAATCGCAATTTTTTTGTTAATTTTAATCAAGAGATTGCTACGCACTTTTTTCTTTCTCTATTATACGGGACTGATACGGCATATAAGATTTCGTATTGAACAAAGTATCTGTTCTAATTGTTCGACATACAAATTTAGATTGCACCACATCGATACAATATTATATTAAACACAATAATATTGTATAATCCAGTTCTTATATTTTTGTATATTTATACATATATAAAGAGTCTTAATTTAAATTTAATTAAAACTAATACGAAATAACAGTGGCGTAACCGTGGGCGGGGCTAAGGGAGCTTCAACACCTCTCCTCCCATGACCTTGTTGAATACAAAAAAAACAAATAAAACAAACTAGCATTGTAAATGTAGTATTAATAAATTATAATAATCATTGCATATTTGCACGACTTATTCGACTCATATTCAAGTAATTACAAATTGTACTACGCAATTATGCAGGTAATTATTTTAAAAACATAATAATTTTTTTTAGTTTCCCCCCCCCTCAATCGAAGAATCTCGCGTCCATCGTTGTAAAATAATATGTTTATTTAGCCGTCAATTCAATATGGTTTATACCGTAAACGAATTATTATATACGTTTAATTCTATCTGCAATTTTCTTAATGGGTTTAAGATGTAAATTTCTTGTACAGAACGCGACAGATAAAGTAATAAAACATGTTTTTATGTCAGTAAATGTACTGTTTTGCGAACAGTATTGATAATTATCAGTCTGGTTTTTTTTTTTTTTTTTTTTTTTTTGATCACGGAAAACGCTTTTATTTTTAAATAAACAATTTTTACGGGATATACACCTACACGGTAATAAAACAATGGACGCATATCACGATAATCTTTAAAACAATTGCGTTATTATCTGCTAAAACAATCATAAATAACATTAATAAGACGTGAACAGCGTCATTATGTTGATGTAGTGTTGTGTACATAATAATAATTTCGTTACGTGGGTTGAACATTTTTGAAATAGCCTCTGTCCATCTGTCCGTGGCGGGGCGGTGGTCCGAACACGAAATGAACTCGAGGAGTCGTAATTGGTACCTGCACGAGTGTATCGTAACAAAATATTCAACTCGTGATCAGCGACCGGAAGTTTTTCAGGGGCTAATAGAAGAAAATCGAATTCGGTTGAAATATATTTTTATTTGTAATACTCGCGTAACGTTTAAAACCGTAATATTTATACTAGGGACGTCCGTGAACAAAAAACATTTTGTGGAGACGATGGGGATAGATCCCCCCGAGAATCTTTTCTGACATGTTATGCATCTTAGGATACATATTTTAAATCAAAAGTCGGTTCTGAATGAAGTCGTAGTATTAGTCGCATTTGCTCCCTTTTAGCCAATATAAGGTGACCCTACAGAAATCAACAAAAATAAACATATGTTTACGATATGGGTGGGCCACTGTTGCAGGTGAAAAGTTGGGAAGATAAAGATAAAATTGAATGTATATCTGTACGCAAAGATTAACCATTGCTAACGAAAAATGATTCTGAGCGAACTTCGGTTATATGTGTTTTGAAATATTGTAGTTTTATGATTTTCGTCAATCTCTTCATAACAGACATTTTTATAATTTATAAGGGTAAAAAAGAACATTTTCCGATTTGTTGTAACTTTTTGATTTTTGGTCATCGAATATGTTAAGGTTAACTGTAAGATAAAATGAGCAGTATTAGGTATTGGGACCGCTCGACTACATTTTTAAGATTTCGATGATACTAGGAAATACTGTCACCTGTGAGGGATAATCGGGAAAAGTCCAAAAGTTAAAGGAAAGTTTTGGTTTATCTGCTTGGGAAGATATTTTTATTGGGACAAGAGTGAACTGAGGGCACGTGTATGATATTGACTAAAAATGTTTATTTTGTTAAATTTTAGAACCTGATTGCAGCGAGGAATGCATTAGTTTTATAAAGATGTTTATTATTATTTTTTTTTATGTGAACACTTTCTACCAAAAAATAAAATCGTAAAAATCGGAGCATGTCTTTGTAAAACTATAAGCTTTTGCGCTCCACTCAGAATCTAAAAAATAAAATTTTTTTTATAACACTCGTGAGCAAATTGTACGCGCGTCGATAGTTTACGTGTATAACCTTTGTCGCGATAATACAGTAATAATACGCGATTGCGCGTGTAGGCACTTATAGCTGCAGAATGGTAAACCGTTTATTTTCTATTATTTTTTTTTTTTTCTGAAGATTTATACGATCGTACAGAAAATGTAAATCACACGGCATTCACTATTGATAACAACAATATTTCCTTATCCTTCGTGTGGAGGTTATAACAAAATACCCATGTTTGTTGTAATTTAAAAAAAAAAAATATATATATATATATGTAACTACACCTATATTGTATACGCACCTTTTATACTAACAATAGGTATCTAGGTATGTAATAAATAAAAACATAATGTATTCTATACCTCGTTATACTATATAAAACACGTTTAAGTGATTGTTGGTTGCAGTGGTCATTTATTTATCACGCTGATTTTTTTTTTTTTTTTTATTTTTATTTTTTTTTCAGGGGGAGGGACTCAAAATTAAAATAAAAAATTGAACGAAATTCAAAATAACTAATTTGTTGTTCATTTGATTCCTATAGATTATTTCAATAAAATATTGCATTGATGTTTGCAGTGACACAAATAGAAACTGCAGGAAGAAGGCTCAACGGCAGACCAAAGAAACGGCGGACGGACGGAGTATAAGATGATCCGGACAGGCTGGAATAGTAATTGATTTGGAGCAAAGGATACAGAACCGAGATTATTGGAGGTGTCGGCAACCAAAATCCGTACAGCGATGTGAGGCTATACTTCTAATAAAGATAATGATGAGTGGTGCAATCTGGATTGATTTTCGCGTGGGAGAACATCCCCCTCAATCTTCGGTTGCGCTACTGGATGTTTGAGATTATTTCCGATTTTATTAGCTATTTCCTACAGATTTAATGCAATTTTACAACGCCATTTTCATTATGACGTTAACAACACAATAAATAATAACAATCGATAATAATACACACAGGAAATAACTCGAAATTATACCTGCAAAATGTGCAAAAGTATCTGCTTGCAGGCCATTCGGGTTATATAAGAGCGTAACATTTTTTTTTTTTTTATTATTATTGCGTTCGGAAAATAATACAACGAGTTATAATAATAATAATAATAATAATAATATAATATCATAACAGTCTACACATTTATATTCGTAAAAACAATATAATATTTTGGCCGTACTTGCGACGGCGAGGGCGCAGAATATCAATTCTGCGATATTCGATATACAGTGTATTGTACACACTGCATATGCATCCGAATTCTACATATTATGTTCCGTCACGTGACGGATACGTTACGCTTTATGCGTCTATAGTCCCATATACCCACGACGCGAGTATATACGGAATACTCGCAGCACTTCCAATTTATTAGCTTAAATATCGGATGAATACGTGTCCTTTGAGCTAATATGATTACGTATATTATTATACGAGGACGCGAAATAAAATTGTTATTACATAGAATACGATTCGGTCAGCGAAACGGTGTTGGCGGAGGATATATAATCGTATATTCCGAGAGAAATATATAATAAAATTATATACGTTATTATATTATTGTTTTTTGGATTTTAGATATAAAAAAAATTTACGGAAAACCGTCTTTTTTTTTTCTTCTTCTTCCGTACATTGCGTATAGAAATAACAATTTGTTTGAATATGTTGGACATTTAACAGCAGCCGTCAATTTATTGAATAAATATAATAATCAAACTAGTCTATAATAATCAAACTATATGTAACACAATAATGTTGAGTGTAATACCGTAAAAATGTATGAACAATTAATCGGCAATTAATCGGATTAATCGTGTATGTTCATTTTCGATTGATACTACGCCTCCACAAAATATTATAATGGTAGCTGTTGAAGAACCAAATGAGAACCATCAGCAACACACGTATAGACTAAATAAATTTTATACGTGAAACGTGAAGGTGATTATAGTTGCAATTGTATTTTGTCAATCGACCATGACGATATCTCGTATTTCTTATTTGATATTTCATTCATGCAGTAGATATACCGATAATGAAATTAATTAAAATTTACAATTTTTTAGTATTTAAGTGAAGAAAATGTATTCATCGATTTTTTCTGAAAGGAAATTTCACTGGAGTGATACATTAGGTTATTTTTTGATTTTCCCGGGAGTTTTCATAACAAATGCGAAAAACCGGTATAACCGAACTCAGCTCAAAATCGTTTTTCGTTAGCAATGATTAATCGTTGCGTACAGATATACATTAATCTTCTCAAATTATCACTGACAACAGTGGTTCATCCATCCGTTTTTTTTTAATTTGTGAAAAAAAAATTTATTTATTCCTTCCTATACATTGTGTTTTAAATTTATTCGAAATCGAAAAAATATGAATGTTATTAACATATTATATTATTATAATTGATCCGTTGCGAAATACTTACGCAAACTAGATTTAAAATTTAAAAAAAAAAAATAAAAACTAATTTTTTTCACATATTGTGAAAATTAAACGTTATATTACGAGTTTTATTTATAAATACCCTCGTATTTGTCATACTATATTTGTTCAGTAAAAGCTAATACGAGCAGACCAATGTATATTAATGTTTCGTAGAGGCATCTATATAGCGTGACTTTGTTATAATAGATTGTGTAGATTATTAGTGTAATGATTGTATTGTTATTCGATGTGCCGTAAAAAAACGACATTGGTTTTCGCACCGCTGTGTGCATTTTAAATAGCATTGCATCATCGTTTATTGTATTATTATTAATGTAATATAATTATTTATTGGTCGTATAGGAAAATCAATCGCACGCCGCAAATGACAACGGGAACTGGAAATTGAAATCGATAATCGAGCCAAATGAACAAAAAAAAAAAAAAAACCGAGCCCCGTCACAATAGAGTCGAATTTTCTCCCAACTTTATATTTGTACCATAGAAAAATTCTTTGTTATCAACTAAATAACCGAAGACTATTACACTGCTATACTATAACTAAACCATAATTCCAAAAAAAAGACGGACATACTTCGCACGTGGATGGGCCACTGTTGTTGGTGAGAAGTTGGGAAGGTAGAGGGGAAAATTAATGTATATTTGTGCGCAACGATCAACCATTCTTAAAGAAAAACGATTCTGAGTGGAATTCAATCAAACATGTTTCGAAAGGCTTTAGAAATAATACATTCGTTAGTTTTCCCGTTTTTCTTACGTTTTTTTCTGGTTTTGTAAAGAAAACCGCTGGTAAAATCAAAAAATGACCTTTTTAGGTTTTTAAGTAAGTACCACCCCAGTCAAATTTAATTTCAGAAAAAGAGTTACACTTGTGAAATCGGAACAAAATGTCTGGTAGAAAAGTTGTTTACTGAAAAAAAAAACATCAATGTAAAACTAATACATTCCTAGTTCAGTTCAGAATTTAAAACCATGGTATGGTATTTGAGCATGAACTTGTAGGGGTTGAAAATTCATGTACATGAAAAGAATATTGTTAATATTACACCGCCATACGTATACAAAATAAGTCTGTAAGGGTTTATTTAATGGTGGAATCTAACCCAATTCGCCTATAAAACTACTCTTAATTCTTAAATATTATCTCATTTGGTCTCTAAGGAGTGTCTAAAATCGCTCAAAAATAGTGGGAAAATAGATAAATATAACAGACACGATACAGTTCCGGGAGAGGAGGAAATACGGCGAAAAACGTGTAAAAAAATTAAATATTAAAACTATAATCGGTGCTTTTCACATCAATATTGTAACAAGAGTTTTAAAAGTAAGCAAAGTTTTATAATAAAAAATACAAACTTGTTTCGCTCTTTAAAAAAGTCAAAGTTTTTAAGTTTCCATAGTTGAATCGCAATCAGCGGGAGGAACCCTCGGTACTCATTGCCTTTGTCGTCTCTCCAATGTTATTATACAGTTTCGCTCTTTGTTAGCGACTTTTGTACACGCAATCAATCGACGAGATGTTAATTAAAAAAAAAAAAAAAATACAATGCAGCGACGAGAAATAATATATACTGTTAAAAGTTTTTGGTCTTAAAACTTTTAAAATGTAATTGGAATAAACATTCGAATAATATTATATATTATCAAATATTCATTCAGAATATATTATTACGATTATATTCGGGTATCATAATTGAATTGAAATATATTTTAAAAATTGTATTATTTATTTTATGAACTAACAAAAAAAAAATTAATTTGTCTCGAGTATGAGATGAAATTATGGTACTTATAAAAAAGACTTATAACAGAAAAACCAAAAACTGATATTGCAGGTGGGTATGCCATTGTTGTAGGTGAAAAGTTGGGAAGGTAAGATAGATAATTATTTTGTTTATATCTGTAACGAAATGCCATTCTGAGTGAAGTGTTTGGTTAAATATGTTTTGAGATTGAAATGCCGTGATTTTTAAGATTTTCGTAACTTAAATTCTAAATGGTTTTAAGTCAGACCACGTGTAAAATTCCCAACAATTTCTGTTCGGTCAAAAAAATTGTATTATTTGCTATACTATGAAGAAAAAAAAAAAAACGGAAAACTCGAAAATGACAAATTTTTAAAATTGTAAGTATCTAAATTTTTCAAAAAATGCAAGAATATTTTGAGCATTTTACCACGTCTAGAAAAGTACTCGTATAAGGATTCTATGTAAATTTCAAGTCTTTACGTTTTATTTCAGATCAATTAAAACAAAACAAACAAATCGAAAATAACGGATCCGTTACTTACATTTTCTTGTTATTTTATTTTTTTTTAATTATTATGAAAACTACAGGAAAAAGACCCGCACATATTGTACCAACTAGACGAAATATACTTTCTTTCCAGTAGAAAAGAGACAGAAAAAAACACACACCATAGCGAAATCAATACGTTCGGTCAGAATCGAATACTATAGTTATAACTAAGTTATGACGTTATATAGGTTCTAGTTTATATTGTCAAGCTATTGTATTTGATTTACTCGTAAAGATTACTTTTAAAGATATCCGTTAAGTATAGTCGTGCGCGCGTGGTATAATATACGTCTGGCTTTTAAAGCGTCGCGAATATCGTCAGTATACCTGCCTAATGTTACTTATTACGCCACTGTAAAATTGATAAATCATTAATTTAATTTAAATTTAAACTGTCGTTCCGCTGTAAACGAATTAAAACGCAAAGTTCATTCCGAACGGCTGCCTGTTCGTTATCAAATTACTATATTTTAACAATTAAGCACAGTTCGCACACACGTTTATCAAACAATACGGCGCAGCACAAAGTATATTTCAGCGTGCGCGAATAATTTTACAAAACCAATTTCAATTCACTTAATTAATCTATTATAGGATTAATGTTCAGTGCCGTAAAATAGTGTGCAATACATTTCGCTTGTATAGATTTAATTATTATTCTTTCGAGTAAGTATGTAATCAAATAAATTTAGTTTACATACCGTTGCACATTATACATTATATACGCGGCGGTAAAATATAGTAAACAATTCTGACGGGGGGTTTTATTAAACATTGCGTGAAATATTGCAACTGAACAATGTAAATTACAATATGTTGGTGTTATTAAAAGAATTTTGTTATAAATTTAAACTGAACGGATTTATACAAATTAACTATGACATATTACTGTGATGGTGCTATTCATATTTATGGACCGAAAACGATTGTGTTCAGATATTTATAACCATAAAAAAAAAAATTTCAAACACCCCAAAAAATGGAAAAGTTTAAGATGAAAATACTGTACGATTTGTTTTTACTGAATTACAAGGTAAAAATCGACTAACAGAAACCGTTGCAGCGCAAATATTGACGTTTATCAGTAATTTTTCAAAGGCTTTTTCAAATCATTAGAAAAAAAAAAAACGGCTTCCACAACTAGACGAAATTTTCTACCAGAAACCATTCGCCTGATGTCGATAATTGAGGCTAGATTTTTGGTCGAAAACACATCATAGTAGTAAAACTAATTCACTTCTCTCGGAATCTATGTTAGGTACTTTAACCTAATCTTCTTTTTGACTATTTAATATCTCATATTTTCATCAAAAACAAATGCAATTTAAATTAACGTCTATATTACGGTCACAGTCGCTGATGTCGCAAAAATGTGCATGTACCGCGTAAAACATGCTGCGTAGATACACGCAATGTTTGAACAACGGAAGACTGAACTAAATTTTATACCTATCTAAATGAATTGTTCGTCGAGTTTAAAACCGAAATTTCCGGTTCATTTGGGTTCCATTCACGCGGTGGCAACGGCGAAAGAAAAACAAAAGAACCGATGGAAAAATTGATTTACCGTCATTCACCGCGCGATGAGAGTGAAGTTTCTTCATATACACGATTTATTTTCATTTTGGCTATACCGCTAATGGATCATATGTGTTGACCGTGAATGGATACCGCCCGCGGGTATTATTATACATCGAACGGAAAACACCGAGAACCGTGTTGTACATGTTCGTTAATTTTCCGAAAAAAAAAAAAAAAAAAAAAAAAAAAACACTATTGGAATGAGCATTAGTACTCATTTAATAATGAAAATTGTCGATATTTCCACTCGGACAATCGACGACTGAATGAGTTTAAAAGCACAGATCCATCTTCGACTTTTCACGCTTTTATCATATATTTTCCCTTATCGCTTACACATTTTAACAATATCACGTACAGCGCCGCCGATACCTTCACTCTCCATCGTATGACTTCTTTCACCCCTTCACCACTTTCTAAGTATATTATACGACGTATCACCGGAATAACGGACGACCTATAATCGTATGCGATCAGTAAGGTCGTAAGAATGAGATAATGCATTTTGATAAGAGATAAATATGAATGACTGATAAGGGTATGTGGACGAGAGAAAAAGCGTTACAGACGGATTTTATATACATTATACATACACGAATAATACTTAAAATCATCAAACAAAATATTTAATTACATTTATGTATACCCTGTAATATTTCAGGATACCTACCTGAAGAGGTTTTTTTTATAATATTCGCATGTTTATTCGGCGTAAAAGTTATGTTGGGTCGCATGAACGTCTATAATACGTTTAATGAAATATAAGAGCTCTAAAATGAATTATTAAATTATTCTATTAAAATGATTCATTAAAAATTAGCATTTACACGATCGGTAGCTGACTATTGCTCACCGGTACTACAAAGCGGTGGCTACAAAGTACCCACACAAATAAAGTGGATGCTCAACGCAACTCTGCTATGGGGATTATCACTGGAGCGGTTAAAATCTATTCCCACGGAATGGTTGCCTGCACTTAATAACTTAAGCCCACCCCATTTACATCGACGAAATTCACTAGTACGAGAGTGAACTAAATACTTTTCGAACATCTCGCTTCCAATACATAGCGATATAAATACTGGCCCTAACTGAAATCTAGAAAACCTATTTGAAAGCTCGCCCAAAAATTAATGGGTAACTGGGTAGCATTAAATAGACTTCGAACGGACGTATGGAAGTATAATTGGCCGTAAATTCGTATAATTGTAATTTGTGTGCATTTAGTACAATAATTATTAAACCAGCAATTATTATGATTGAGATTTCGAATGAAATGCGTTTTTAAAAATTATAATACGTTTATGTTCACGTTTAAGTAGTTATTTATTTAGTCGATTATTATCCCTAGTACTGTGTTCGCCCCAATAACTGTTTCGTTTTTGTTTTTATTTCATAGGAGGACAATACGTACACCTAAATGGAAAACATATTTTTAAGATATTTTTTTGTCGTTGTTAAAATTATCGGTTACAATGCATTAATAATATTGTTGTGAAAATCCCGGAAAAAAAATATAGAGAAATAAAGTTCAAGAGAGTGCAAGTGTTAAACTTTTAATTCTATATTCGGAATCGTTTTTTGAAACGCAAATACGATTAATCGCGTTGCTTTCACTGTGTTACGAAAAAATAAACTTAACCCTTGTACAGTTGTATCCGGCTGTAACTCACCTTCTTGTAGTATTTTCTTTCTTTTAACGTTAGTAACCCAAAAGTAAATTGTTTTTTATTCTTATCGGAGTTTTATTTGTATAATAAATATAATAGCCAATTGCACTTTATAACAATGGAAAGACTTAAGAAAAAAAAAATTATACACAATATACATAAATCTATAAGTACTTTATAAACGAATGTATAAAATACGATTTACCAGTTACCCATGCTACAGTGAAAAGTTAGAGATTGATAAAAAATATATTGACGAGCTATTTGGCATTTATAGCTGCAGATCAGTTATGACGGAGAAGTTGAGAGAAAAAAAAAATGAACTCTACTAAAAGTCGTTACTTAATAGATGGAAAACGAAAAAACACGATTACGTACGTTATACGAACACGTTTAGACCGTATTGCGACGCACAAAAAATTTGACGTTTATTCTACACGAGCAGCATATAATATTTAAAAAACATTTGGAAATCCGCATGCGGGGGTGAGGGGGGGAGTTATATTTAAAATACGTCCGCGTAAATCGATTTTGGTACGTCTTACACGTATATCTATTGACACGCGAAAACTGTTCGACTAGGACGTCTATAGGATTTTCTACGTGTTCAACGTCGCGCGCGGTACGTGCTTTATTATTTTTCACGCGCACACCATACGACGTTTCTGTCTATTTTTTAGGCGTACGATTTTTTTTTTTTATCTCCCACCGTACGTCACCAAACGCCATTACAAATGTTTACCTTCGCCTATTATTCGACCACGGATTTTTTTATTATTTTGCGCCGTTTTTTCGAACATCCGCCGTAAATGAAATTTCCGCGTCACTCGTTGTATAAATATATATATATATATAACTTTATAAGTATAAAATATAATAATATATAGGTATAGTGACGACGGTATTGGGCGATGTATATGTACATCACCGAAGGCGGTTATAATGGAACTCGGAGGCGAAAAAAAAAAGTGTAGAATAAATTCCGGGTAAAAAAAAAAATGCTAAAACACCAGGTAGGTATATATATATTATGTATGTACACAGCACTTTGCGTTTTATTAACCTTTTTTCTTTTTTTTTCTTCTATCTGTTACCTCGATATCGATTTTATTGTATAAAATGCTGCAGTATTTTACTATATATATATATATAAAATAATAATAATATACGTACCGCGTTTTCGGCCGGCCCATTTGCAGCAGTACGACGAATCAACAATTTTTTATTTTTTTTTTTAAATAATAAAACACGCGAGGGATTTTCAACAACCCGCTGTAATATGCGTTATATTATTATCATATAAAATCGTAACGAACAACGGAGATAAATCGAAATTGCAAAAGTATAAACGCGTTTGTTGAAAAAAAATTAATTTTTTTTTCTTAATAGATTTCACGCGAAAAACCCGCGAATTTTTAATATTGTTGTACGCGAGCGATGATGTAAATACTAATCGGAGCGTCGATTTTCAATCTTGCGCAATAATCTCCGGTTTTAACCGGTAGGGGTTTTTTTTTTTTTTAATTATTCACCGAAAAGCCCACGGAAAACAATGGAAACGGATAGATAGGTACAGATAGGTTTATGTATAGAAATATTTTAACGGATATTTAACGATAAAGTATTATTATGCTCGGAGGCCGTAAATTTCACTACCGATAAATAATTACCATAATATTAGTATATGTATTATAATACGAATCGACTAATAAAAAAACGTGCTATAAACCGGGAGTGCTATTTTTTAAAACGCGCAATTTACTCTACTAACTCTACCTACCTATTGGTATATTTTTAGACTTTGTGCAGGATTACAGTGCGGTAAATTTAATTCGATATTGTAATGTATGCGCTTTTTACGTTGATAGAATAATACGTTTAAAACTAAACCGGTTTGTTATTTTTGGTCCAGGGGCGTTAATAATAATAATACTTTAAACGTCGATTTAATACATTATAGATACGCCCGCAGTGGCGTAGGTTTTTTGTGGAAAAGTCGTGTCGAATGCGGTTAAATTTTTCAACAGAGAATATTTTAAACGTTTACACCCGAAAACCAGTCCCGTAAAGAAAACTTATCATTTTGTATTCGGGATACGTATTCGAACCAGTTTTTAAAAAATGTATTCAGAATATTCGCATATTTTGCTGATAATTTATATTAGTTTCAGTTATTTTTAAAGTTCTGTTTTACAGTTTTACAGTTTTACAGTTCTGAAATTAACGTTTAACGACTCGACATTTTATCGAAAAAACTTCGTATAACCTAACCTAAATACCTATAATCAAGTATTATATCATTAATAGGCCAATTCTTAAACTTCGATTACACACAAAAACTAAATGCTACGATATAATGATATCATGATTTATTACGTGACCGTAGACATCTATGATTTAAAATCATTATTGGTTTTGGAAGAAAGTATTTTTTAGCGAATATAAAATACAAAAAAAAAAATAGTATTTAGAATACAGACATTTTTCCCGAAAAGTATTAAACACACAGTATTCGAGTACAAAAAAAAAAAAAATATTATAAAATTTAATAATTTTATCTGTGGCCGGATGCAAGAAGGGCCGATGTCAACTTTTTGAAAAAATCGGTTAAAAACAAAAAGTGTACAGTTTCTTTTTATTTGTCGTGAAAATTGAAAATTGCACAAACATTGAAACAATGTATAAAATACACAGAGCCTAACGGGGAATTACAATTTCGAAGCCCATTTGCCGACAATCACAAAATGCGACGTTGCCCCCCCCCTCTTCTTGCACCCAGCCACAGATGTGTATTCGAACACTACCGAAAACGCGCGATACGCGTACAAGTACCTACTTGTACCTACCCAAACAACGTAATATTACAATTTATTATATAATATTGCGCAATAAATATATTATTAAAGCAATACCGCCGCCAACGATTCGGACGGACGTGTGTTGCTGTAAAGTCGCGGGAAAAATAAAACGATGATAACATTATAATACTGCAAGGGGTTTTATGACGTGACGGGGAATAATAATAAAGGTCGACTTTTAAAGTCCAGAGTATACGGTGTACCAACTCGTATATAATAATAACGACGACGGAAACCGTCGGGAGGAATACCGCGTAAAAAAATATACACATTTATTTTATCGTCGGAGTTGCTCAATTTACGCTTTTGTTTAGTGTCCATAAAATACCGTATTAAGGTATTACACATTTGCCGCTGTCTTTTCATTTTGCGGGTTTTATACAAGGCGACGTATAATTTATATACGTATTATATTGCATATCATATTATGTTTTAATGGTTTTCAAACACGAAGTTCTCAAAACAAACAAAAAAAATAAAAAACCTATACTTGAATACTTATACTTATGTATGTTATTATTAATACAATGCGATTACTACGTACATACTCGAATAATAAATAAATAAATGCGCAACGTGTACGCATGTTACGGGCTCGTAAGTTACGTTTCAATGCCGTACGCACGCGGGCGATATATTAAAACGATTAAAAATCGTCAAACGTTCAAAAGTCTCTCGTACGCCGGCTACGCAATTGTGAGTATCATCTCGTTAAATCCTCTCGCGTAAAATAAATCGCGGCCGTTATGCCGGGCGGTCACGGCAACAATCGGTATGGTCGACGTTTTCTCTTGACGAAACCAGTGGCGTAATAATATTATAGTTTTGCTCTAGTGGGGGAGTGGGAGGAATGGGTGATTTGTTAGGTGAACTTCGTGTGGGCAATTCAATAGCGGACTTGTTCAACAATAATAATAATATAATGGGTACAACGCCATTTTCAAGAGCAATCGATTTTTAAATTACATTGCGCTGGTGGAACGTGCGACAGATCATTGAAAGAAATCTGAAATAGACAATATATCGGACCTGCAGTTTTTAGAAAACTTATTTCAAGTGCCACGGCGTATTCGTTAATATTGGAAGTCGATCCAACTGTTGAATTTTAATGCTATCTTTTTATTTCTTTACCTACAGCACTATCATTTTAAACAATTTTCGCCCGGCATTTTTTTTTTTCTGCAAAAAATATTATTTGAAATCTGTAATGTTTTATGACCGGCTCCTCTCTCTCCCCGTCTGATTTTGCTGGCACGATCCTGATTGAAGCGTATATACTTATACTTGTAAAGCTATATATAATCGTATAAAGAAAAAAAAAAAATTATATATTGAAAAGTCGCGAGCTCGAAACGGTTTTATAAAATAAAATTTACTATTTTTTTATGGTATTATTTTCATATACCGCACCAAATAAAAAATATGCGTACCTATAATACTATACATTATATATTGTATAATATTTTGATTTCTCTTTGAACATTTTTAGAGGTCAGTGTCGCTTAATATAATAATATACGACATACTGTATATTATGTACTTCTTCGGTGCGGGGCAAAGAACCTGCAGTACTCGGCGAGATTGAATTTCAGAGCTCTTTTGTCAATAATAAAAAAAAAAAAAAAAATAAAAAATAAAAATATATATAATACAAAAAAGTAATAGCCGAATAAAGAATAATAATATGTAAGTATATATCTTATGTATGCTATTCTTAATATATAATATCTATATGTCAAATTTGCCCGTTTTTTTTTTTTTTTACACATTTCAAACATAAACGCAATAGAAAATATTAATATAGGCATTATTGTGTATTTGACGGCGGCACATATATTATTTTATTTTACGATGTTAAACCGTCACTGCGAATTCGAAGAGAAGAATAAATTCGATGGTCAAAAAACAGGAAAATAAATAATAATACAGTTTATCCATTTATTTGTATTTATTATAATATTATATCAATAGGTTAATATTATCCACGTTTCGTTTCATACGTGTATAGATATGTATAAACTGTACATAGGATATTAATCGACATACGCGACGTGTACGGCTTAAAATACTATAGTGGACCAATGACCGTAAAAAAAAAAAAAAAGTGATGTAGTACAACAATTATTTACTCGGTTATACTATGCAGACATTATTCGAAGTGTTTTGAACAAACCTATAACCTACAAAAATAATATAATATTAGGTCCCGAGATAGAAGGGTTCGAGTTGATTTTTTTTATAGTTTTAAATACCTGTATAAGCAAATTTAATTTTGAAAATATAACATTAGCTTGTTTATAAACTGACACATTACGCGCACTTGTGAAATTTAGACCAAAGATACGTTTATATAATGTTATAGGCTACGTTTTTTCACAATTACTAATAAGACTACGAGGAGTATAGGAAAATGACCTCAATGCATCCAATTAGACGAAAATTCGTTTTCAGAAAAAATACTTTTTCAGGCGTATATAATTATTACTTGAAGATCGGAGTGAGAATTCCGGTAGTAAAGTTTTTTATAGACAGTGAAAAAAAAAAAGCGCACAGTATAGTAAAACCAATACATTTCTCGCCGAGATCAGAATCTCATATGAAGAAAAAACCGGAGCGATATTATTATTTTTTTATTTCGTTTGTAATATAGGTACCTATACGTATTATATATTTCTCACGTTGTTCGGTTTTTTATTTCTCGATTTTCCAGAGTTCTGTCTATTGTGTTGTGCGTGCAGGATTCGACAATTCCAATACGATTTCAAATTAAATCGGGAATTGCAAAATCTCAAAGATATATCCTATATAGTACATAAATATATATATACGTACATATTATATTATAGATGTTTTAATCTGCCGCAACGGACGGAGAACGGTGAATACGGCAAATTACAAAAATCGTGCAACGCCAGACAATATCACGTGACAGTTTTTTCAGTTACCGTACGCACGAAATGAAAGTCGTCCGAAAAGTTATGCGCGCAACTTTGAATTTTTCAGGGGCGGCGAGACACAAATAATTATCTCGGGGACTGTTTTTCATGCACACACAGACAAACTCTTGGGGCCATCACGTTTACACTATATTTATCAGAAAATCGCCAAAAGTTTCGGATGTAACACGGCAATATATTATAATAAAAAACTCCGATACTCGTGATACAATAATGTACATGTTTTACATAGATACGAACTTTATGGAAACGAGAACAACGTATTCATATTTTGGAATATAAAAAAAAAAAAAAAAAATATATTCCTTTAATATTTTAAAATGTTTACCAACTTGGTAAAACTTAAACAAAACTTAGTAAATGCTGGCAATGACGTATTTTTTTTTCAAAACTCATATCAAATAATAATAATAATCAAATTATTGTTATTGATATTCGAATAAGCCGGTAGAGTTTTTTCGTTTAAAATACAACATTTAATATAACTCATTATGCACGTTTACAATGGGGTTTAGGGGTTCAGCCACCCTCACCGCTTTTTGTACTCATTGCCTATATACCTATTTACTAGTTCTATAGTTCAGAATGATTAATTTTTTCTGCACGCGTGTCTGTTTATCATTATTATGACCAATTGTAGCTACTGGAGTCTGATTTCAAATAAAAAAAAAACTATATTATGCGGGTAGACAATATTTCGATTTACTATTGTACCGACTGCATTATGCTACTAAAAAAAAATGTTTATCGTTTATTATTATTATTATTATTATTATTATTTTTATCTCAAAACAATATTTTTAAACGTATTTAGTTAAATACAATAAAAATAAATTATCATTGGAGAAAGAGGAGTTTTGACTTCTTGTCACACACACCCATCAATTACCGTCTAGTCACGGACCTGTTTTAAACTTAAACGTGATAGTCATTTGGATATTATATTCGTATTTCCTTTAATTTTTACTGTTATATAAACATAGACACTTAATTTTATGGTTGGTTTTCTTCTTTTCCTCTATCCCAACTATTTGAGGTCAGCCGCCCTCGTCCTAAACTTCCACTAGATCCGAATATTCGATTTCCCATTTAGCGTACAACGGTTCACAGCTGTCTTAACATCGTTCTTAATCGCAGTCAACTATCTCTCATTTTTCGGTATTCCTCTTTCCCTCCGACATTTATTTTTCGTTTATTTAGTTTTCGCCTCAATTAACCACTCCCTTTTACGAGGTACTCGTAGTGTAAGTAAAAAAAAAACAAAAACAAAATGGACTTATAGGGAGTTTATTTTTGAAAATGTCGATAAATAGTTCCAAATAAAGTACCACCAGTAAAAAAATCCGCGTTTTTCCAACCGAGAGTGTTTTCCGAGAGAAAAAAAAAACGAATGACTTCTAATCGCTACATTCAGTATCTAAAAAAAAAAAAAAAAAAAATCGAAGTAGAGACGAAAAGTTGTGACCACCTATGCATTGCGGCCCGGGCATACAGGGGTCCCTCTAGTCCATTCCATTTAATCCAGCCCCGCTCTCTTAGTATAACTCGGTTCACCGATACAATACCTCTGCAAATATTAATATAATAGTTGTCGGTTCAGTTTATCCAGCCGTTTGTAAATCGAATACTGTTATTTTTGATTCCGGTCGGACAATAATAATATTCTAACAATAAAAGTACGCAGTCATTGGAATATTTGAAATTTCGATAAAAAAAAAAAAAAATTATTTTACTATATGCGTCTACTATAATAATAATAATAATAATAATAATATTTTTATTATTATTATTATAATAATATCCATTGTTGAATTTGCAGTAGAACAAAAACGGAACACCCACGTTGCGCGATTATCGTCGAATATCGGTTTCGCGCCGTATAATACTATTTCGACAGTATTAAAAAATAAATAAATAATCACAAAAAAAAAAAAAGCAAACGAAATAAAACCTATGTACAATCCATATTATTTTTTTAATTTTAATTTTACGCGTACAATATGACGTAGTCGCATTGTTTCCGAGGGTACAATCGAATACGTTACACGTAATTTCGATTATTATCGAATTAAATGATAATTATTATTGTTGTTTTTTCTCCCGACTATCCATAAAACTCTCCGCGGCGACGGTAACAATAATGGCACCGCGGCGACCGTAAAATAAAAAAAATAAAAGAAAAAAAAAAACCACATTAATAATCGTATTATATAAAACAAGTCCGAATATTACTGTTGTTGTTACCGTCGTCGACCGCGTCGGGGGGGGGAGGGGGGTACCTGTATCGTCGTCGACGGATCGTCTTGAAACGGACGCGGGTAACACACGGATAATTTTATTGTAGAAAAAAAAAAAGAAACAATAACAACAACAACAACAACGACAATATAACCCGACGACTTAACCTGACCTAACGCATTCCTGTTCGCAAGTTCAACAACTCGATAATGATCCGACGGCGGCGGCGCAAAGAAGTCCACGCGAAGAAGTATGCGTCGCGTTGTGTATGATATGAAAGACCGCCGCGGCGAACCAGTTCAGCCTCGGGCGGTTCGCGGCTACCGATCTTTCGCCGCGCCACAATACGATAATCATTTTTTTTTTTTTTTTTTTTTTATTCGGTATTTTTCCCCTACCTGTCTAATAATTAACGGCTATATTTATAACACGATGCACGAAAAAAATGTATTTTTTACACAGCACAACCTTGTCGTTATTTATTTTATTATTTCGCTTATTTGGATCATAATAATAATAATAATAATGATACCGTCAAACTATTAAATTCTACCGTTTTTTTATTTTTATTATTATTATTATTATTTCGACGACCGCTATACGATAATAATACATATAGACGACAGTCTGCACTCTGTAGAGACGACCGCACACTTCGATTTGAGAAGAAAATAAAAAACGTACGATTCAAGGGCAAATAAAAAAAAAAAAATAAAAAAAAATATATATAATAATATTATGAAACCGGTCGATTATGATATTGTTAATATATTATGCAGTTTTGACGACAAAGAGCATAATAATATATAATCTATATATACATACATAAAAGCCAAACACCACTCCTCTCACTGATCGCTCTATCTCGAAAACTACACAACCTACCTAATTTGGAATTGTGGTTCTTTTAATATTCTAAATGTGCAATAAGAAAGGATTTCAAAACACATTGCGTTCAAGTGGATCAATTAAAAATAATAATTGCTAATAAGTAATTCATCGCCAATACGTATTGACAATAGAGTTACTAATTTTTAAAATAATCGGCAAATACGCACATAAAAGTATACGAATGTATTATTTATGTATTTGTATGGATTACCATAGTAACACGCAGGGTCGGCGTTAGGGCAGGGCAAGTGGGGCTTACGTCCAGGGGCTCGATAAACCGATACAAATGGGTAGCATAATTATAATGGGCGTAAACGTGGACAAATAATTTTTTTTTTAGAAATGTAACGGATATGTTTTTAGGAAAAACACGTATACGCGCGTCGTCTCATTAAACAGTATTTCCGGCCGTGGCCAAGTGCTGGGTATTATTACGATTATTGGGCGAAAGGAGTGGTACGCTGAAAAAGTCTCACGAAAATAAATTTTATCCGGGCTTCGGAAATCGGATCGCCGGCCCTGGTAACACGGATGAAATAAAAACAAATTGAAAGTTCGGTGACACGGACGACAGAAAATAAGAAAGAAATAAACAGCATTATAAAACCAATAGTTCCCCCCGCTGCGTTCGGAATCTAAAACCGAGTGAAGTATAAAATTTTACAGAAGTATTTTACGTTACAAAACTGTCCACGGGCAAAAGCGGGCAGTACAGCTCTAGTATTACAATAAAATAACAACACGAAAAATACAACATGTTTTACCGGGACGTATCGTATTGTTACAACATGTTATTGCCGTTGAAGCACAGCCGAATATCATAGCGAAATGGACGGTCTTTTGCAATTATTCGAAAACACAAAGTTCTTTTATACACCACCCAACAGTATGTTTTAAATATTTAGTGGCGCGGCGAGAAAAAAACGTAAATATTACGTCGTAGAGTGCACCGTTAAAAACTAAAGTATTTTTTTTTTCCAACACAATTCAATTACTTAATATACAGACAGATTCTATTGTTATTGCTATAATACCGTAGTCCCTCTGCGGATCCGCAGTGCTTTTAGTCCCCCCTCCATTTGATCGGTTCCTCGGTGTGTCATCGTCATTGCCGAAAACTTGTCGATAATAATACACGAGAAACCGACTGTATCCCGTAATGATAATGTGATCTGGCCAACGTTGAACGGTTACAGCAGTACCGTCAAATGTGCATTTTCTTTATAGATGCTATTTTGTTTGAATCCCCCCTGGACTTCAAAATTTCAAACATTATTTTATTTTAAGTAGTTTTTGGTGTTTTTGATTTTATTATGCGACTTTACTGGTCTTAGTAAGAGGGTAGATTAAAAAAAAAAAGATCATTACCATAAGTAATTTAAGTAATGCCCCCGCCCCTCTATGATAAACGGCCACTAGTATTATTTAAACAAATACATATATATATATATATTTGAACAAAGTTACTATAGTAGTTTCCACTATGTGATAATAATACGAATAAGTCACCATCAGGCAACGAAAAACTATCAAAATATCATAGTACAAAGTTAATGGTTAAATGTCTACATGAAGAATATACCGTGGCAAAAACTGTGGTTCCGGGAGTCCCGGACCCTCCCCCCCCCCTTTTATCCGGACTTGCTCAATATCGAACGCGTAACTCGGCGCTTCGGGGCAAACGTCCCCGTTGCCTCTCTCCCCCCCCCCTTAACACAGCCCTGTCCACGTGTATGATATTTTGATAATAATTTGGTCGCGGGGGCGAATGGACCCGTGTTCGCGGTTACGCACTTTACCATCACGGTCTGTACGACCGCGAGGTGTAATATTATTATTGTATTCACGTTCGACGACTTTGGCCGGTGGTAATGACACAGCTCCGTGTAACCGTATACCCGGTATACACGCGAGCGTGTTTACTTATATTATACATGCGCAATGGTAATATTTCATACATACATAGGTATTCGGATCATCGGTACCGAGACACTGAACGGAACGCGTTTATTAAATGCCATTACCGCCCGCGAACGTGTAGAAAAAGCGCACGCCGTTATCGCCGTCGGACGTGTCCAACATAATGGCGGGTACGCGTAAATAATTTCTGTTAGATTCTGAGCGGAGCGAGTCGCGATGTGTTTTTTTTTATTTTTGCGTCTAAGAACGACTGTTCCAGCAGAAAATCAATATCTCGATTCTGGATAGGAACATTGTCGTAGCGCTTTCGGTCTAGTCGGCCGGGCGTCGAAGAAGTCGTTTTTTCTCGCGGTTTTCTTCATAAATGGGAGAATAGTTGAACATTTTATTTTGTATAATTTATCACGGGCAGAAGATTATTGGAAAATACTTGTCTGCTTATATCGTTGAGGGGATCGTTAAATTGTAAAAAATGTTTAAAACAATCACCGATTCTTCACTTCGGTAACATAACATATTCGTATACCGTATAATACGAGTACACGATACAAAGCTGGATAGTAACTAGTGACAAAGTTACCAAAATGTTACGTACTTTTAGTTTTCTTATAACTTGTAACTGAACAACTTAGTTTTTGTGCGTGTACGAGAGTAACCCAAGGAGTTATTTTCTATTGAATCGAAAAAGTTACTAGTTAGTTTTCATCATTTTGTCACCGATATTTTGCAATTCAGAATTTTTTTCCCGAGGTTATCGATATGTATCTATCGTGATGAACAAAAACAAATGCAACGTGATAGTATTTTGATAACCTTCTGTTACCACGAAAAATCCGTTCCTAGCATCAATTCATGAAGATTATCTTACTTGCGAAAAAAATAATTGAAAAATAAAGGCCAATTAAAACAAATTCAAAAAGTAGCTTATTGTAACTTGTAAATTGTTAACGAGTATCAATAGTAACTTAACGAGTTACTTCGTTTTATTTAGGAACCTGTAATTTAACTAAGTTCCTTGATGAAGGGAAATAACTGTAACTCTACTCGGTCACTAAAGTCGAATAACTTTGGTACACAATAGTTTTAAAATTAATTTTTTTACCGACGACCGCGCCGTTCTATACCAATTATGCCTACCTACCTAATCTTTGAAGGCGTACACGTTTTTGAAAACAGTTTTATGTTTGAATAATATAATATTATTATAACGCGCGATCTCATCAATAATAATATTGTTAGGTACGCTTTAAGAACACCGCGAGTATATAACGTTGTTCGATTTATCTTCCGATTTGTACGCGCGGCGACGATGCCGTGTCGTCGTTTGCAGGTTTCGCCGATGAGTGGGCGCGATGACATTTGCGCGATATCTCTCGATTAGATCTGTATGTCCATGTACGTAAGGTGAACCGACGAAAAACGATTTTGTGAACAATCGTTGCCGCGGCAAATTCTATATGGAAACGACAGCCGTAATATTATTACGCGTATAATATTATACATATACTATTTATATTTTTTATCGATACAAATCGCAATTATATTATCAGCGTCTGTATAGGTAATCGAAACGGGATAACAATATAATATAATAATAGTACGGTTCCTCCGACGGATATTTTACATCTCGATTTCGGTATGACGAGCAATAATCGTAAAAAAGAAAAATCCAATTAACAATTTTATTAGCTATTATAATACAATCGTATTGTTATTGTTATCATAACGTTCGGACCGCAGCCGCAAAACGATTTTGATAAATAATAAAACTTCGACGGGGCCGTGCAATTTTTCGATCGACTATAATATCGTGGGTACCTACACCACCTACGAGTATACTGTAGTAATAGGTAATGCGGTAAAGATATTATAAATATAGGATTGGAATATCGCATTAAAAATAAATTAGAGGAGAAAAATACAAGTACGTCGTTATAAATCAAACCGTAACGAAAAAAAAAAAAAAAATATAGATGTACGTAACTTATTATTATTATTATTGGACTGCGAGTAAAATATGACGTATACGGGGTGATTCATTTAATGATTCGACAAACGCAATAATAACTGTACATTTTTTTTAAATGTACAGAATTACTAGAATATTGTTGTTATTACGTAATAATAGTTTTTAGTAACTTAATGGTACCGGCTGACATTGAAGTATTACTTCACATTTACACTATATAACTTCAAAGAGAGCTGAATTCAGCGTTGAATCCAGACAATTTTTCTGGATTTGGGGGACATTTGTATTATTAATACAAATCGATTGTGAGCAGCGTATCATTAGGTTTATTTCGTATTTCGTTCCTTGTTGCAGTCAATAGCTGGTAACCGAGAAAACGACAAAAATTATACGAAAAACGGCCAATTTTTGAAATTAATTGAAAAAACCATTAGGAAAATCAAAAAATGACCACATACCGCGATGCACCGACCAGATCGAAAATGCTACAAGAAGGTTCCTATTATAGTTTTCGATTGGAGTAGGTTATCCGGTAGTAAGTCGTTTACAGACTCCTACAGAAAAACATATAAAGTAGTAACTCGATAATTCGAAAAACTCCATAAATTGAATTATAAGCTTAGTTCCTTGAGAAAACCTCTATGATTAGGTCCCCTCGATAATTTAAAATGTCTGTCGGAGGGACACACTCTACAATTCGAATTTTTTTTTCCAGAACCTCTATAATTCGAATTTTCTTAAATGCGACTATATTAATTTATAAAGATTATATCGGCGTTTTATTATTTGTTATTATTTATTTAATTACGTTTATTATTTGACGTGCTCGTAATGAAACTAATAACGACGGCGATTAAATATTATCGTATTTAATGGACGAAAAAAAAAGCGATACAATTTTCATTGCTATTAATCAGTTAGATAACGCTATGGACCAGATTGGGGCCAACAATTTATCGCAAAAAAAAAAAAAACAGATTTTTTTGAGATGTAAAATATAATATTTTAATTTAATTTTGTACCTATATAATAAATAAATATCTAAATAAATGTGATACATAAAATTGTTGACCTCTCTTTAAACCGAATTATTTTTTCCTCGATTATTCGAACGCTCGGTAAATCGAATTTTCAGCTCGGTCCCCTGAATTTCGAATTATCGAGTGTCTATTGTACATTGTCATAGTAACACTCAAATACATTCATGTCTCGTTTCGCTCGGAATCTATAAAAAATACCTTAACCGATTATCGAACCGACCTAAAACCGTTGCGTATGTTTTACCAGTCGTGTATTTTCATCGCCCTGTATAATATTTTTAATACGTACTCGTCGCGGTGTATTTTTCCGCCGCGATATTTTATTCACCGAATACGGAATTTACAGCGAAACGTACTCGCGTTCGCTGCGGACGAATTATAATATACGAGCACATTGCACGGGTGGGCGGAGGGGGGGGGCTAAGGGCTACACGGGTAAAAAGGCCGTCCCCGGGGACCTGTTATGTATAAATATATGTAACCTAGGATTTTGTTTATAAATTGTATACGAAATAAAAATCGAGGGGGGGAGGGAAGGGAAAAAAACAAACTCAATTTAAAATATCATAATATCATATATTGTTTTAATTCGATATGCGTGTTTACCTAATATTTATTCAGTCGATGGGATTTTATTTTTTAAATCACACGATATATTATTATGACTGCGAAACGACCCGGGTAGGAAACGGTTTTATTATTTTATTAACTATCCGTTAAATAATATCAGGTTTAGTGCGGTGTATTATTATACTTCTCTACTACGAGTTAAATTTGTCATTCTATATTATAATATTATTATGAATTGTATTCTATATTTCTATATAATTCGTTTCGCTGAACGATTTTTCACATACAATATTATAAATCGTAAAAATAGTAAAAAAAGACAGAGATACTCCGCACGTCGGTTGGGCCACTGTTGTGGGCGAGACGTTGGTAAGGTATAGGGATATACGGGAGAATTTAATATTTATTTTGAACGCAACGGTAAGCCGTCGCTAACGAAAAACGATTCGAAGCTATGTTCGCGGCTACATATGTTTTGAAAGTCCGTAAAATTTAGGATTTTTGTCAAAATTTAATACTTATTAAAATTCTTATAAAAACGGTTAGGTTATGGTCATACAAACGGTTTCTACATACCTTTAGTATAATTTATTTTCAAAGGATAAATTTAAAAACACACACATCGACGTATGGAAGTATTTAGTAAGTATATGCGAACAGCAATCACTAGTTTTAAAAGTTGAAATCCTATATCTTGATTTTGAAATTGGTGCAGTTGAAGCAGTGATAGAAGTTTTCCCGGCTACCCAAATTAAACACTGCTGTTTTAATCTGGGACAACCTTGGTGGCGAAAAGTAAGTTGAGTCAAATAAAAATTCTTTTAAAAACTAATTTTCAACTTAATGGCCATATAAATACAAAATTAAGAATAGCACACGCCAATAAAAATAACGTTCTACATAAATCGCTTACATAATATTTCGGACTTCCTTTCATCGCTCCTGATCGCGTTGAGAATGCTTTTATAAAACTTAACTATAAGTTCGTGGTCAGATATAAACGACGAAAAATTATTTTCAGACTTTGTTTTAGAGATATACATTGAACTTGGTTGCTTATTTCCACCTATTTTATAGGCAGAGCCGCCAATCCTCAAATCCTCAAGATCCTCAAATCCTAGGTAAACATTTACTAATGAAAATGTTATAAATAAGGAAAAAAAACATTTTTACTGGTACGTCATACATTTTTAGAACTACCAACGGTGCCGAAAGACTCCATCGTACATATAACGCACAGCTTTACAGTGTTCATTCACCGACATTTATCGTCATGAATATCCTAATAGAAACTCATACAGAAACAGTAATCAAATTATTAACCATTCTCAAAGGAATAAATAAGTCGATATCAAAAGAAGAAAATTTAATTTATCAATAAGCAACACGAGGAGTATGTAAAAAATAAATCCTCGGACAATTTACTTAAGTATTTAACCATAATTGGAAATAAGTATCAGGGCTTTACAATTTAATTCAACTTAATTTTATTACAATTATAATATATATACATTATTATTTAAAATTAAAATTGAAATTTTTAAATTACTTGTTTTTGTACTTGGTTCAAATGTATGTAACGATATTGACAACCTCGCTTCCAATATCGAGCGCAATCGTACTTCATCCTCCCCAAAAATACTTCATTAAACTCATTTCTTATAAGTCACAAGACTTACAATAAAGCCCCTTAATAAATTTCCTTCCTGTATAGTCTAACAATTTTGTCTACCTAGGATCAATACCTAACACAAATTACTTGCATAAAAAAAAATTTGCAAAATTAAAATGTCTATAAATAGTTAAAAATTGCACAAATATTTTGTAAATTTTGTATTTAAATAATAAGACGAATATAAATTTATGGTGAAAAAGTTGAACACAGATAAAAAATCCGTAAAAACGGCAAATATTCAAATACCAGCAGTTGTTTACTTTGATAGCGATGAGTACGGAATTTACGTTGATTAAAATAAAAAAAACGTAAATACATTATGGTACCTGGTTTCTGCATTACTCAGACGTGGCTTCAATTTTGCCGTACAATTTGGTTTTATAATATCTCCGGAAATAATTTGAATACAAACGACCGGATTTCGTGCATATTTGTACTACACAAACGAACTGCCAAACAGAATTTGAAAATTCCAAATCGGAGTGGGAGCTGTATAAATGGACCCCATTGTAAAACTAATATAGTCCTTGCTTTGCTTCGAATCTAAAACGAGTGCCTATAGTAAATTACTTGTACGTCATATCCCAAAAATCTCCGCGAGTTTTTCTCTATCTATTTTACACCGACTTTAGTCTGTTTCCTAGAGTAAATTAAGCCTCCTTTTTTTTCTCTCGCAAATCTCTGCACGGTTTCAAAAAGGCGATAACTGTATAATAGGTTTCTGAGTAAATCGCGGAAATCGAAATCTCTACCTACCCAATAGATGGAAAAAAATACGCTACAGAGAATTCGGTACGATCGAACTCTATTTATTTCAAAAAATCTTAATTTCGGGTTATTTTCGTTCACAGTTCGTTTACGTTCTGCGTTGAAAAAACACGAAACGGCTACGTAACGAATTTTTCCCGTTCAATAATAATAATAATAAATAAAGCGTGTCTATGAAATTTGCAAACTTCAAACCCGTCCGCGGCGAAAACTCTCCGGGCCTTTTCCCGGACCCCGCGATATCAGCAGCAGCAGCACAAGTCCCGAAAAAGCGAACGCGACCGCGGCGTCGCCGTCGTCGTTGTCGACGGCGTTAACGTGCCAATAAATCAGCGGCAAAGTTTCGCGCGGTTGCAGCGAACTAAACTCCTCTGGACGAGTATAAATATTCATTTTTCCCCGGGGAACCGTATAGCGTTGGTCGTTCGGATAAACGTTTTGTATAAGCGCGTGAGTGCCCGCCATTATATACGCGTGCTTAATGTATACACCGTGCACAGGGTGATTTCGTTTCGGTTTACACGCGATCTGTCCGGGAGATTTCGGGTAAAATTGGTTTTTCGCTATTTTTTTGGTCCTACGTAAAAAATCTCGAACGGCAATGCCTTAAATAAATAATTCCGTCAAAATCTCGAACAGCAAACATTTAATCGATACAATTTTGAAAAAATTATAATTAATATTAAGTAAAAAAAATTGATTTGACCGGTTTTTCAGATTCAAGATTTTGACGGTCTCCCTTTTTTTTCAATCGTTGACGGTCGCAAAGACCAGTCGTAACTATCATAAAACTAATGTACTAATGTACAAATACTAAACTCGAAAAAATACTGTAATCTTCTCAGTTTCTATCAAATTTTTTACAAAAAGGCGCTTTAACAAAAAAAAAATCTCTGAAAAAAGCATTTACAAACATTAAAAACAGCAAAAATTATAGAGAATAGTCCCCACAACAATGGCTCTTATTTAATGTAATTTCCTATCATTACAAAATTGATTCATACAAAATAATTTCTTTTAAATAAAATCGTATGCATTATAAAAAAAAAATTACTTTTTATTTATTATTTTTGTGTTTTTATACATTTTTTAAGTGATTTTTTTTTTTTTTTTAAAGGCTTTTTGACGTTTTCAAGTTTTTCTTTGTGGATTTTAAGAACATATAAATCTGGTCTCTAGTTATAACTAATTTATGGAAAGTAATTTTTGCACTTAAAATCGTATTATTTGTTATATTATAGCCTTGGATAGTTATTATATTAACGAAATTATTTAGTTTTTGTTTCTCTTAAACGATTTAATTTATTTTTTTGGGAGGGAGGGAGAGGTTAGGTTAAGTTAGGTAAGGCCGGCACTTGGCTTTTCCGCTATATTTTAAACGATTGTGTAACAAATGATTAGGGTAAAAAACGAAAACTAATTTCACTCGAATCCTTCGTGTTATAGACATTCGCCGAATCGTGGTATAAAATAGTCACCCTGTATAACGTTTGCACCTCGGAGACGAAGCGTTTAGCGCCTTAAACTAACGACCGCGAGTACCTATACGAAGTTAACAATAAACGTGGGCAGGCTTCGTCTCTTCGGCGCATTAATTAAACGAATATTTCGCGAGACCGGCCGTATTCACCGACGAGAATATTATTACTATTATAGTACACGTAATATGTACGACGTCGACGTTCAAAGGGATTTTTATTATTATTAATATTTTTTTATGTCGTGTCTTTAGTTTTAAACTCGGCCAATGACGCGATAGGATAGCGACCGCGGACGAGAATCGCTTTTCATACCGTATAGTAGTTGACGCAAAAGAAAATCGCGTACCTACATAAAATAATAATAAAATAATAATGTGTGGAGCACAATACGTAGAGGTTCTTTTTTTTAATTCGAACGATTGGTTTATAACGAATTCGTCCACAACAAATACGTTCTCTATATTTTTTCGTTGTCTGTCGCGGTTGGCATATACTTGAGCACTTTTCAAGAAGTGACTACATTATTAATTGGACTGTTTTTGGTCGTCCTCTCTTGACCGTGATCCCTCCCGTCATTACACCGATTATTAAGCTGACTGCGTAATTCGTCACGAAGTCTCAGCGCGTGTCCTATCGTCTGTCATCGCTTTTTCCTCATTGAACGTTCGTTTCGCTTATGTCGTCTTTAAGACGACGTCATGGTTTTTTCTTTTTTCAGTCCAATTTGTTCTCTTTCTCAAACACTATATTCATAAAGCCTCCTCCTGCATATTCTTCTAAGTTTCGTTTATTGTAGGACAGGAAATTATTATTCTGTGATATGCATAGTACACATAGTTCTCTTGACATTTTGAAAGTAATTTTAATAATGTATAAATATGTTCCTATTTCATTAACGATTGTCTATAAGTAAAATACAAATGTATTTTTTTGAAAATATTCTAAAGTTCACAACAGCCCAACATTAGCCCATATTGTGTTTTCCATATACATAATATACATTTATAATTTACCTTTTCGAATAAAGTTTATTTTTCTAGACATTTTATTATGCATAACACTAATATCGGATTTACCGTTTATGTGATTTATAACAGTTTTATTGTTTAATAAAAGTCATAATTGTTTAATAATTAATTTCTCCACGGTGATCACATTTTTTAGCCCTATAATTGAATAGTGGCTATGCTTTTAGGGTAATTTTAAATTCATTGCTACGTAGTTAATTAGTTACTAGTTATTTAGGCAGGTAAAATAATGGTGGCTAATTTATAGTTTAGCCTTATTCTGTAGGTTAAGTTTCTTTGAAACTTATTCTGCCAATATAGGATGCCCACCTATGCTTTATTGGCAATATTAATCATCTACAAACACATATTATAATAGGTAATCAAGTAATCTGGTAATCCGAGTTCGGTGAAGATTTGTTTTCCATTGATAAATGTCGTTCTATTTTGTATATTTTACGAAGTGAAAGTTGATTCCAAAAGACGATCTAGTATTACACAGCGCATAAAAACAGAGAGAGGTACTATTAAATAGTAAACTTAATAGCTTAGGAACGTAAACTTAATCAAAAAACAAAACAGTCAACAACTATTAACAAATCTAACGTTGAAAAAAATCGACTTTCAATATGGATTTGTGCAGAGCTTTGATATCGGCTAATATACCGCTGAACATTTTACATAATACAGGGTTTCGTCAATTCTTACAATTTCATACTCAAAAATAAGTCCTCGCTGAATCGACACTTAAATAGTTCTATCTTGATGATTGTTACGAGGAAATGATGAAAAACATCGTGTGATTTTGAAAAAAAAATTGGGTATCCATCGATGAAACAACTGATACTGAGGGAAGACAAATTGCAAATGCCATAATAGGAACTCTAGAAGAAGATAGTGCAAGGGATATGTTTTTATTAAATACCGACGCATTAGAGAAAACAAACCACTCTACCGTATGCAAATTTTTTGACAAATCGCTCAGTATTTTGTGGCCTGACGGAATCAAACACGATGACGTGTTATTATTTATATAGGATGCGGCGCCCTATATAGTTAAATATGGGAAATCATTAAATGCATTGTACTCAAAAATGATTTACGTGACATGCGCTGCGCATGGTCTCTATAGGACTTCTGAAGAGGTACGTGGACAATTTGACACTATCGATAAAATTATATTGAATGTTAAAAAATTTTTTAAAAAATCGCCGTCGCGTGTTCAGATATTCAATACACATGACCCGAATATACCCTTACCACCAGAGACAGTTACCACACGCTGAGACACGTGGCTAAATCCTAGCATTTATTACTGCGAATATTACAAACAAATCTGTGAAATTGTGGAAATGTAAGACTCAGAAGACGCTTTAAGTATAAAAATTTAAAAAAAAATTTACTTTGTTATATATTTACTGTAGTATTAAAAATGCGACAAAAAAGTTCTTACACAATTTTCGATGCGCACGAAAAAATCGACATACTATAGCCGAATTAAAAAATACTCGAAGAAACGTTTTCCGTTATCATAACGCGAAATATGGGAATAATATTGTATTATCCAGGAAAATAGGAATCGTTCAAACACGTCGTACTAGTCGGAAAGAAATCGCAATACATAATAATCATCCTGCAAAATCACATTTCAGACACACGCAATCATCGTATCGCATCGTATAACGTCGTTCAACATTCGTTTGAAGTTTATGATTTTTTTTTTTTTTTTTTCAGATCTTTAGCCAAACGAGGAATGTATCGATTTTACTATGATGTGCACTGTTTTTCTGTTTGCGAACAACTGTTCGACCTCGTTGTTTTAATCATTGACATCGGTTTATGATATTTTTCGTCTTTATGTCCCTGCCCACAGGGAACGGAGTGATGGAAATTAAAAATCATAAAACGCGTATTGCGCCCCCACATTTTCCAATTTCTGTTTCGCGTTTATACGAAATATTATCGAATTTATAGATCCCGTCTATCAAATCCGTTAAAATAATTTTTCTCCGTCATTTTTGTTCGCGGATATTATAATATCGCAGGTAGTAGGTACAATATATCTCATGACGGTGTTGACTTTGTACAGACTATATACACCGCGGACGAGTACCTTCCGCGGTGTTGTTTTTCGGATTAGACGATTATAATACTATATTATATCATAACGTTCTCAAAATGTTTACCGCGCGAAAATATTGTTTTGCGCCCGTCCCGAGCATTGTGTGTGTACCCTTGTACACACAATTATTATTATATATTATTTTAATGTACCCGCAAGACGCGCGAGAATCGATATGCAAACGGCGAAACGATATAATATAACGTGTACACAGCATATTATTATAGTATTATAGTTTCTTGTATTTTATTCGCTATCGGTTTTCCTCGTCGTTTTACTGCGATATTGATTTCCGGAATAAACGGTATGTTACCTATCCGTACTCACCTAGTTAGCGGAAATAGTGGAGTAATTGCGGAGGGGTGGGGAGGGCCGGCAAATGTATCACTTTGCTCCCCCACCCCTTGATAATCCAACTGTACAAATCTTTAAATCTTCTAAAGTAAAGGAAGGATGCAATATTATGTTCACCGAGTATAAAATATGTGTAGATAATATTTAATATACTAGTTACGTTTGGATATGGACTTGTTGAAAATACCCGTGACAAGGCCGTATTTAAGTGAAAACTTCGTAGGCTACAATGATAGTCCTACAATGGCTTCCTCATAGTGTACCTTGGGCAACGTTTCTAACGGCTAAAAATCTACCAGCAATCAAATCTTTACACACCCAGACAATCACAATATTAAAACAAAAACAGAAAAAAATACTAAAAAATGAATGTGCGCGAACAATAGCGGAAAAACTGATTATTGTCAGCAAAATATAATTAAATAAATAAAATATATTAAATATGTTAAATATAATTAAAAAAATTCATACAAAATGGTTGAATTTAAAAAAAAATGTAAGTCTTTAAATTATAATTTTCAAGTAAAGAATAGAAATGACTTTTTAGAAATTTTAAGCTGTGTATCTGATTATAGTCATTCAAATACTTAACAAAAAATTGGTGATGGGAAATAAAACAAAATATGTGAACTGAGTTAAATGATTATTATTATTCATTAGACAATTCATATATCCGGCCGAAAGAATTAACAAGAGAATATATTAAAAAACCCGTGATAACTGATGAAATACGCTTGGCGTTAGATCGCACAAAGACAAGCTACAGAAACGTAACATGCATTGTCGGTTCTTATCTTGGATCACATAACACAGAGGAAAATGTAAATAATGCTGTCTGGTCTGCTTCATCTATATGGCGAAGAAGATTAGAAGTACGTTAAAAATTCTCTGAAGAAATAAAAAATTTATTTAGTTCTGAGTCAAATTTAACAATAAATTGGAACAGTAAAATGTTGCAACCTTTGACTAACAAGAAAAAAGTTGATCGATTGGCAATTTTAATTTCTTGTGGAGGTATTTTCAAACTACTTGGAGTCCCAGAAATCCCATTAGAAACCGGAGACTATTAAGCTAATTCTGTATATGAGTCTATCAAGGATCGTGGTTTATTAAATCAAGTAACTTCTATGGGTTTCGATACGACAGCCAGTAACACGGGTAAAACACTTGGAGTTTTTGTCCAATTAATGATCTTCGTCAATTCAATATTTTCATACCTCGAGTTTATTTAAAAAATTGGTACACTTGTCAGTGTCCAAATCTGGCACCATTAAATGACTTTAAGTTGTTGACAGATCTCGTGCAATACAACAATGCCAATAAGAAAATAGCTGAACTTGCGTTTAAACAATTTTCTGGTCAATTATGGTATTTGAGTGAGTTACTTTCGGGATTATCATTGTTCGATTCTCGAAATTGTCGCAGATATAAACCGAAAAGGTACAGTTGATCAACATTATCGATTTAAAGTAGACAAAAATACTATTTTAAACAAGCAATTTTTTAATGAAATTCACGAAAAAAACATCCAAGTAGTCGGGAGTACGATCCAGAATTTATTGAAGCTAAGGGGACAGTCCAAAGTTGGAACGTAGTCAATGATTTGGCGGATCGAGGTATTGCATTGGCGCAAGATTTCAATCCAGTTCTCACAAAACAAGTAAGTCAAAAACAATATTTACTACAAGTTGTAGAAATGCATCGAACAAAAATACCAAATGCGAAAAAATGTACGAAACAAAAATTTAAAATTAAATTTAAAAAATTATAATTATTTTAATTAACTTTTTTCATAAAAACGATGCTCGCGACTTTTTCAGAATATGAAAAAAAATTGGGAACTTTATTATGCTCTAAAGAACACAATATCACAAGAAGAAGAATACCTTATAAATAAAAAAATTCTGAAACACCCTCATATATATGTCTATATTAAATATTTCTATGTGTATTGAATATATTCTTGTACCCACGGTATTGCACTACAGGTTAACGTCGGGGCCAATGTATCTTAAATACGGCCTTGACTCGCGGACTGAAGAAGACCACGCTGCAGAAAAAAATTGTGAAAAAAATACTTGTACACAAACTGTGACGACCGTCAGCCACACAGTGTCCTGCGCAATAAAACTTTTTAAAAGAACACCTTTAAGACAGATACTTTTGTAAAACCCGCCTAAGTAGATTTCTCCGTCCGTTCTATTATTTCCCCTCGAAATCCTAGTATAGGTGATATAAAGTTGGCATTTCGTTCTCTTCAAAAGCCCGTATTGTTATTTCGAAACAGACGACCTAGTTGAGGGTTAGGTTATCGGTTTTGCGAATTATAAATCATAACACTATCATCGCGGATCCGCAGATTATAGACGTGCTTTCGTGTACCCGGTACAATAACCGTTGAATTATCGCGGGTCAACCTATTGATTTTAGACTAGTAAATTATTACGAACATTGTGCACCTATTATTATACGCGGAACCCGGGAACACTCTCTCGTTCGGTTTCCTTACTCGCCGTTGTAATATTATTATAGTAGTAGCGTCTATAATATTATTATAATATATGTGAGTGTACGGCGCGCACCTGTCTGTCCGTTAGAAACGATTTATTTCAATTTGTTCCGATGTAATAACATTATATACGTATTAGCATAGTAGCGATTTAAAATCAATTTAAATATTATTATCGTACAACACGTTATTGAATAATAATTTTTGGACGGCAGTACAGAGCATTATTAAAAGGGCTCGGATTTTATAGAGAAATAAACCTTAAAAAAAAAAAAAAACGTTTTAAGTAGCCGACAACATTTTTTTCCTGATTTTTTCATGTTTGGTCCTTTTTCTCTTACTTTTTACATCATTTTCGTGAAAATTTCACATATTTTTATACATATTACAGTATTAAATTTTTTTGGAAATTTTTTTCCTTGAAAATCTTTGAAACTAATATACATGGTTCTAAAATATTGCATTATACATTTTTTTTGTCACTCATATTTTTGGTGATAAAACGACTACATAAGTATGCACTTTTAATTTTCAAATGGCAATCTATATATTTTATCCAAACTTAAAAGTGGAATATATTTCATCAACAGGTTGACAGAAATCAAAAGTTTATCTTAACTATTTCCGTCTATTTAATGCGTTTTTAATATAGGTTTCCGTATAAAAATCAAAAGTATCTACTTTTGATAGTTGTTTCACACCCAAAAATAAGTGTGACAAAAAAATTCGGATAAAAGTTAATATTTTCCGAGATAATAAGTGTTTCTAGTTGAGTGAATCACTCTGTGTATAGAAATATTTGAAAATTAGGTAAAAATCAAGAAAAAACCGATCAAATGGGAAAAAAGCAAAACAAAAAAAACACATTTTGTGGTAAAATTAAAAAAAAAGGCAAAATAAAGTTAACTTCATTGAATCAAAACGATTTAATACGTATTTATATACAAACATTTTCTTTCTATCGCACTCCTTTAAAAATTAGTATTCGTTATAAAATCTAAGCGAAGTCGCGCGCACGGTACTCTTTTCGTTATAAATTCGTTCATTTATTTTTGGACATAAATAAGAAAGCATTTGATATTGCATTTTTGGACGAATTTTTATTTATATTATCATTTTTTAACGAATTTTATAGGATAATTATTCTGAATCTTTAGAAGAATAAAACAATTTTTTTTTTTCGGAGGAGGAGGAGTAGGAGCATTATAATCTCAGTATTAATGCTATCATTATTTATTATTTATTCAAACACGACCGTTGCTATTATCATAAATAATACCCAGCATCCTCAAGCAAGTATGTGATTATCCGAAAAAAATAGAAAATTACAATTTATTATGTACACACGTGGCAGTATAAATTATAAAATATTATATTCAGGAGCAAACTTATTCGGTCTACTTGTAATCCTCTACGATGATGAAAAAAACGGGTTCGTAGTATTGAAAAAAAAAAAAAAAAAACTAAACCCCGCATCGTTATATACTTATTATTGTTTCAACGGAAAATATTATTTTACGTTATTGATGGGGTTTTTTTTTTTTTTATTATTACTTTTTTAATATCCATCGTTATTATTCTACTTGTCCCTGTGCAGCGGGAAAACGTGGCGTTCGATAAAAAAAAAAAAAAAAAAAAAAACGCCGGTAAAACCGTAAACGGAAAAGACAATTTTATTGTTTTCAACGAGGTTATTCGCCGCCGCCGGTCGTCGGCAAGACGGATTAGGTCCGAATAATTTAGCCGCTGCGACAATATATGCGGAATATGCGGAATATGTGCGGAACTATGGAATATGGACAGCTTAAGAAAGTCGCGCGGGGGTAAGGGGGTTAGGGTTAGGGGAGAGGGGCCCGCGCAGTAGATGGTAAATCTCCCAAGCTAAATTTCCTTTTTCCCGTTATCGTCGATCCTTAATGGGTTTGAAGGCTTTATATTATTATCGTATCATGCACTGCCCAGCGAAAACCGTCCGTCCGTCAATTTGTATCGGTATATTATCTTTCTTTGTGCGCCCAATAAAATGTTTAAAGCCTCCGCTATTAAGTTTATATTCTTTGAACCCCGCGGCCGTTCCGCGCCCGCGGTATATAATTGGCAAAAGTCGCGTTATCGCGCGTTAGCTGATTTCCTGCGCCGTAGGTACGCACACCCAGTATAAATCCCGATAAATTGCCGATCGATTTGTCCTACACGAACCGCGTTTTATCCCACGTGTATCTAAATCGATTCACAACGCAAGACGGCGGTAACGTCCCATACACGTCTATTATTGTGTATCCAATAAATATCGAGGAGAACGAAAAAATGTTTCGTAAATTTCATTTCAAATCGTATTGTATGCCGCGATGCAATAAGCGAATCTAAGGAATAGTTCGTATAGACTTCAAGCCCCGAAAGTGTGGTTTTTGTTTTTAAATTCTGACGTTACACGCCGAGAATATTACCAAAAAAAAATAAAAAAAAAAAATAATATTAATAAACTTTATTATAAAACTGTATAGTACGGGTTTATCAGGTTATTATTGACTATGGCCTCGGGTTTCAGTGCAAAGCAAATTTTTGCTCTATAGTTATCACTACAACTAAAATATTATTGCATTTTCATTTAGGAAATCGATTGGATTTCTTTCCATGTTCGCTTTAAATTCGCGGCAAAGGGAGTACTTTACGTAATCCCAGTATAGTTTCCAGCAGGTGTAGGACCTCTATCGGCCCAACAACCATAGGTGTCAGCAATTTGTGTCATTTCCAAAGCCGCCGGCTTTGCGATTTATAAAACAATCACAGTATTATATGCCTACGGACACGCGTTTTTTGTCCTGCAATCTGGATACCTACACAATATTACAATCGGTGAACATCATCTGTGGTACAATTATTAATGAACAACATTGTTATTTTCGTGTCAATCAATTAAAACCATCGCGGCAATCGAATAAATAATTAACGAGTCTCCCCTAGGGTCTTATTACATGCAATAGAAAACAGAAAATATCAAATTGTTCTTATGTAGCATTAAAAAAATATTGAAAATTCGTAGTCACGATTTTTCATAAACGTTCAAGTTCAAATTTTGAAAACAATCGTGAAAATCACATAATTCCATGTATATCCCTACTATCTACGTAGTTATTTTTCGTTTGTTTGCACAACAAATTTTCGGCTTTATAAAAATGCAATAATATTTATTTTTTTTTTGTCTATAGAAATTAATTTCGTGTTTAATTTAAATTTATAAAACACGCAATCAATCGAAAATAAAATAAATTTTCTTGTAATTCCTATACTCGATTCCTACCTACAACAGGTAAACTAACTAACAGGCCTAACTAAAATCATGTGTACGTATAGCGATGACGTACGTTTACCAGCAAAGTACTGACATTTAAAATTTTTCCTTTCTTTTTTGTGCCTGTGAACAATTCTTCTAACAGGTATATTATGCTCCAGTTTTCAAATGTATCAGTTTTTCTGAAATCAAATTTATGTATTTTGTACAATGATTTGAGGAGGTAATTTCTTGATTTTCTTCCGTGTAGTTTTCTTAATACGCGGGAATAACCGAGGAAAAACGTTGGAAAACCGAGAAAGTTTACGGCAATTCCATTATGTTCGATTTTGTTTTATTGTTGTAATTCGATTGGAAATAATTGTAGAGACCGAAATGTTCACGTAATACCTATAACTTATTAGTCTGTTATAAACGCGGTCAAACTTTCAAAACAACCTGGCGATTATCGAGTTCTTTATAGACATTTTATATTTTCGAGTTTGTTAGGGTTTTTTTTTTTTTTTTTTTTTTATTGAAAAGAATATATTTTATGTGATGTGTCAATTACAATAACGGCGAACGATACGAGAAGGGTCGATTCAAATAATATATTGAATTATAATCATATTACGGTTTTACTAAACTATATTATAATATTATTACCTATATTCGTGACATATCGGTCGAGTAGATTATATAATTTTGGATATTCGATAAGTGACAGCGCGTTCGGTGGAAATGTTCTGCACGTTTTGAAAATTTGATTGTCAACCACGTGATTACTCGTCCGTCCGTCGTGCGGAATAAAATCTTTTTAGTCGATAGAAAGGATTTTTAATCGACTAATTTGTTAACGTACAGCATCACAAATCGGGTAGATCCCGTATATTATATTTCTATCAGTAAACAAGAAAATATTCTAAGACTATAATAAAACACGCTATTATTAATATTATTATTATTATGTTTTTTTTTTATTAGAAGAATATTTACGTTCTGTATATAAAAAAATACAATAAGTAGTATGTATAGTATATTAAACAGGGTTTGACGGCTCGAGAGAAGGGGGCGTCCAGTGACGCTACTTCAGCTTGAAAGTAGTTGAATTTTTAAATTTAAAATTTTTTTTCCTTGCTTTTTACTAGAAATTATGCGTTTAGGAGATATGATCACGTGGCCGCAATTACCCTTTAAGCGACCGGAAGGATAGATCTGATATTGGTGGATTTGAGTGGGTTACGGTGTTGGAGTGGAATTTGTTATAGTGAGTGGGAATACGAGTTCAAGAGAGTAAGTTCAGAGAGAGTAGGAATATTGAGGTAATTACGAAGAGTTTTACTGTTAACGTACCACGGAACTTCGGTTAATAGACGTACGTTTATAGACTGGAAAGATTGGAATAATTTTAGATTGGATACTTTGGTCGATCCCCAGATTTGGATTCCAAAAGTCATGGCACGATATTATTATGCTGTTCGCGAGCACATTAATATAATCGCATACTGTTAAAAACTCAAGGTTCGACAAGGTCATTAACGCGATCCAATGATCTTGCAGCGATAATGTGAAATAATCAAATAACTGAAATATGACATAATAATAATAAAATATACTTTACGACGCCAAAAATAAGTATCCGAGCAACCTTCTAAAAACTCTCGTCGATTTTTCTTTTTTTTTTTCTGCGTGTCCTACCATTAATAATAATATTATTATTATTATTATTATTTTTTTTTTTTTGGTAATTTTTATTCATTATACGCGACGACGGTCGGTCGATCGACTTCCTCGATAAAAATTAATGAAGGTCGTGATAATTTTTTTTTTTTCGGGGCTGATTTCGTTAATATCGGTAGACGATATTTTGTAATTATTATTATTATTTTAAAATAATAATTGCATATAAAAAGAAAAACTGATTATTATTCTCGACAACTGTGCTGCTGCTGATGCTGTTACTGCTGCAGTTATTCTGTATTTTTTTTTTTTTTTTTTTTTCACGAATTTATTATAGTTCGAATTCGGAATACTATACGACTATACTACACGACGTGGTATGGATTACCGCGGGCTGGGTTGAGTACAATCATTACTATAAGAGACGTTGATTATTTTCGAGTCTCGTAGTCATTCTTTTTTGATTCTTGATTTCTTTGAATAATTCGAGTACTGATGGTATTATAAGAATAGTGTTTGAAGTCTGAATCATTAATTTTTTTTTTATTACAATCTATATTTTAATATTATGTTCTTGTTTTCGACTTTTTATTTATGCTATTTATAGCTAGAAACTTTGTTTTTTTTCTTCTAGGAAACGCTTATCGTCGACGATGATGATATGGTGATATTATTAGTATTATAATTTATAAGTTGTCTGCCACTGTTGTCTGTTATTGTCTTATTGCTTTTTAAGATAATAAATTATTAATATTATCATATTTTATCGTTATTTAATAAATTTATTAAAATAATATCGTATACCGTTTTTTTTTTTTTTTTTTTATAGCTGCAGTGGCTATTGGACGTAAAATTACATAATATAATGTATAGATATTAAAACATATAGATTACAAAAAAGTTAACAATGGTAAATAACAAAATAAAACAGGGTGAATAACTATATAACAAGGATAGATAAGGATGTAGGTATAGTTGTAATGTGGATATTTGTGGATGCTAGTTACAGTCGGTTGATGAGATGTGTTACCGATAGAAATTGGATGAGCAAGGTTTAATGTTTCCACTAGGTGGTCCGATCTTTGTTATTTTCTGCTGTCCACGTTAAATATTCTACATTCAGTAAGAATATATTTGACAGCGAGGGGATCCTACAGCATGTGCTGATGGGGAAGGAGGGTCGTCTTTCGGTTTATTTATTATAAAATTAAAAGCCTTTAGTATTGGTGACTTGTAACGCATGCGTATTCTGTATGATATTGTATCATTTGAACATTAGTGTGTATTTTTTCTGTCGATAAAAAAAAAATGTAAATATCTTTATAAATTTGAAATATCGAAGAAAACAATCACTAATAATTGTCACGAATGTAGATGGGTAAAAATAAAAATAATAACAATTTGAAAAAAAAAACATATTTCATACAATTTTCAAACACTAACTATAAACATTAAAATGTTTGTTATTTTTGAAAATAACGTTCAATACACTCGTATCAGCTTCACTGTGTAGTCGTTTTGTTTTCTGAGAAATTAGGAATAGATAAACGATGTATTATATTGTTAACATGCTTATATATTCTTTTTACTCTTATTATTTCTTCTTACTCAGAATCGATCAATACCTCCCCTCCCTTCTTCATAAATCCCGGTCTTTAACTATTTTCTTCTGGTATCGTATTCCTATAGAGTTTTACGGTCTTCGTCCACTACGTCTATCCACTTGCGTTGACAACTTCATAATCACAGTTCGTTTTCATAATAATAATAACAATATCGTCCAGCCATCGATTGGCCTATCGCGAGCGATAAGTCCGTTTCCACACGCAGTTCTTTAACAGACTTCCTTTTTCCATGCATTTGTCCTATAATATCGCTAACTGTTCCGTATCATAAAAATATTCACATTATTTGTAAGTGCCCGCAGTGCGAGTGTGCGTTTTATTCGTATTTAAACGGACAATGCCGCGGACGGGATAGAAACATATTCCTGTACAAAAACGTTAAATTAACAAAAAATAAAATTATGATTTTTTTAAAAAACTAAAAAAAACAACCGGTTATATCGCGTAAACATGTCGCGCAATTCATGTACCTACACGAATAATTTGCGATTCCGCAACAACGACGCCCTACACCCACGTACGTTTTTTGTGTACATACAGGTATATAATATATTGTTTTTTTTTTTTTTTTCAATTACTTTTTAACGTCACGGCAACGTATCTACTGTTTACGTTTTGTAAACCTTTCCCCTAATGGTCGTTTGTATATCTTGCGCGCTCGGTATACCCGCACGTGTGTCGTATACGTATACGACAAATGGATCGTTCCGAGATCCGCAGCAGACAGCTAGTAGATAGCTGGTAGGTTACCTATTATACGCATTATGCGTGTCGTCTTTTGGTTTGCGCGCGGTGTTGTGTTTAGAGAGACGAATTGCGGTCGTTCCGCGCGCGCGTGTCAAGGCAGATCAAAGGGGCTTAGGACCGCCGCACCTGCGACGGAGGCTGATTGATTGGTCGTTTTCCGCGGACGTATCGATTCGAGATAACAATATTCGCGAATGTTTTATTGAAATACATTATATATATATGTGTACACACGAGTATACACATACCTATGATATCCTTAATAATAAAACGTACCCATAGGTGTAGCATTCGGTTTATCGGCCGTTTTTTGGCCGAATTTCAACGGTACATGGACAAAATATCGCGCACGCGCAAAGTTCAAATCGGACATCACGCGATCGTTTCGAGCCCGAGTGCCCATTATAATGATATTATCACGATTATTATTACGTTATAATATCGCGGAACAAAACCGAATATTTTTTTTTTTTTAATATTATTTATTTTCGTATGACGTTTTTAAATCCGATTTTTCGCACTTCTATAGTACACTGTTGGTTTAGAGTACCTACTACCCAATTTTCAAGCGCGTCCATCTGTCAAAACCTAAGGGGGTGACAAACATAAAATAAAAAACTGAAAAACTAAGAGTAACAAAATTGCTTTTATTAAATTAACGTAACAAACGTAAATTTTATACGTGAACAAAAACAATATTTTAAAACAAAAACTATAAATTTCGTTTTTGCAAACTACATTTTCAACAAACTCGGTGTCGTGATGAACTTTTTGTTTATGAATAATGAACATATACGGTCCATTAAACCTAAATTCTTCCACAGTAAATCTTGTCATTATCATTAGCAAAATGTATTTATTATAACTAAAAACCACATGAAAATATAGTTTTCTAGGACAGGGACATGTTAACCTCTTGCACCTCCTAACTGGCGTCCTCGGTTCCTTTTAAACGATATATAACGTCGGCAGTCGTAATATACTAAGATACCTACTACAAATTGATTTACCCGTGAAATATTAATTGCTTATGAATTAGGCGACGCTATAGCGTTATACATATTATAATCAGTGGCGTGCCCTGGAATTTTTAATGTGAGGGGATGTAACGAATAAAAATCACGAAAAAAATGTTAAATTGTCTTCTTTATCCAACTCGACTATGGAAATTGGTAATTTAAAAATCGGATCCATAAAAAAAAGCCAAATTCTAATCAATATACATAAAGCTTTTTCTTGGAAATATTATATCTCGATATTAGATTACTCATATTTTGTTGTATTTTTAAGCCAATGGGGGAGATACAACCCCAACCCCCCCCCCTTTGGGCACGCCATTGATTATAATATAATATAAAAAAATATATAGAAACAATTTATGATTAATTTAAAATAATCGCTTAATTCGTGACGCATAAACAATTCATACGAAGTCTGTTCAAAAAGTTGCGTCCGAAAGCAGTAGTAAGTACTGGTATTATGATGGCTTTTGTGACTTCTTCTGAGCACATCTGTTTTTGTAGATTGGCATGGCCTTATCCTTTGCTTTGATGTTATCGATGCGAGAAAAATATTTTAAGAACACATTGGTCGCATGTATTCGATTTTAATACGTCGGATTTAATTATCAAATAACAAATACCTACGCATGCTCTCGACGCGAATTCCCGAGAACGTCACCGGATATTATAATATACGGAAAGATAAATCGCGAATAAAACGGCGAAAACAATTTATTATAAAACGAAATTATACAATTTTGCGAACGGCAAAATGTGAGAATTCAAAATAGGTAATAATCATAAATATTATAAGGAAACGGTTTATTACGACGACAGCGTTTGTTTTGCACGAGAGAATAATAATATTAATTGATATCGGAGAAACAACAATATACAGAGTGTTCCACGGACAAACTAAATCTCCTTCTTAAGCGTTTTCATTTTAAACGTTCGTTTCGAAAGAAAATGTCTGCGTTTCGAACGTTTACTAATATGACTAACCGTTCGTTTTCTAAACATTTTTGAAGTTTACAAGCAAATATTTTGCTATGAAACAAATTGACGAAGCTATATTGGTATTATTTAATGGGTATTGGTCGCGACGAAATCAATTAAAAATTTTCATTGAAAATTCGTAGACAATTAACGGTTCGTAGCTAGTCAACAGTTTTTTTTTTTTTTTTTTCTATGATGTAATTGCAGTTCAATCGAAAAAATTGAAAACACAAGAATCATAGCCTATGTGCTCGTAGTAGTATATAAAAATAAAAACTTTAATACCGATCGGACACTATGGGAAAGTCACTCGCGTTTGTCGGATCTCCGCGGGACATCCTGTATAAGTACAAAACGTTTTCGGCGTACCGAATAGGAAGCCGAGTTAATTACGTATACGGCTCTGGAAACGTCGTCGCGCGAACGGGAAAACGTCCCATAAATCACAACGGGAAACGGAAAGAAAATATTAATGACTATTGTGTGTTGTCGATTCGCGCGCGGCTGCGGGGCGAAATAATACGTAGTCGGGTATTTTTCGAAACGATCCGATGAAACCGCGAATAAAACGATACATCATCGCGTCTATATTATTATTGTTGTACGGCAGTTGTGCAGACACGTTCGATATTGTAAAAAAATAAAATTAAAAAAAATATATCAAACTGCAGCGCGCGTGTTTATTCGTTCGGTGTTTCTATAGTACGCGTACTATGGACCCCCAGCACCCGACACGAGGCCGGAGACCGGGGGACCGAAAAGAACCCGGGGTTCCGGAACCCGAGAACCCGTAAAATAGTCGAATGTAAGGTTCCTACACGAGACCTTTCGGGTAAAAAAAATACATATATTAGTTCCTACACGATAAAAAAAAAAAAGGTACGTATAATAAGTACGGTTAGTATTCCTTAACGGACGGGGATATACAGAGTGCGCCCCGTTTAACGTTTTTAATCTTTTTCATAACCCGAAGAGTGCGTCTGCAATCTTATCGACAAAATAATCCGCAGCTGTAGGTTCCCATTTTATATGATTAACTAATTTAAACAGTGGGGAAAGAGAATTTTATTTCAAATTTGATTAAAACTAAGTTAGAAAACGACTAATAGTTGTGTACTCGTATAGTCTTCTAGTGAACGAAAACGAAATACAGCCGTAATTTAATTAAAACATTTATTTAGATTACCATTATTAAATAAAAATGTTATTGATAAATTTTTAGTTGGAGATTCGATACCTACAATATCGGAACATGATAAACTTAAGGAATTTATGGATTATTTAACAGAGAATTATATAGTTTCTGAAGCAAAATTTCCTATTTCTATGTGGGCAAAAACGATAAGTGAATAAATTTATCATAAATGATAACTAAAAAGTATCCAAGTAGATATTATTCCATTAAAATGAAAAGTATGAAGAAAATAAACGACGGGGATGTATTTTACAAAAAATGAAACCACTCGGATCCGCGACCCAAATTCGGATGCATCCAAGTTTTTAAATCGATAACGTCAATAATTTCTTCGGTTTTTTTTAATTAATATTTCATTACGTGATTATCGTAAAACGTATTGTTTATTAACAAATACAGTGAAATTCGCTTAAGACGCTTTCCCGCATAAGACGCTGTTTTCCGTCGGTCCCTGGACATTTCCTGTACTAGTCAATGTAAAGATCACCTATTAAGACGCTCGGTTTTTGTCTATCTAATCGGATAAGACGCTCTTTTGTTCAGCAATTTACGATACATTCTGGTAGTTGTGCGAAAATAAAAAATAGAAACACCCATCAGAAATTCGAAAAGTATTATCCTCTGTAGAAAATGTTGAAGAAATATTGGGTTATGCTAACAATATAGATACATTTCTTCTTGAAACGCACTGTCAGAATCTTAAGCAAACAAAAATAGATAATTTTTTTTAATATGATAAAATAGAAAAAATAAAAATAATAATATACCTACATGCGATACGAGGTGTGTATAATGTATAAATGTATTTATTTTTTAATTAAATTCAATAGCAAAAAATATCTGTATGTGATTATAATTAATTTATAAATGTATTACCCGTTAAATTATGTCCAATAATAAAAAAATAAATTCGATATTTCAATCACTCAATTTTTTTAATTTCCACATAAGACGCTCTAGAGAGCTGGTCCTTTAAAGAGCGTCTTCAGCGAGTTTTACTGTATGACGGCAAATTTGAATTTTTATTAGCGCCCGTTCCGAATCTCAACCCTGCAAATAAGAACACCGAATTTTTTTCACCCGCGTTTTCACGCGTTCTCGAGACTTTGAATCCGCACCGAAATCTTCAGTCTAGTCGAATACTTTTTCAACAAAAAACAGACAAAATTGTTTGTAAAAAATCACGCTTTGTTTTTACCTTTCTGTCGGTGTTGGCCAGGTCGAGCTTGTTGCCGACCACCACGATGGGCACGTCGACCGTGCGCTTAGTACTGACGATCTCGTCCCGGATCGAGGCCGCCTGCTGGAACGTATCGGGATCGGTGACCGAGTAGACGAGCACGAACGCGTCCGCGGACGATATGGATAGGGCCCGCATGGCCGGAAACTCGTACGCACCCGACGTGTCCAGTATGTCCAGGTCGATTTTCACGCCGTCCACGGTGAACCGGCCGTGGTGCATTTCCTCCACGGTCCGCTTGTACTTGGACGAGAACTTGCGGTACAGGAACTGGGTGATCAGCGACGACTTGCCCACCCGGGCCGCGCCCATCACCACGATCTTGTGCCGCGCCACGTCCGTCGGGTCCGAAGACGAAGACTGTTGCGCCTGTTGCTCGCCGGCGCCTCCCTCAGCCGCCGCACCACTGTGGACAACGACAATAACACCGACAGTTATTTACAAACATTGAACTTTTATCGTTATTATTATTGTCAAATTTAGTTTTGCTTTAGAACAAAATAAAATGAACTTTTGTTTGGCGCAGTCGAATTAACATTTTGTTTTCGACTTTGCAATTTTTAACCGCGAACGTTGTTCGATTGTGTTTTAACTACTTTTGTACATTAGTTTTCGTGTAAATAATGTACTAATATTTATTTTACTGAGATTCGTACAAATTTCCAACGGGAAAGAGATTGCCTTGATACAACTAGAGAGGAAATAAAAGCGTTATTCGCGCTTCTGCACTTGGCAGGTGTATGACGTAGCAACCATTTGAATTTGAACGATTTTTGGTCAGACGATCCTTAATCATCCCCATATTTTCGAGCTGTCATGCCACTAAAACCCGATTTTATCTGTTGCACCGTGCACTCAGGTTCAACGATATAAATACAAGAACTGACAGAAAAATGTATGACAAACTAGCCGCAATCCGAATGATATTTGATAGATTTGTACAGCGTTGCCTGGATGTATATGTACTGTTGGAGAAAACTGCACTATCGATGAAATACTTACTTTTGCTCGAGGGATTTAGAGGTAGGTGTAGTTTTCGTCAGTATATCGCGAACAAATCAAATATTTACGGCCTCAAAATTCAAGCTCTAGTAGATTCACGTACTTTGTTTAGATCTAACATGGAGGTATATGTAAGAACGCAGACTGTTCAAATTTGAAAATAAGCCATCGAGTATTGTAAAAAGGATGACAACTCCGATTTCTAAAACTGGCCGAAATATTACGACGGATAACTGGTAAAACTTCCATACCATTAGTGAACGAGTGGCTTGAAGGTCGTAATTTGACAGTTGTTGGTACGCTACGCAGGAACAAAAGAGAAATCCCCCCTCCTTGCTTTATACGCTTTTGCGTATGAATTTTCGAATAAAAATAGTTTAATAAAAAATAATTATAGTTATTCTAATTAATTATTCATACCGGAATCCTCATTTACAGTTCGAATAGTCGCTTTTAGTGGTGAACATTCGAAATGTGAGCGCCGCGCTCGTACGCGCCAAACCGTGTTACGAATACTAACGCGCCTACCGACGGGTTTTAAATTGATATTTTTAATAGCCCGCGACAATCCCACGACGGGCAAACGCACTGTATCCCGTTCGTTTTTTAAATGTGAAGTATTATAATAATATCCCGTCGCGTAGGATTCGTCGAAGAATGAAAAATTACAAGTGGCCACGTTTTTGGTAACTCTAGAGACAGAATGTGACGCGCACATATTGTCCACTGCATCGACTACGCCTTTGGAAATAATTATAAAAACTCCGAAAATAGTCTAAAACGCGTCGATAAAATAACCTTTTCGAGAAATACCCGTGACTGCCGCCGATAGGACAAAAACACAATAAAACAAATGTAAAAATAAAAAAAACAACGTGAACAAAAATCATATCTAAAACGTAGATAATAATATTTTCGACGATTGTCTAACCGGCTATCAGATAACAACTAGAAATAAAAAAAAAATAATAATAAAAGACCGATCGAAAAAAAAAAAGATTAACTAAAACGAAAGAAAAAATAATAATAAAAAAATCGGTATTCGGCGAACACCGGACCGGTACGCAGAACGGCGCGTGTTGCGGTTTTTCGACAACACGGTAAGCACACCGTCGACCGTCCGACCGCAACGAAGCGAACCGGAACACTTCGAAAACGGCCTAAACCGTTGATCAATAGCATTTTCGAGCAATGCCCGTGATGAGATAAAAATGGAATACAAGTACCGCGAATTAATAAACACAAAACCGTCGTGCGGTTTACAACGCGCACAATAATATAATGTCATTACGTTCTTCCGCGCAACTATCGCGTTCAAGATTTCCCGAGTGTAGCTTTCGGTTTCACCGCGACGAGACGTGTAGTGTTTCTCGCCGGAAAACCGTTTTTTTTTTTTTCTTTTTGGTTAGAAAAAATGCGCGGATTTTTCGCCCGACAGTACCCTGTCGAAAATTTATTGAAATTTCACAAAATTTACTAGGAGCTAACAACGAATGAAGCGGGCGCATCGATTTTATTTTTGTTGATTTACGGGTTACCTTGATTACAACGAAGCAAAAAAAAAAAAAATGAATAAATAAACCTCGATCACTATAATACCGCAGAGTGATTTTTTTTATTAACCTGTCATTTAAAAACAGATATGCAATTTATTACCCTTCCCTACTGCTCCAGCATAAACCCAACTGTTATAATACATAAACATTGATATTAGTGTTATACGTACCGAAATGCTGAAAAACAATATTCCGTATTCGAATCTGTGTCCAAAAAAAAAAGGACGTTTCTGTTTGAGAAACGAAAGTGTGTACTTGTTTAAGATACGCGTAGAGTAGGGGTAAAAATTAAATATGGTTTTAAAGAGAATGGTTTTTTTTTTTTTTTTTTTCTGTTGGAAAAATCCGATCGTATACCGCCGAAATAAAATTCGCTTAAAATACCCGCATTGATAGTGATTTGTTGGTGAAATAAAATGAAAGGAATCAATACAGCGTAACTATAACGTAATATATGCGGGAGCTCGTTAAAAGTTCAACGCTCGCGCGTTATTAAGACGCGGTTTTTTTTTTGTTTTTTATTATTATTATTATTATTGTATAATACGGGCTAGTTTATGAGAGAGAGAGAGAGAGAGAGAGAGAGAGAGGGAGAGAGAGAAAAACTATCGCGACGAATTCGACTGGAAATAACGCGCCCGTGTCGTATCGAATATAATGTTTTTGTGCAGTTTTTAACGGCGTGTAAATGTGGGCGAAAGACCGCCGTAATCGGTCGTAAATCTTTACACGCACGCGCTCGTATAATAATAATTCATTATACTTTTACGCGGTTTTGCTGACGGGCGAGCGTGGTGCGCCGAGCGCGATTTTCCGGTTACTCACGTGTTTACGGTCCGCGAATACCTGTGAAGTTTACGGGTTGATATTTTCAAACGCCAAAACGCTGGAAAGGCCCGCGGGCGGCGTTTCTCCTCGCACGGACCGTTGACGAAGAGAACCGCGGCGAACGTTCGTTCACACGATCGAAAGGCCTTAACGATCCCGAACGTACAGATACACTTCGCACGACGGGCGGGTCACCGCTGTGTTGCAGGCGTGCAGTCGGGAAGGCGTACACGCGGACGAGGAAACTTAATGGGCATCTGTACGCAACGGTTCTGAGCGGAGTGCGGTTAATAGTGTTGCTTTGTCGACAATATTATGCCATTTTATGGTAAAATAATTACATAATGTGCGTTTTATATTTTCTTTAATATTTGTTTAATATTGCACCTATTTTCCCTTTTTCCCCATTTATTATGAAAACGAAAAAAAAAAAAAAAGGATCTCCTTAAATTACCGCCTCATTCAGATTTTCTTTCAGAAAAATTACTGTAATTGAAAATCGGAACGAAATTGCCGGTGGAAAAGTTGTGTACAGTCAAAAGAAAACAATAGTGATAAACATCATTGTAAAACCAATACGTTCCATACTCCGCTCAGAATCTAAAATTCATTCGCTTTTTGTGTTTTTGTGTTGAGTGGCTTGCGTACGGCTTATCATTTAGATTCTGAGCGGAGTGTATTGGTATTACTATCCTGTGATGTGAGCTGATTGTTTTTTCTTCTTCATGTAACCAATTTACTACCAGAAATCTCGCTCCGATCAAAAATTGCCAGGAGAAATTTTTCGTCGTATTTTGAATGAGGTCATTTTTTTTTTTTTTTTTTTTTGAGTTTTCATAATAATTGGAAAAAATTTAGGGGGAAAACGTAGAAAGAATGGGAAAGCTTACGGAAACAACGATTTCGTCGTTTTTAATTTTGTTTTTGTTGTGTTCAATTAATTTTTGAAAAATTTCCAAAAACACAGTCAAAATATTTGTTTACTATTGTTATTTCAATAAAATAATGATATTTGCGTTTTCGACATATCCCAGTAAAGAATATAATGAATCCGAATTCGCGTCTTACCCAAACGTTACAGTTTCGCCGAAAAGCATATTGGGTATACTTTTGTCGATATTTTCTTTTCGGAAAACTCACCGTTTTCTCACAGTTCTCGGATTTCTCGTTAAACGCACCCGCTCGTTTTCGCAGCAAACGAATTGCGTCCCTGATAGTGTTTAACCGCTACACGGATTGCGTCTCAACGTCAACACATTATTTCGTTTCCCATTTCATGCAGACTTATTAGGATTGTCAACAGCAACCTATTGCCAATGGATAGGTTAAAAATATCGATTTTGATCGTTGTTACGCAATTAAAAGTCTGAATCGTTTCTATTTAGATTATTACTCTGTTTTTGTCCGGTAAATAATTTAGCGAAATCTTTAATATGAACGTTTGCGCGTTCTACATAACGCCGTTTTTGTCATTTTGTCTACATGCATGACTTGGACGGTTTTTTTCAACATTATCTGCACAAAATAAAGTTATTTTTCTCACGTGTCATTTTTTTTACTAATACGATATAAAACGACGCCCACGTTTACCGCAAACGCGATCGAACAAATACAACGTTATAACAATAATACGAACGAACTGCGGCGGAACAGACGGCACACGTTTAAGTTGTCCTAAGAGTACAATCTGCGCAAAATAATAATTTGTTTAAAACTGTGGGTTGGTTTAACCGCAAACTGCAATATACATATATGTATCTGTGAAAAAAATATAATTATTTGCAAGGACGGACGCAATTCGCGTAGTCGCTTATCGGGTTTTTTTATTTTTTATTTCAAAACGCAATTTTCGCGCGCGGTCTCCGTTTTCCGCGTTGCCGTTTTATTTTCCGATACGTACGAATCCCGTTCGAGATAAAACAACGCGATAAAGGTTTTTTTTTTTTTTTTAATGCAAGTCTCCCCGGTATAAAAAGTACGACTGTCGTCACGAGCCGTTAACGCTCCCCGTATAATATTATTTACCGTCGTCGGGTTCTGTGCGTCACGTCGTTTTCGAAATAAAAATTCACGTTCCGAGTGCACAGATACCGGCGGCGCGCGCTCATCTCCCCGTATAGTAATTCGCGAACTCGGTTAGGTTAGGCATCTTTTATTTAGGTGCCCGAGGCAAAAAAAGAGAAAAACACTCTGGAAAACGGCTGCGGCGCTTTGAACGTACGGGCTTTAAACAATACATTAATCAAATTTTCCGGTGAATCTGTTCGTGACCTTGGTATTCGCATTCCGCGTACACCGAGTCCCCGTTTGCACGTCCAGGAAATACGCCGCAAGGCTAAAAAGCTTCTTGGATTTTTTCAGAAAACTACGCGTGACTTTAGGCAACCTGCTCCTTTAAAATCATAACACGCTGCTCTTTAGTGAGGAGGTCTATAATAACACCATATTATGGGATCCTTCGACTTCTTGCGACCGCCTAACCATCGAACGGGCGCAAAGGAAGTTTATCGCTAAGCCAAGATTTTAAGCCAATGAAGTTTCTAACTCTGACTACCGAGCACTATTTAAATAATATTCCACTGCTCCTGTAACTTAGACATCGTTTTCATATTACTTGTACTTACTATGTTTTGGGTACTAAACCCGTTTTCTAATTGAAAATAAAATTAAAATACCGATAGATCGTAAAAATTTACTCTTTTTACTCGTATTCTGTTGTCGGTTCGCGGCCGGTCGAATCCACGGAACGATATTCGATTACCGAACAAAGAGCACTGGCAGCGGAATACTCTATACGGGATAACTAAACGGAAAAATCAAAAAGACCTCCCCCCCCCGGGTAACAAGCGACACATTCGACGAGAAGAATCCGTTTTCATTGCTCCGTCCACCGTTATTATTAATTGTCCTTTTTTTTTTCCACCTTCCCGCCTATATTTTAATCAATACTTTTGTTGCGTATTTAACCGTAATAATATTCGAAGACTCGAGAGGCCGAGGTGCGTTGAAAATTCATATTTTAAACTCTATTGAAAAAATAAAATTTCTACGAAAAACTAACCAAACAGTTAATACGCGCCTTCTAGATCGCATTGCGTATTTGCGCGAAATATCGAAAACGTTAGATGGAGGGTCATTCATTTTTACGGTGTTAAACGTCACGTAGAAATCATTTTATCGGCGACTAATCCGAGGATAGTTAAAGCTAGACGGGAAAAAAATTCGCGTATATCGCAGTCGTAACTGTGTCGTAGAAGTTTTGAAATTGTATTTCATAGCGTAGCGTTTTAAGAGTATTTACATTGATATTTATTTTCTTTCTGTGAGCAACTTTTTTACCAGAAATCTAGCTCCGATATGTCAAGCGTATTATAGCGTACTTTCTAAAGGTGACCGATCAAAATATCTTGGACAAAATATCGGTATATATATACCCAATTAGAGCGGGCCGATCTTATCTGCGCTGTATAGCGTTGACGTCTGTCTAATTTATTGTTTATTATTCAGTCACTAATGCCAAATCATCATGGTTAGTCACACTATAGAGCAGCGCGTCCAAATTATAAAATTTTATTATCAAAATAAATGTTCGGTAGTTCAAACTTTGCGCTCGTTACGTCCATTTTTTGGCCGACGTAGTGGTCCTTCAAAGTCGACTCTCCAACGTTTGGTGTCGAAATTTGAGACAACTGGTACGGTAAACGATCAGTTAACATCCCCCTACATCAAAGATCGGTCCAGAATATCGCCGCGGTACGTGAAAGTGTGCAGGAGAACCCGAGGCAGTCAATTCCTCGCCGTGCACAAGAACTCGGTCTTTCACAGTCTTCAACTTGGCGAATTTTGCGCCGGGACTCGGGCTTACACCCGTATAAGATCCAACTGACCCAGGAGCTCAAAATTAATGACCATAGACAACGCCGATTGTTTGCTGACTGGGTTTCGGAGCGTTTGGAAGAGGACCCTAATTTTGGCCGAAAAATCGTCTTTAGTGACGAAGCGCATTTTTGGATGAATGGCTATGTTAACAAGCAAAATTGCCGTATTTGGGACAATACCAACCCACACGAGGTTCAACAGGTAACAATGCATCCACAAAANTTTTTTTTTCCCAAAATGAACGGTATGGACGTAGACGACATGTGGTTTCAGCAGGATGGCGCTACGTGCCATACATCCAACGCCACGATAGCCATTCTGAACGGCAAATTTGAGGGTATGGTTATCTCAGGGGTTTCCTGAAGTCGCAGGTCTATGCCAATAAGCCGAAATCGGCAGATGACCTTAAAGTGAACATAACCCAGGCCATCGCTCAAATTCAACCGGATCTATGCGGCAGAGTCAATGAAAATTGGACCACTCGGATTCGTGCCACTGTGAGAAGCCGTGGCGGACATTTAAACGATATTATATTCAAAACATAATTGGCATACTTAGAACTTTAAAATAAAAAAAAAATTTCACTTATACCTCACACATAGCTTGTTTTATTTCATTTCAACATCGACCCGCTCTTATTGAAAAACCCTTTATCATCGATACTAAATATCTCCAGATAACAATATCCCCAGTTATAAGGATATTTCCAGTAAAAAATATCTCCTATACAAATATATTTAATGGAAATATCCCACAGGAAATAATAACTATTTAGTATTGTATGGTATTATCTGAAATATTTTCACGATTACGAATTCCTACGGGACATGAAATGTTACCGAGATGGACTTCAAAATCTGAAATTCGGGTTTATATCACATCATTAACTAGGGACTAGACAAAATCCATGTAGTTGGTGGAAGCATATTAATGACGATTTTCTGTATAGGTACTAATTAATTTTAATATCTATACTTTTCTAAATTTATTCAATAGAGTCATTTCGGCTCAGCATTAATATAATTTACCTATTTGGTTATTATTTATACAAATTTTAGTTTTTTATATTATCTTTTATTCTATGTACCGGTATGTTCAAATGATATGAATATATTTTTAATAGTATTGTTTTATTGGAGTATAGTGACTTACTTTCTTTTTTTTTGTTTTTATTCAGACAGCTCATAGACTTGTCCACATTTTAAAATGTCGAAGTATGACGAACACAAATTGTTATTATGGTTCTACACCCTATTCTTTCGCCAACAATGTGGACCTTCAACATTCCTGTGGTCAAATGTGTGGGCCCACAAAATAATGATAGTTTTATAATACTAGAACTAGACGATCCTGGTCATTGCTATCACAAATGCAAGATTTTATGTCAGTGCTGCGAGCCTACTACGAAAATATAAATACATTTTCTTGTAGGCAATAATAACATGATAAAATTACGACTAACGATTTTATCGACGTACCTCCACGCGGTCTCGAGAATTAAATTTAATACTCGTCTATTTTTCGGTCAGTGTTAACTGATATATTTCGATTTATGGTTATCACTATGTGACTGAAATATTATCGCTAATAGAAATAGATTTTTTATTAAAATATTGAATATAATGAGAGTTAAAACAAACTCTCAAACATTAAAAACTAATAAATAATTAAGAATTCAATTTAACTTTCATGGCGTGTGATACGAATACAGTGAGAGATAATTATTGAAATGTTTAAGCATTTTAAAACATTTAATTAATTTTTGTTCATTTGAAATTGTATTTTTATATTTTTTTTTTCAAGAGAGATTGCTCACAATTTATTTTTGGGTTGGGGTGGGCGATTGAGTGGAAAATTGTGAAGGTGTGTCGAGGTAAAAATACTTCGAGCCGCCACTGGTGCGAACTGCGAAGTATGTCCGTCTTTTTGTGAACATTTTTATTGACAAAAACATCATAATTTCAAAAACCATTTACGAGCCAGAAACTACATATACCGTCGATAAATTCGCGATCGACGCGTATTCGCGCGGATTTTCCTTCACCGACGATATCGCGGCGACGAATAAACGACGTGATTACCGCGGTTTTACGCCTCCTAAATGCGTTTACGATTGTCAATAACAATAAACAATAATAATAATAATGCGACATAAAACCGCGAGCGTAGAATATTATGGACGCGAATTTAATACGATTTTCGAGGCGATAATAATAGCGTGGCGAAAAACTCACGGGACGGCCGGTGTCGAATTTCTGCGGTGGCGACGACGCGAAGACAACGATAATAATATTACAACGTGATCGTGAAACCGATATTATGACGTACATATATTATTATTATAATAATATATTGTTTTACCGACAGATACAAAAAACACAAAAAAAAAAAAAGACGGGCAAACTAAGCGCGACGGGTGAGCCGCTGTTGTGGGTGAGACGTTAGGCAGGTATAGAGGCGAATTTAATTCATATAATCCGTACGCAACGATAAACCATTGCCGACGGATTACGATTCGGAGCGAAGATCGTTTTATACACGGCACGTACATTTTCACGTATATCCTACGATTTTTCCCAACTATCCGCTCGGAAAATAAAAAAAAATGACCCCCCCCCTATAAAGTACCAACTATATTTTTCTGTCGGAATAAATATTACACTCGACGCAGAAGAAAAATACAAAAACAAACGTCACTGTAAAACCATATAATATTCCTTGCCGCTCAAAAAATAGGGGAAATGAAATCGAATGGGTTCATTGAATCCAGTGATACAACGATTTCTTCGGAGGATTTTATGTGAATCCGATATCTTCTGTTTTTATTTTTCGCGATCTTCAAGTAAACGTTAAGGGGGCTTTGTTTTTTAAATGTTTTTTTTTTTTTTATTTTACAACAGTCACTCGATGGCGTAACTATGGGACGTTTCTTTGCGGGGCGATATGAATATTTGTTAAAAATATCAAGACAAAATTCTCATTAATAATATATACTATATATCGTACAATTTGATTAGCATAATATGCCATTAACGATAAACGAACAAATATTGATAATGTGGCATGTTTCACACACTTGATATTTTACGTTTTATATTGTGTGTAAAAAGTTATTGCAGAAAAAATATGGTCCTGGTTATAGACATCTTCGGGGGGAGGGGGTGCTGTATCACTCGTATCATCCCCCTTGAGAACGCCAAACTGACTGAGTCACTCATAAAACGCGCACAAACACTATTATTATATCGAAATTGCAAGTTTTTTTTTTTTTAAAAAATTGTTTTGTTATTTTAAACATTACATTACAAAAATTTGATANGGGGGGGGGGGGGTGCTGTATCACTCGTATCGTACCCCTTGAGAACGCCAAACTGACTGAGTCACTCATGAAATGCGCACAAACACTATTATTATATCGAAATTGCAAGTTTTTTTTTTTTAAAAATTGTTTTGTTATTTTAAACATTACGTTAAAAAAATTTGATAGTAAAATATTATAATTAAATTATCCCCTTAAGCAAAGCTCGTGATGGGATAGTTGAGTAACTATTTAATTTGCATACTACATTAAATTTGTATTTGATTTACAGTTATATTACACGAGGTTAAAATAAATAGAGCTTAAATTCAGAGTTCGCTTAACAACCACTATACCACTAAGTTTTTATTTATTAGGTATCCAGATTTTTTGTTTAGATTAAAAAAAAAAAAAAAACATTTTCTTTAAGACACAATGGCATTGCATTGAAACTAGATGAACCTGAATAGTCCAAAAAATGTTTTCCAAATTCTTTTTTCGTATATTCAACATTTAGCTTTAATTTTGCGTTCATTAATCTGCGGAAAACTACTCTATTCTTAGAAACATATAGGCTGGCGAGCAAACTGTCTATACAGCAACCCGACCGGTAACACACCTAACTCTTTGCAGTTGGAAACTGATGAACCTGGTAAAACATTTTTATTTAAGCATATCCCAACAGCAGTTAATTTAATTTTTACACCGGAGTCGTTTGAGAATTGATATTCTATCAATGTGTCATTAATATCATCTAAAAACGGATACAGAGTTTATTATTATCGTTTCCTGGTATTTCGTTTTAAAATCCTATGTCAGATCCTATGTACAAATTATTATAACATCACCGTACATTTTTAAATGATAAATATCGCGCGAAAACGAAAAATATTACGGACATAAATGTGTTTTATTTTGCCGAAAGACGAACGTTTTTCGTAACCCGGAAGAATTAATAAAAAAAAAAAAAAAAATTATTCCGATCGGCCAGAAAACTTACGATAATTGTACTGGTGGCATTGACGACGGAAAATTACGTTTCACGGACGACAAATCCAGACAATACGACCGAAATATTCGCTACACGTCAAAGCAGCCGAGGAAAAATTTGACTAGGATTTAACGTTTTATAATAGGAATGAAAATAAAACGCCTAAAATTATTAACACCAATAGTGAATTTTATTCATTACGGAGAATCGCTTTTTTTCCGTTCGATTTCGGAGTCTCAAAAACCGTATTCCCGCATATGTTCCGCACACGTGATTTTACGATATAGATTTCGCGGACGTCGGAAAAATCGCGTTTGTTCGTGTTTCTCGACCTCGGCAGATAATGGTTTTTTTTTTTTTTTTAAATTTATCACTCCGATAAGTACCTCCGTTGTATACGTCTACAACACACGTTTTTTAATCGAATACGTCGTATGGCAGGGACGTTACGCCGTGGTATGCTCGGTCCCTCAAGAGCCTCGAGACGTTCCGTGCAAAACCGCGTTCGTATGCACGAGTCAATAATATGTTATCGATGACGGTTTTCTGCGCGAGACGACATTTTTCGATTACTGATGGAATTATTCGTATGTGGTCTGTAAATATGCGAATTACCGCTGTTGAAAATATCACATAATTGTCGAATTGTATAATGGAAATGTTAACGTTCGATCATACGCGTCGCGAGTAATTTTTATTCGCTTTGTCAAAACGACCGGGCGTAGGTAGGTACAGAGAACACGGTTTGATATTTCCTCCCCCCCTCCTCCCCCCCCCGTTTAGTCGATTCGTGTAGCAATTATAATGCAATAAAAAAAATCGCGAATTTGTCGGTCCGTCTCGTTTATACGCACGTAAATAATATGTTACGATGCGTCGCCTCCAAAAGTCCGGACGATTTGTCAATCGGAAAACCCGTCGAAAACAATAATTATTATTTCGCGTAAAATGTAATCGAATTTAATTTTGCCGGACACGAATATCCGTTCGGGTTTAACACCGTATCGGGTTTTTTATTCCGTTCCCCCGAGCATATTTTTTAACCGAACTCGAAAGGTCGGAAGCGGCGGTGATTCGGGTACTCCGAAAATTAAAACATTCCGTTTTTTTTTTTAATCGTTCATTTATTTGTTACGGTTTTTTTTTTTATTAAGGATTTTGAGGGATACAGAAAAAAAAAAAAAAAATGCCGAAAAATCGATTTCGAGTCCGCTCGGCGACAAAATCTGTTTTCGGAATCCTTACCGCTATTGACCGTATAGACCGATCGCGGCAGGTCGCGGGAATAGAACGCGCGTCTGTATCATAAATTCGCGAGCCACACAAAAAGACGGAAAATCGTCGGCTTCCAAACCATTGCAGTGAACGTTTCAATAGGTTTTGTACAAATCGCATTGTTTCGAACTTCAAAATAAAATAAAAAAATAAATAAAAAAAGCAATAGTAATAAAATCCACTCTATGTTATAGTATAATAACGTCGCGAACGTATTCGGGGGAGCGTTTAATGGAGCGAGCCGTGCGATTATTATTGTAATAAAAAAAAAAAAAAAAAAAAAAAAAAAAAAACATAATAAACCCCGTTCGAATCGCAGTGGCAATTCAATATTTGAAAACCGTTTTCGGAACAACGCGACATTGTAAAAATATCGTCGGGCAGACGCGGAAAACGGCGAACAAAATGACGCGATTTTTTTTTTTGTTTTTTTTTTTTTATCCCCGTTCTTTTTAACCGGCCGACGATAATATTGCGAAATCATATTGGAAATATTTTTATGACGCGCGGTTATCAGCGGTCGATAACGTTTGGGAGTTTGCACGTTATAAATACGGTCGAATCGTTGCGTTTGCGAGTCGAGGTAACGCTGTTCGTAATTCGAACACGCGTAACGGGACCGGATCGCGAGTTACGGGTGACGATCCGGGGCTAAAGGCCGATAAGTGAAAAAAAAAAAAATGAAAGGCCAAAAAAATTCGTTTAATATGACGTTCTAAAATTCGTGTAATACGTTAGACTGATGAAATTTGTATGGGGCGTTTTGCCGCGTGATAGAACGGGCGTGGCCGGTTTCCGCCGAATCATACACACAATTTGTCGATTCCGTTTTCCGCCAAATGAAAAAATCTATTTTAACATTCGGATGGATGTTAAATGGATGCATTATTGTGTACATTACAAAATTATACTAATCAAACAGATTAATTAGTTAAAAATTCGAGGGCCTTCTCTATTTATGCACGATAAAAATCGTGTGTATTATTTATTGAATACGATGTAAAAAAAAGGACGGACACATACTTCGCATGTGGGAGTAGTCACTGTTGTAGGCGGGTAGTTGGGAAGGTAGGATACAGACGGGAATTTAATGTACATCTGTAATCAACGATAAACCGCTAACGAAAAAAACGATTTTGAGCAGAGTTCAATTGATAGTGTTGCTTCGGGCTTTGTCAACAATATAATATATTGTATATATTGTATATATTGGTTGTCAATGACAACCTTATTTTTAATTTTAAAATCGAGTAGGTTTAATTTATCAGCTTTTTTACGTTAGAATTTCAATGAAAACCGTTAAAATCACGACATTTCTGCGGAGTAAAAATCACATTCTAAAAAAAACCGCGCAGATAAAATTTCTTTTCAGGAAAGGTAAAAATGAAAATCCGAGCAAGATTTCTGGTAAAAAAGGTATTCGTAGAAAAAAAAAAAAAAAACGTTATAAAATCAATACGTTCCCCGCGGTTCGCTCGGAATCTAAAACTACGTGTTCTCACCTATATTGTAGTGGCACGCCCGTCGAAAGTATCGGGTTTTTAAACAATTATTAATATTATTTTTTTGTTATACAATCGTTAAGAGTTGTTGATTTCTCGTTTCGTTTTTTGAAAAAAAAAAGAATAACGTTGCGGGGTTTATTCGGAACATATCAAACTGTCGCGTTTTATATTAGTTTTAAACTCTGAACTCCGCGTAGACTATCGGATGGGAAAAATGAAAAATGAAAAAAAAAAAAAAAAAAACGATTATTTATACGACAGTATCTATTGTAAATATTTATTGTCTAACAGAAATCGAAATTTTAAATCAAATACAACATTTCGATTACGGTAAGAACGAAAAATTGCGCAGCACATTCAGTATAGTGATACTGCGATTGCGCGCGGCGGTACCAAGTCAATATTTGTAACCGTTCGTACAATACAGTGAAACGGTAAGTAAACGTAAATTAAAAAAATGAAACAATAAAGTAAAAACAGAATTGTTAAAACGGTTAATACTCGTACATAAATTAAGTGAGTAAATATATAAATAAAAAATGTGTGCATAAAAATAAAATAGGCGACGCATTGATTCGTTTATTTATAAATTTATTTACTTTGTAAATTAAACGTCTTATCAATTTCGGACAGAGTCCGTTCAATGCAGTTAGTAGAAAAAGGCGACCGTAAAAAAAAAATGTGAAATCGCCAACGAATCCGATACATTCCGCCAAGTACATTATTGTCGTCGATATCAAACAGACAGATGAAATTTTGAAGTTCAACACCGTGGAAATATGAAAAAAAAAAAAAAAAAAAAACAAAGACGACTCATCCTCATTCGGACAGTTTTTATTGAAATACGGTTTACTCGGTGCCCAGATAAAAACTCACCGTTAAACGGGCTTTACTTGAAAAACGAACATATTTGATGACGGTTTTTGAAAAAAAAAAAAAAAAAAAAATGTATTTATTTATTATTGATCAATACCGGACCCGAAAGCCGTAGTTGAACCGAAATTTTAACGAAACTCGATATTTTGAATTTTTCGATAACCCGGGACTTTTTCCCGTTCCCCGCGTGATTCGGCCTAACCGGAATCTGCTGCGTATTACAATGCGATTCGTATCGAAAAACACCCGAACGCGTCCGGGTTAATAGACAAAGCGAACGCACCGAACGTTAAAAGCCGAGTCGGACCCGGCTGCTGGACTCTTAACCGCGATCCGTTACGGTCCCCGGGGACACATCGGTACGACAAGTGCGCGGGACGATCGAAGAAATCGCCGGCACCGCCGTAATCCTAGCGACGTCGTCGCGGGATTCCGACCGTTGCGACAGTGCCCACGTCCGGCAACGCCTACAACGTAATAGCACTGTAATGGTGCAGGACGGTCCGCGCGCGCGGGCACGCGGGTAACGTTTTCGTTCCGATCGCTCCACCGCGCCGTCGCTATCGCGCGCGCGGTGTTCCCCGCGCGGTCGGTTATTGTTCGCGGCGTCCAACCCCGCGCCGACGCCTCCTATCCGCCGCGGCCGCGGCGGTCTTGGTCCGCGGTTTGAAGGTCGCGCGACACGGATCTCGGCCTTTTCGGCCGGGCAACGCCCTTACGCCTTACGCCGCCGAACCGCGTTGGTGGGATACACGGCCGCGCGGTATATAAAGATCCGCGGCGTCCGACCCGGGCATCACACAACGCGTCCCGAGCACACACGCCGCCACGACACGACACCACTACAGTCGCAAGTTTGCAGATCCGACCGGCAGTAAACCGTCAGCACGCGAACCGTAAAATGGCTTCTTTCAAGTATCTGGTGAGCATAAAACAACGACGTCGCACACTTCGGTACACCCGTCAAGTGCCATGACGTTTCCGTTTCACACTCCGGTACTAGCGCGGACCCGAGGTCCGGCCGGACTAGTTGTTTGAACGATCTTCCGACATTTCCGTCGCCTCTTATGTTCGCTTTTATTTTTCTCCGTCGATTCCCGACAAGAAACACTACCCGCCGACGTACAGCGTACGGCAATCCGTTCGGAATCGGTTGTTTTTTTTGTTTTTTGTGTTTTGCTCGCAACGAGTTATACCATCCGCCGGTCTCACAACACTGGCCGACCCGACCGGCAGTAACGACTTTTTTTTTTTTCTTTCAATCTATCCGTTTCTCACGATACCCAGAATTAGAGTTAGGATAGTTACGCACTTAAAATCCACAAAAAGAGGCTTAAAAACGTCAAAAAAAGACCTATTAGGTAACTTACAAGTTATTTAAAAAAAAAAAAAAAGCAATACCGGTAAACGGGTTTGAAAATCTCGCCCTCTAATGACGGTTTTGACTAATCAGGACTAATTTCTAACTACAATTATGATTATTACAAAGTCATTTTTTTTTTTCAAATAAATGTTTGCGTGTTATTAAAAAAAAAAAAAAAAAAATTACTTTGTGTTAATCATTAATTGTCAGTGTTAGAAAATCATATTTATTAGTGTTGGACGGGGGGCGGCTTTAAAACTCCCCTGCCACTTTTGCTCATTTAAATATTTTCAAGCGGTTTGTTGATGAATTAAGCGGTTTTTTTCTGCAGATTTTAATTGCATAAACATCCTGATCCTATTAGTAGAGGTTACTACCGCTATTTCCGATTATTATTATTATTATTCTATGACCGACCGATTAGTTCCGAGTGACTGTACCGCGGGTATTTTTCGTCGTCCACGTCTCACGTACTTCGTCCCCGCTCCCCCGGCAGCCCTGTACCTCACTGTACACATACTATTAGTTCGAGGTCGAGGCGTTTTTTTTTTTTTTTTTTTTCGCCCGTCGATAAATTCCGGACGGCCGTGTTTTCCCACGACGACGGTTCGCACGTCGGACAAAACGTTTTTCGTTTTTCGTTTTTTTTCCGTCCGTTGCACGTCGCCGCCGCCGTATAGGACAACGAGAGGTCCGTCTGAAAATCGCACGGCCGACCAATGACGTTGAAAAATAAGCGATACGAATTTATTTTTGTTTTCTTAATATCATCGTTATTTTTTTTTTGTTTTTTTTTTTATGTTCCCCGTTTTCCCCTTAGATATTCGTCACCTTGGCCGTCCTGAGCGTGTACTCGGTGGTCGCCGAAGAATCCGCACCGAAACCCGAACAACAACCGAACGCGCAGCCCGAAGACGCCGCCAGAGTCAAGAAACACGCGTACGCCATCGCCGCCCCAGCACGTAAGTGACACTATTCGGGGGCCGCGCACAACACGGGAACGTGCGGGAAACCGGGAACATAAGAATCGCGGGAGAGCAATTTCACGGGAAAATGAAAGACGGTGAAAAACAAAAAAAAACAAGAAATTTTCGCCCGGAAAAGAAATTCGACAGGGAAATAACCGCCGACGGTGAATCAATAATGAATTACGCGTTCCCGGTTATTTCCATACGTACGACTATTGTTTTCCCGACCCGATTACTGGCGAAACATCCCACTCCCGTGAAACGTGTTTCCCGATTATCCCGTATCGCGTATTTATCGCGCCTGTGAACGGCGCGGTCCCCGGTTTTTATTTTCCCGGCTATCACAGCCCTCCCCACTCCCCCCTCCCCCGGGCACGCCGCCCCAGCGTTTCGGTTTCTCGTGACTGACGGGCTTGTTTTTGGTTTTTTTCTTTTGTTTTACAGCGGTCCTGGCCTACTCGGCAGCAGCTCCCGCCGCGTACCCGTACGCTTACTCCGCTTACCCGGCCGCGTATCCGTACGCCTACCCGTCCGCGTACCCGTACGCCGCCGCCGCGTACACGGCTTACCCGAGCTACGCTTACGACGACGGCAAGTACTGGCCCGGCAAGTACGAGAAGACCTTCTACCCGGCCGCCTACAAGGCAGCCTACCCCGCCGTCTACCACTACTGAACCCGATACGCACGCCACCATCGCCTCTCATCATCCCGACATAATTCCGGACCGACAACAGCCGCGACGTCCCGCCATTCTTCCGGCGACAAATCTAGTGTTTAAGTTATTATTATATTTTTTTTTTTTTTTTTTACACGCTAAATTTTTCAACCTTAATAAAAACGTGATCTTTTTTTAAAATCGCCGTCGTTTTGTTCGTTTTTTTCGCCTATGTACTCACGTGTATATTTACGAACACCTCGTCCTGAACGAATATCAGCGTCCAACTACTATATATATACTTATCGATCAGTGGCGTGCGCGGGAGGAGAGCGGTTTGTGGTTATATCCCAGCAAATCTCTCCCCCTCCTTTACGTTCGCTTAGAAATACAACAGCTGCGAGTATCCATTTGTTTAGTTAGGTTTGTGTAGTTTCAGCCAATAGTTATGGGGAAAAAACTCGATTTTTTTTTTAATAAAAACCGAGTCTTTTGGATCCCAATTTTAAACCATCATCATCGGGTTAGGTACCTAAGTGCGTACAACCCATAGAATGAGCTTCTACGAGTTATTCGTAAACTATATAGTTTTTATATTTACTGCAACACTTCCCGTCCAAAACGATGCTAATCGGATCGTTAGGTGCATTTATCACACGGGTCGATTACACCTCGAATCGAACGAACAACACGATACAGTAAGTTTTAATTTTTCGTGTAGCGAAGAATGTATTGGTTTTAGAAGATGTTTATTATTTTTTTATTTTTTCATTTTTCGATTTTTTCAAGTTTTCTCATCAAATGTGAAAAACCGAAAAAAAAACTGATGAAAAAAGGAAAAATTTATGAAATATATAAGTATATTAAACCGGAAAATATTACGATTTTTTTTCTGTGGACAACTTTTCCTCCGACAATTTTGCTCTGATTTACAATGTTAGCATTTTTTTTTGAAAGTTAATCTGACTAAAAAGGTACTTTATAGAAGTCACTTATTGTTTTTCCCAGTAGTTTTTTCAATAAATGGGAAAAACGTAGAAAAAACGGGTAAATCGGTACAATATTAAATAAATATTACTAAAGAAAATATATAATGCCTATTTAATTATTCTATCATAATAATATGACATATATAATGTTGATAAAGCATCACTATTAACTGCACTCCGCTCAGAATCGTTTTTTCTCGTTAACGATGGTTTATCGTCACTTACAAATATACATTAAATTCCATTCTGTATCCTACCTTCCCAACTCCTCACCTATAGTGGCTGCACCTATATGCGAAGTATGTCCGTCTTTTTATATTTGATCGTGCGCAATACTTTGGATAACCAGGGCTAAGGTATTGAACATGTTAGGCCGTCCGATTTGGCCGAAATTATTAATAGCGACAAATACCCTGAATTGGAAATCTCTGCACAATACCTTATGTATAGAGTATAAGTAAATATAAATTACAGCCGAACCATTAGGTATAGACAAATATAGTTTTTCATTACCTATTGAACCGACAGTGAACCTACCGAAGCCGTAACTGGAGGATAATTTATTTTGAGGGGAGGGAGATTATAAATTAAAAACGTACGGTGTTCTAATTTTATTGACTTATACAATTATTTTTCTATACATAATAAAATACGTTTAAAATATCTTCAGTTAACAATATCCTTAGTAAAAAATATCTCTAATGGAAATATTACACAGGAAATAATAACGAATCACCATATTAATAGCCATTATTTATTATTTGGAATATTTTTCACGATTCCGAGTGAATACGAATTATACCCTACTAGTCTATTACGAAAATATTAAGAAATACATTTTCCTGCAAGCAATAATAACATGATAAATCATGATAAAAAATTCTATACATTTTTTAATAAGAGAACAGTCATCACGAGAGGTATTTAATATAATATGTATGTATTTAAAATATAATAGTAAATTACCTTACATTTAGGTTAAAATGGAACAATCTTTGTCGGGCGAAACCACTCTAAAAAATATAAAAAAATTACAATGACTACACGATATACGGCTATTCAAAATTATCGGTCAATACGACGAAAATGCGTCTATATTTAAGTATTTAAGAGGGATTGCCCACAATCTTAAACTATAACTTGAATCATAAATTTAATTTTTTTTTTTAATATTTATTTAATTTTTCGTTTAATGCAAACTGTATTTTATTTTTTTTTTTTAAGAGGGATTGCTTATAATCTAAAATTAAAATAAAATGTATTCATATTAATCCTTGAGAAATTTTTTTTTTATAAGAAATATTTCAATTAGAGATATTCTTAACTGTAGATATTTTGTCGGAGATAATATGACCGAAGATATTTTTGCAAAGATATTTTAACCTGCATCCGAATTATATGGGTGGCACTCAATGTCACCCACAATGCACAAAATTGTAATTCATTATGCTACAGTTATTTCTCATGCAATATTGCCTATTGGTGAGTTATCCGAAGAAGTTGCTAAAGCAAGGAATGAGCATTTTAGATTTTACAGACAAAACTTTTTTTAGGAAGTTTTCTCGACAAGCTTCTAATAATGATGTTTTTAAAAGATTTTTGCTAAGTTCAGACCCATTTTTGAGTAGTGTAACACCTAAATAAAAAAATAAATAAATAAACCAGTCACTAATCCAAGCACCACTAACAGAAGAGACAAGCGAAGAAGATTAACAAGACGACATGAAATGGAAGACAAGAATGCAGATTAATGTGTATCTTATTATACAAATATTTAATGGATGTTGCTAAAATAAATTAAAAAGTATTAAAATATAATCTAAAATTATTTTTCAATTCATTTCATCTTCATTCGGTCTAGAAAATGGTGCGTGTTTTAAATTTTTAACTGCATTCTTTAGAGCGGTTTATGCAGTCTAAACAAGATCGTCCCTCATTGAATATGATAGCTAAGATCACGATGGTCTACTACAATATGTCAGAGCTGATAGGATTTGCTTTAGTCCAATAATAGATACTAAAGAGAAATCCTATACTTTTATCGTGGAATGGCTTATCTAAAAATATACTACATCTTATAACTTATACTTTTATATTTCGAAAATTGGGATCTGATGCCTCATTTTGCAAATTCTTACTACCCTCCCCCCCAAAAGCTTACCTACTTCTAATACTCCCGTATAGGGATTTTAGTTGAAGTGGCATACGAGGTTTGCATAATGGAGAGGAGAAACTCCTTCAAAAATTACCAAGGGATCGTAAAATTAGACATAACAGATGACTTAGCTTAAAAGATTTTGCAATGATACGTTACACAAACTTTGGGCAGCTAGGTACTCAAGGGAATTTAGTCAGCTCTATATTCGCAAAAGCTACAAAAAAGGTGTTGGAGAAATTTTGCAAGATGACAAGATGCTTGGTAATACAATGACTCCTGCAGAGGAAGATGAGATGCGCAGACAGCTGAATAGAAAGATAAAGCGAGGCTACAACCAAGATGATTAAGAAAATATACATATGTAATATTATACAGTTACTAACATATTAAATTGTTGAATTTTCTTAATACAAATTTGAATCTAAAATAAGTCATCATATAAAATATAAAAGTAGCAAAATAAAATGCCAAGAGGTACATTACTTAAATCTTTCTCTCCTTCCAACCGTAAAATACACCCCCGATAGTATTGTTATGCCTATAAAGATTATACGTGCGATCATATCTTCTATTCCAGATTGAAAACATTTACACAAAAAAAAAAAATACAATGAGGCGGTAGCCAAAGAAATTGTTATCGGTCAAAGTATGTTCTGTGTGTGCAACAAGATTTTACCGGACGCCAAACGGTCCAAGGTTTTCCAGACATATAAAGGTATATTACTGTACCACGGTTCAACCCAAACCAAGAGATTACATCTATTCGATGGTTATAGGATATTTAAAACTATGTGAATTATACGTCTTAGAAACAACAATACACGTTGGAGTAAGAACGCTTTTGGGATATGCATAAAAGTTGTACTCGCGATGTTCTATTTTGATACATCACATTTACATAAAAATATAGTACAATAATTTACTGTGTTAATGTGTTAATGGATTACACATGCTCATGTACACAACTCGTTTTGTTTGACCGTTAACGAGTCGCTCGAAAACAGCATGCGGAAGCCGACCAAAACTCGTTATCATTCTTGCGCATCCTCACTTAAAATGATTGGGAGCGCACACAGTGTGCGCACGAAATAAAGCGTGATGAATTTATTGTAACGACAATGGTATATTTTGATTTGAAATTTGGTTTGATTATATTTGAATTCGGTGTATTCAATTTAATTATGGATATAATAAATAAGCAGACCAAGGTAAGTACATCAGTATATAAAAAACCGGGGAAAAAATATCTCAGAAATTACCTATATTGATGATATTTTTATTTTGATTATCAAACTTATACAATACCTATTTAATATTTTTATCATTTTGAACATTGTTTTGTTCTATTTGAGTAGTTTTATAATAATACACGAAGAATAAATACCTATTAACATGGTTTGATTGAGGGAACGGAGCCTCCCTTCTTTTTTTTTTTTTAACGTACCCCTTCTATTTTTTTGAAATGGAACGCTAAGAAAGGACCATTTACTAGAGAATTCATAAATCGTCAATTTTTCTGATGCTAAACATAACAGCCATAATATTTGTACCATCTTTGTACAAATACAAATTTCTTATCATAAAATACAGTGATAAGAAATTGTATTATGTATTTATGCACACGATTAAAGATAAAAAGCTATATCTTTAGTCGTAATTATGCATCACAACACAAACTCGATAGATAAAATCTATGACCACAGACCATTAAGGTTAATGATACCGCTCATAGGCATCTGAAAATGACATTGATTGCCGGCCGGTGAATTCTACTAACTGGCCTGATAATGTTGATACTCAGTATGGATCGATGACTGTTTTAAAAGATTAGGTGCAGGATTTCATTTAGATGAAAACACTACAATCAAAGGATTCCATGAATTTAAAGACACAAAAGTTTCCTCAAAAAAATAAACTATCTACATTCTCTTTTAACTCCAGTCAGAACAATTGCAATTTCCTCCCCTGAATGTGAAATATCATTCAGTGCAATGAACAATAAAGTTATAACAAAAAAATAAAAATGTCCATACCACGTTTTATGTATATTTTTTAA